CCCCGTGCTTCTCCTGGTGGTGGTTGCCATGGTAACCATCATGGTTGCCATGGAAACTGTGGGGATGCTTCTCCACGTGGTGGTCGTGGTGGTTTCCATGGAAACCGTAAAGATTCTTCTCGTGGTCGCCATGGTGACCGTGGTGGTCGCCATGGAAACCGTGGGGATGCTTCTCGTGGTGGTCGCCGCGGTGAGGGTGGTGGTCCCTGTGCTTCTCATGGTGGTGGTTGCCATGGAGACCGTCATGGTCACCATGGAGACCGTGGGGATGCTTTTCATGATGATGGTTGCCATGGTAACTGTGATGCTCGGCGTGGTCCCCGTGCTTCTCGTGGTGGTGGTTGCCATGGAGATTGTCATGGTTGCCATGGAGATCGTCATGGTCGCCATGGAGACCATGGGGATGCTTTTCATGATGATGGTTGCCATGGTGACCGTCATGGTGGTCCCCGTGCTTCTCGTGATGGTGGTCGCCATGGAGGCCGTGGTGGTTGCCATGGTGACCGTGATGCTCAGAGTGGTCCCCGTGCTTCTCGTGGTGGTGGTTGCCATGGTGATCATCATGGTGGTGGTCGCCATGGAGACCATGGTGGTTGCCATGGTGATCATCGTGGTGGTGGTTGCCATGGTGACCGTGGGGATGCTGGGAGCCGTTGCCGTGGAGACGCAGCTGCAGCTCCAGGGCGCCGATCTTCCTCTGCAGCGCCTCGCGCAGCCCCGACGCGTTCCGGCTCTGCGGGCAGGGAAGGGTTAAACAGACCCCAAAATTATCCCGAAATCACCCCAAAATTGTCCCGAAATCAACCCAAAATTGTCCCGAAATCACCCCCCAAAACCGCCCCAAAATCACCCCAAAATTATCCCCGAAATCACCCCAAAATTATCCCGAAATCACCCCAAAATTATCCCGAAATCACCCCAAAATTATCCCGAAATCACCCCAAAATTATCCCGAAAATTATCCCCAAATGATCCCAAAATCACCCCAAAATTATCCCGAAATCACCCCAAAATTATCCCGAAATCACCCCAAAATTATCCCGAAAATTATCCCCAAATGATCCCAAAATCACCCCAAAATGATCCCGAACACGACCACAAAGTGACCCCAAAATGACCCCGAAGTGACCCCAAAATGACCCCAGTAAGTCCCGCCCCATTAGGCCCAACCTATTAAGCCCCGCCCCATTAAGCCCCGCCCCATTTAGCCACACCCAATTAATCCCCACCCCATTAAGCCCCGCCCCATTAAGCCCCACCCCATTAAGCCCCACCCCATTAAGCCCCGCCTCAAACCCCGCCCAATTTAGCCCCACCCCATTAATCCCCACCCCTTTAGCCCCACCCCCTTTAGCCCCGCCCCCTCAAGCCCCACCCTATTAAGCCCCACCCCATTAAGCCCCGCCCCCTCAGACCACGCCCCATTAGCCCCCACCCCATTAAGCCCTGCCCCATTTTAACCCTGCCCAATTAAGCCCCGCCCAATTTTAACCCCGCCCAATTAAGCCCTGCCCCCTTAGCCCCGGCCCATTAGACCCCGCCCCCTTTAGCCACACCCCCTTTGCCCCGCCCCATTAGGCCCAACCTATTAAGTCCCACCCCATTAAGCCCCGACCCCATTAAGCCCCGCCCCATTAAGCCCCACCCTATTAAACCCCACCCCATTAAACCCCACCCCATTTAGCCCCACCTCATTAAGCCCCGCCCCATTAAGCCCCACCCCCATTAAGCCCCGCCCCAGTTTAACCCCATTAAGCCCCACCCCATTAAGCCCCTCCCCCTCAAGCCCCACCCCATTAACCCCCGCCCCTTAATTTCCGACATATTAAACCCCGCTACTTTAGCCCCGCCCCCTTTAGCCACTCCCCATTAATCCCCGCCCATTTAGTCCCGCCCCTTTAGCCCCGCCCCCTAGACCCCACCCCATAAAGCCCCGCCCCATTAGCCCCGCCCCATTTTAACCCCACCCCATTAAGCCCCACCCCTTTAGCCCGACACCATTAAGCCCCACCCCATTTAGCCCCGCCCCATTAAACCCCACTCAATTAAGCCCTACTTAATTAAGACCCGCCCCATTAAGCCCCACCCCCATTAAGCCCCACCCCATTAAGCCCCACCCAATTAAGCCACGCCCCATTAAGCCCCACCCCATTTAGCCCCGCCCCACTAACCCCCGCCTCATTAAGCCCCACCCAATTAAGCCCCACCCATTAAGCCCCGCCCCATTTAGCCACGTTCCATTTAGCCCCACCCTCAGGCCACGCCCCATTACGCCCCACCCCATTAAGCCCCGCCCCATTAAGCTCCGCCCCTTTGGCCCCACCCATTAATCCCCACCCCATTTAGCCCCGCCCCTTAATTCCTGCCCTATAAAACCCCGCCCCATTAAGCCCCACCCCAAGACCTCTCCCCATTAAGCCCCGCCCCATTAAACCCCACCCAATTAAGCCCCACCCCATTAAGCCCCGCCCCCTCAGACCACGCCCCATTAGCCCCCACCCTATTAAGCCCCGCCCAATTTTAACCCAGCCCAATTAAGCCCCGCCCCTTATCCCCGCCCCATTAATCCCCACCCCATTAAGCCCCGCCCCTAGACCCCACCCTATTAAACCCCGCCCCTTTAGCCACACCCCATTAAGCCCCGCCCCTTTAGCCCCACCCAATTAAGCCCCGCCCCTTTAGCCCCGCCCCTTTAGCCCCTCCCCCTCACCTGCAGCTGCCGCAGCCGCTCCCGCAGCCCCCGAAGGGCCCTCAGGGGCCCCTCCCCCACCTCCTGCCCCTCCCCCACCTCCCCCTCCCCCTCCCCCTCATGCCCCTCCCCCTCCCGGCACCGCCCGGCCCCGCCCCCCCAGGCCCCGCCCCCCTCCATGGCCACGCCCCCCCAGGCCCCGCCCCCTTCCGGGGAGGGGGGGAGGGGCGTGCAGAGGAAGCGGAGGGGGGGTGGGGGAGGGGGAGGGGGAGGGGCGGCGGCGGCCAAGAGGGAGAGGAGGGGGAGGAGGGGGAGGGGCAGGAGGGGGAGGGGCCGGGCCATGGGCGGGGGGGGGTTAATGAGCCGGTAATTAATGGGTTAATTGATTAATTAATGGAGTTAATGAGCCCAGGGTGGGGGAGGGGCGGCGTCCGGGCGGCTGCGGAGAGAGAGAGGGAGGGGAGGGGGGGGAGGGGTCAGGGACCCTCCCCCACCTTTGAGACCCCTCCCCCACCTGAGACCCCTCCCCCACCTCTGAGACCCCTCCCCCACCCCAAATTACCCTCCCCCACCTCTGTCACCCCTCCCCCAACCTTGTGACCCCTCCCCCACCCCGAGACCCCTCCCCCACCCCTGAGACCCCCTCCCCCACCTCTGAGACCCCTCCCCCACCTCTGAGACCCCTCCCCCACCTCTGAGACCCCTCCCCCACCCCTCAAACCCCTCCCCCACCCCTCAGACCCCTCCCCCACCTCTGTCACCCCTCCCCCACCCCTGAGACCCCTCCCCCACCTCTGTGACCCCTCCCCCACCTCTGTCACCCCTCCCCCACCCCTGTCACCCCTCCCCCATTTCTGTCACCCCTCCCCCACCCCTCAGACCCCTCCCCCACCTCTGTCACCCCTCCCCCACCTCTGAGACCCCTCCCCCACCCTTGTCACCCCTCCCCCACCTCTGTCACCCCTCCCCCACCCCTCAGACCCCTCCCCCCCCATTTCCCCTCCCCCACCCCCGGCCTATCTCCTTTTCCCTCCCCCACCCCATCCGCCCCTCCCCCACCCCCTGTGCGCTTTTGCCCCTCCCCCCCCTCACCTTTCTGCCCCTCCCCCACCCCATTTCCCCCTCCCCCACCCCCATTTCCCCTTTCCCGCCCCTCCCCCCTTTCCAAATTCTCCCCCATTTCCCCTCCCCCACCATTTCCCCTCCCCCCTCACCTTTCCCGTCCTTCCCCCACCCCCATTTCCTCTTTGCCCCTCCCCCATTTCCCCTTTCCCGCCCCTCCCCCCCCCAAATCCGCCCCCCTTTCCCCTCCCCCACCCCCATTTCCCCTCCCCCTCACCTGCAGCCCCCTCCCCGCTCCGAACTGGTCCGAACTGGTCCGAACTGGTCCGGACTGGGACTGACCGGGACGGGCGGGGGGGGAGGGGCGGGGGGGGATCAGAGCGGCTCAAGGGAGGGGGAGGGGCGGGGGGGGCGGGGCCGGGCGGGACGGAGCAGAAACCAGTAAGGACCAGTATAAACCAGTACGGACCCGAATAAACCAATAAAAAACAGTAAAAACCAGTAAAAACCAGTAAAAACCAGTACGGACCAGTAAAAACCAGCATGGACCCGAATAAACCAGTAAAAAACAGTAAAAAACAGTAAAAACCAGAAAAAAACCAGTAAAAACCAGTGCGGACCAGTAAAAACCAGTACGGACCAGTACGGAACCGAATAAACCAGTAAAAACCAGTAAAAACCAGTACGGACCAGTATAAACCAGTACGGACCCGAATAAACCAGTAAAAACCAGTAAAAACCAGTACGGACCAGTATAAACCAGTACGGACCCGAATAAACCAGTAAAAAACAGTAAAAACCAGTAAAAACCACAAAAAACCAGTGCGGACCAGTATAAACCAGTATGGACCAGTACGGACTGAAATAAAACAGTAAAAACCAGTAAAAACCAGTATAAATCAATAAAAAACCGGTACAAACCAGTTTGGGGTTGTGGATCCCAGTATAAACCAGTTTGGGCTCCCAGTATAAACCAGTTTGGGCTCCCAGTATAAACCAGTTTGGGGTTCTGGGCTCCCAGTATGGACCAGTTGCTTCCTCCCAGTATAAACCAGTATAAACCAGTTCAGATCAATCCAGACCAGTCCGAACCAGTTCCCCCAGTCCCTCCCAGTATAAACCAGTTCAAACCAGTATAAACCAGTTCCCCCAGTCCCTCCCAGTATAAACCAGTATAAACCAGTCCAAACCAGTATAAACCAGTATAAACCAGTATAAACCAGTATAAACCAGTACAAAGAGTCCAATCCAGCATCCCTGGAATTCTTTATTGCCCCTCCCCCACCCCCAGGCCGAGGGGGCGGGGCCTGAGGAGGGGGCGGGGCCCGAATGGGGGCGGGGCCTGATGAGGGGGCGGGGCCCAAAAAGGGGGCGGGGCCTGAGGAGGGGGCGGGGCTCAGTTCTCCACGGCGGCTGCGGAAGGAAAAGCCCAAAATTCCCAAATTTAGCCCCAAAAAAATTCCCCACATTTCCCTCTCAGGACCCAAAAATCCCAAAATTCCCCCCAAAATCCCCCAAAATCCCCAAATTTCTGTCCCAAAATTCCCCAAATTTCCCTCTCAGGACCCAAAAATCCCAAAATTCCCAAAATTTCGCCCCCAAATTCCCCAAAATCCCCAAATTTCTGCCTCAAAAAATTCCCACCCAAAATTCCCAAATTTCCCTCTCAGGACCCCCAAAATTCCCAAATTTCTGCCCCAAAAATCCCCAAATTTCCCTCCCAGGACCCCCGAAACCCCCCAAAATTCCCAAAATTTACCCCAAACTCCCAAATTTTACCGCAAACTCCCAAATTTTACCCCAAATTTTCGATTCTCCCCCCGAATTTCCCAATTTTTACCCAATTCCCCCCAAAATCCCCAAATTTCCCCCAAAATGCCCCAATTCCCCCAAAATCCACAAATTTCCCCCAATATTCCCAACTTCCCCCCAAAATTGCCCAATTCCCCCAAATTCCCCAATTTCCCCCCAAAACTCCCAAATTTCCCCAGAATTTCCAATTTTTTTCCCAAATTTCCCAAATTTCCCCCCAAATTCCCCAAATTTCCCCCCAAAATCCCCAAATTTCCCCCACTACTCCCAATTCTTCCCTGAAAAATCCCAAATTTTCCCCAAAATTTCAATTTTTGCCCCAAATTTCCCCAATTTTCTCCCAAAAATACCAAATTTTCCCCAAAACTTCCAATTTTCCCCCCAAAAATCCCAAATTTTCCTTAAAGTTCCCAACTTTTGCCCCCAGACTCGCAACTTTTTCCCCCAAATTCCACCCCAAATCCCCAAATTTTCCCCAAAATTCCCCAATTTTTCCCCCAAATCTCCCAAATTTCCCCCTAAAATTCCCAAATTTTCCCCCACTACGCCCAATTTTCCCGTCAAAATCCCAAATATTCCTTAAAGTTCCCAATTTTTGCCCCTAAACTCACAATTTTCCCCCAAAATTTCCCCCCAAATTCCCTAACTCCCCCCCAAAAATCCCAAATTTCCCCAAAAATTTCCCAAATTTCCCCCCAAAAATCCCCAATTTCCCCCCAAAACTCCCAAATTTCCCCCCAAAATCCCAAATTTTCCCCAAATCTCCCCCCAAAATTCCCAAATTTCCCAAATTTTCCCCAAAACTCCCAATTTTCCCCCCAAAATTCCCAAATTTTCCCCCAAACCCGCCATTTTCCCCCCAAAATTTCCCAAATTTCCCCCCAAATTCCCCCCAAAAATCCCCAAATTCCCCAATTTCCCCCCAAATTTCCCCAATTTCCCCTTAAAATTTCCCAAATTTCCTCCAAAATTCCCGAATTTTCCCCAAATTCCCCCCAAATTCCCCCAAACCCCCGTACCCACCCAGGCCGCCAGAGGGCGCTCTCCCCTCGGGGCCGCTCTGGCCGCTCAACTCGTTGGTCGGCGTCTCCTGCAACAAAATGGCGTCTCTCACATCCCCTCCCTCTGATTGGCCGACCGCGCCGTCAATCAAACCCAACCGCCCAATCACCTGATCGAAGAGGTGGACCGTGACGTCATCGAAGAAGGACACCGCTTTGCGCTTCCGGTCGGCGCTCAGTGCCGCTTCCGGCGGGCGGCGCGGCGGTTTCAGGAGGCCGCGGAGGCCCCGCGCGGTCCAGGAGGAAACAACGAGCGGGACCCGGAGCGGAGCGGCCCCCGCGGCCTCCGCCGCCTCCCCCGCGGCCTCCTCGGCCTCGTCCGCCTCGTCCGGGGCCGCCCCGGAGGGATCGGCCGAGCCCCAGCGAGGCGGGAGAGGCCGAAGGGTCAGAGGAGGGAGCGGCAGAGAGAGGCGGGAGGCCTTGGCTGAGGGGGGATGGGGGGAAATGGGGGGGAAAATGAGGAGAAATTGGGGGGGAAATGGAGGAAAATGACAGAAAAGTGAGGGGGAAGTGAGGGAAAAGGGGAGAAATGGGGAAAAGTGGGGGGGAAAGTGTGGGGAAATGGGGAAAAAAGGGGAGAAAAGAGGGGAAAATGGGGAAAAAATGGGGGGAAATGGGGGAAAAGTGGGGGGAAATGAGGGAAAATGGGGGGAAATGGGGAAAAAATGAGGAAAAAATGGGGGGAAATGAGGAGAAATTGGCGGGGATATGGGGAAAAATGGGTGAAAATGAGGAGAAATTGGGGGGAAAATGGGGAAAAAAGGGGGGAAATGAGGGAAAAGTGAGGGGAAAATGAGGGGAAATGAGAAGAAAATAAGGTAAAATGAGGGACAAATGAGGGGGATTTGGGGGAAAAATGGGGGAAAAGTGGGGGGAAATGAGGAAAAAATGGGGAAAGAAGGGGGGAAATGGGGAAAAAGGGTGGGAAAAATGATAAATTGGGGTGAAATGTGGGAAAATGAGAGAAAAGTGAGGGGGAAGTGAGGGAAAATGAGAAGAAATTGGGGAAAAAAGGGGGGAAATGAGGGAAAAGTGAGGGGAAAATGAGGGGAAATGAGAAGAAAATAAGGTAAAATGAGGGACAAATGAGGAGAAATTGGGGGGAAATGGGGTAAAATTTTCCCCCTAAACCCCCAAATTTCCCCCCAAAATTCCAAATTTCCCCCAAATATTTCCCAAATTCCCCCCAAAAATCCCCATTTCTTTCCCCAAAAACCCCAAAACTTTCCCAAATTTTCCCCCCAAACTTACCCCCAATACCCCCAAATTTTTCCCAAATTTCCCCCCAAACCCCCAATTATTTCCCAAATTTCCTCCAAACCCCGACATTTTTCCCAAATTTCCCCAAACCCCCAAATTTTTTCCAAGTTTCCCCCGAAACCCCCAAATTTTCTCCCAAACCCCCAAATATTTCCCAAATTCCCCCCAAAATCCCAATTTTTCCCCCAAATCCAAATTTTTCCCCCAAACCCCCAAAAATTTCCCAAACTTCCTCCCAAACCCCAAATTTCCCCCCAAAATCCCCAATTTTCCCCCCTAAAATCGCCGATTTTCTCCCCAAAACCCCCAAATTTTTCCCAAATTTCCCCCAAAACCCCAAATTTCCCCCCAATATCCATAAATTTCCCCCAACCCCCATTTTTCCAAAATTTCCCCCCAAATCCCAATTTTCCCCCCCAAAATCGCCGATTTGCTCCCGAAAACCCCCAAATTTTTTCCCCAAATTTCCCCTCCTAAACCCCCAAATTTCCCCCCAAAATCCCATTTTTCCCCCTAAACCCCCAAATTTCCCCCAAAATTCAAAACTTCCCCCAAATTTTTCCCAAATTTCCCCCCAAACTCCAAATTTCCCCCCAAACCCCCAATTATTTCCCAAATTCCCCCAAACCCCCAAATTTTCCCCAATTTCCCCCCAAACCCCCAAATTTTCCCCAAATATCCCCAAATTTTCCCCAAATTTCCCCCCAAAATCCCCCAATTTTTCCCCCCAAAATCCCCAATTTTCCCCCTAAAATCGCCGATTTTCTCCCCAAAACCCCCAATTTTTTTCCCAAATTTTTTCCCCAAATAATTTCCCCTCCCCCACCTCTGATCTCGGCGCTGCTGCCGCGGGGGGTGGGGGAGGGTCCGGGGGGGTCTCCTGATCTTCCTCCTCCTCCTCCTCCTCCTCCTGAAGCCACGCCCACTGCGGAAACCACGCCCCCTTCCCCGGAACAAGCCACGCCCACTGCGGAAGCCACGCCCCCTCCCACCGCGGAAACCACGCCCCCTTCCCCGGAACAAGCCACGCCCACTGTGGAAGCCCCGCCCACAGCAGAAACCACGCCCACTGTCGAAGCCACGCCCCCAGTTTTGACACAAGCCCCGCCCACTGTCGAAGCCACGCCCCCAGTTTCGACACAAGCTCCGCCCCCTGCTGAAGCCACGCCCCCGGTTTTGACACAAGCCCCGCCCCCTGTGGAGGCCCCGCCCCCTGGTGGGCGGGGCAAAATGTGGCGGGAAACGCCCTCGGTGAGGGAGCGCTGGAGCCGCTCCTGAGACACCTGAGACACACCTGGGGACACCTGGGGGACAGCTGGGGACAGGTGGGACACACCTGGGGACACCTGGGTGGCACTTGGGGACACCTGGGTGGCACTTGGGGACATTGGGGACACCTGGGGGACAGCTGGGGACAGGTGAGACACACCTGGGGACAGGTGGGACACACCTGGGGACACCTGGGGGACACTTGGGGACAGGTGAGACACACCTGGGGACAGCTGGGTGGCACTTGGGGACATTGGGGACACCTGGGGGACACTTGGGGACAGGTGAGACACACCTGGGGACACCTGGGACACACCTGGGGACACCTGGGACACAGCTGGGGACACCTGGGTGGCACCTGGGGACACCTGGGACAGGTGAGACACACCTGGGGACACCTGGGGGACACTTGGGGACACCTGGGTGGCACTTGGGGACAGGTGAGACACACCTGGGGACACCTGGGGGACACTTGGGGACACCTGGGACAGGTGAGACACACCTGGGGACGCCTGGGGGACACCTGGGGACACCTGGGACAGGTGGGACACACCTGGGGACGCCTGGGACAGGTGAGATACACCTGGGGACACCTGGGTGGCACTTGGGGACATTGGGGACACACCTGGGGACAGGTGAGACACACCTGGGGACACCTGGGTGGCACTTGGGGACATTGGGGACAGCTGGGTGGCACCTGGGGACACCTGGGGGACAGTTGGGGACATTGGGGACACACCTGGGGACAGTTCCGAGGTCACCTGGGACACACCTGGGGGCGTCTCCCCAATTTCGTGGCTTTTTGGGGACATTTCGGGGCTTTTTGGGGATGTTTTCGGGGCCACCTCGGGATGTCCCCTCGGGGACATTTTTGGGGACATTTCGTGGCTTTTTGGGGACATTTCGTGGTTTTTTGGGGCCATTTCGGGGCTTTTTGGGGACGTTTTCGGGGCCACCTCGGGATGTCCCCTCGGGGACATTTTTGGGGACATTTTGAGGTTTTTTGGGGACATCTCGAGGTTTTTTGGGGACATTTCGGGGCTTTTTGGGGACGTTTTTGGGGCCACCTCTTGACATCCCCTCGGGGACATTTCGAGGTGTTTTGGGGACATTTCGTGGGTTTTTGGGGACATTTTGTGGTTTTTCGGAGCCGTTTTTGGGGACGTTTCTGGGGATAATTTGGGACTTTTTGGAGCCATTTCCGGCGACATTTTTGGGGACATTTCGAGGCTTTCTGGGGACAATTTTTGGGACATTTTTGGGGACATTTCGAGGTTTTCTGGGGACAATTTTTGGGACATTTCTGGGGAAATTTTGGGGCATTTTGGGGACATCTCCGGATCCCTCCTCGGGGATGTTTTTGGGGACATTTCGGGGCTTTTTGGGGACATTTTTTGGGACACCTCCAGGTGTTTCGGGGACCTTTTTGGGGACCCCCTGGAGGATTTTGGGGACATTTTTGGGGACATTTTTGGGGTCACCTCGGGGCATTTTGGGGACATTTTTGGGGACATTTTCGGGACCACCTCGTGGTGTCTCGGGGACATTTTTGGGGACATTTTTGGGGCCACCTCGGGGCGTTTTGGGGACATTTTTGGGGACATTTTTGGGGCCACCTCGGGGCGTTTTGGGGACATTTTTGGGGACATTTTCGGGGCCACCTCGCGGCGTTTCCTCGGGGACCCTCTGCCCCTCCTCGGGGTCCTCGGGGTCCTCCTTGGGGACAATTTTGGGGACATTTGGGACACCTGGGAAGCCTCTGGGGACATCAGGGACACTTGTGGGGACATTTCGGAGGATTTTGGGGACATTCGGGACATTTGGAACCAACCTGGGGACATCGGGGACCCCTCTGGGGACACTTTTGGGGACATTTGGGGACACCCCCCCACTGTGGTGCCACCCAGGGGGTCCCCAGGGGTGTCCCCAAGGGGGTCCCCAGCTTTTGGTGGCCTTGGGGACACTTTTGGTGGCCTTGGGGACGTCTCTGGTGGCCTTGGGGACAGTTCTGGTGGCCTTGGGGACAGTTCTGGTGGCCTTGGAGACACCTCTGGTGGCCTTGGGGACGTCTCTGGTGGCCTTGGGGACACTTCTGGTGGCCTTGGGGACACTTGTGGTGGCCTTGGGGACATCTCTGGTGGCCTTGGGGACAGTTCTGGTGGCCTTGGGGACGTCCTGGGGGGCACCGGGGGCGGCTCCTGGGTCAGTGTCCGGCTTTGTCCCCTTGGGGTCATCTCAAGGGACAACGGTGACGTCCCTTCGGTCGTTGACCAATCTTGACCCAACAATGTCCGGTTTTGTCCCCAAGGTGCCACCTCGGGTGACAAAGGTGACAATGACCTGTCCTGACCCAACGATGACCGGTCTTGGGTCAATAATGACCGATCTTGGGTCAATGACCGGTCTTGACCCAACGATGACCGGTCCTGGGTCAATGATGTCCGGTCTTGGGTCAGTGTCCGGCTTTGTCCCCTTGGGGTCATCTCCAGTGACAACGGTGACGTCCCTTGGGCCGTTGACCTTTGTTGACCCAATGATGACCGATCTTGGGCCAATGTCCGGTCTTGGATCAATAACCAATCTTGACCCAACGATGACCGATCTTGGCTCAATGTCCGGTCTTGGGTCAATGTCTGGTCTTGGCTCAATGTCCGGTCTTGGGTCAACAATGACGGGTCTTGGGTCGATGTCCGGTCTTGACCCAACGATGACCGATCTTGGGTCAATGTCCGGTCTTGGGTCAACAATGACCGGTCCTGGGTCAGTGACCAATTCTGACCCAACGGTGACCGATCTTGGGCCAACGTCCGGTCTTGGGTCAATGTCCGGTCTTGGGTCAACGATGACCGATCTTGGGTCAATGTCCGGTCTTGGGTCAACGATGACCGGTCTTGGGTCAATGTCCGGTCTTGGGTCAACGATGACCGGCCTTGGGTCAATGTCCGGTTTTGGGTCAATGTCTGATCTTGACCCAACAATGAAGAGTTTTGACCCAACGGTGACCGGTCTTGGGTCTGTGTCCGGTCTTGACCCAACAATGACCGATCTTGACCCAACGGTGACCGGTCTTGGGCCAATGTCCGGTCTTGGGTCAACAATGACCGGTCCTGGGTCAATGTCCGGTCTTGGGCCAATGTCCGATCCTGACCCAACGATGACCAGTCTTGACCCAACGATGACCGATCTTGGCTCAATGTCCGATCTTCACCCAACAATGACCGGTCTTGGGCTGATGTCCGCTCTTGACCCAATGATGACCGGTCTTGACCCAACGATGTCAGGTCCTGGGTCAGTGTCCGGCCTTGTCCCCACGGGGTCATCTCGAGGGACAACGGTGACGTCCTTTGGGCTGTTGACCTTTCTTGACCCAATGATGTCCAGTTTTGTCTCCAAGGCGCCACCTCGGGTGACAAAGGTGACAATGACCTGTCCTGACCCAATGGTGACCAGTCTTGGGTCAATGTCCGGTCTTCACCCAACAATGTCCGGTCTTGACCCAACGATGACTGGTCTTGACCCAACAATGACCGGTTTTGGGTCAATGTATGGTTTTGACCCAATGATGTTCGGTCTTGACCCAACAATGACCGGTCTTGGGTCAACAATGTCCGGTCTTGGGTCAATGTCCGATCTTGACCCAACGATGACCGGTCTTGACCCAACGATGACCGGCCTTGGGTCAATGTCCGGTCTTGACCCAACAATGTCCGGTCTTGACCCAATGATGACCTTTCTTGACCCAACAATGACCGGTCTTGGGCCAATGTCCAGTCTTGGGTCAACAATGACCGGTCTTGACCCAACAATGAGCAGTTTTGACCCAACAATGACCGGCCTTGGTCCAATGTCTGGTCTTGACCCAACAATGACCGATCTTGACCCAACAATGACCGATCTTGGGTCGATGTCCGATCTTGACCCAGTGCAGACCGGTCTGAACCCAACAATGACCTTTCTTGACCCAACAGTGACCGGTCTTGACCCAATGATGACCGGTCTTGGGTCAACAATGACCAATCTTGACCCAACAATGACCGGTCTTGGGCCAAGGATGACCGATCTTGACCCAACGATGACCGGTCTTGGGTCAATGTCCGGTCTTGGGTCAACAATGACCTTTCTTGACCCAACAATGTCTGATCTTGACCCAACGATGACCGATCTTCACCCAACAATGACCGGTCTTGGGTTGATGACCGGTCTTGACCCAACGATGACCGATCTTGGGCCAATGACCGATCTTGACCCAACGATGACCGATCTTGGGCCAGTGTCCGGCTTTGTCCCCTTGGGGTCATCTCAAATGACAACGGTGACGTCCCTTGGGACGTTGACCTTTCTTGACCCAACGATGACCGATCTTGACCCAATGGTGACCAATCTTGGGCCAATAATGACCGGCCTTGGGCCAACGATGACCGATTTTGGGCCAATGACCGATCTTGACCCAACGATGACCGGTCCTCGGTCAGTGACCAATCCTGACCCAACGATGACCGGTCTTGGGTCAATAATGAACGGTCTTGGGTCACTGTCCGGTCTTGACCCAACAATGACCGATCTTGGGCCAATGTCCGATCTTGGGTAAACAATGACCGGTCTTGACCCAATGATGACCGATCCTGACCCAACACTGACCTATCTTGCGTCAATGTCCGATCTTGGGTCAACAATGACCGGTCCTGGGTCAATGTCTGATCTTGACCCAACGATGACCGATCTTGGGTCAATGTCCGGTCTTGGGTCAATAATGACCGATCTTGACCCAACGATGACCGGTCTTGACCCAACAATGACCAATCTTCACCCAACAGTGTCCGGTCTTGGGTCAATGTCCGATCTTGGGCCAATGTCCTATCTTGACCCAACGATGACCGGTCTTGGGTCAATGTCCGGTCTTGGGTCAACACTGACCGGTCTTGGGTCAGTGTCCGGCTTTGTCCCCTTGGGGTCATCTCAAGGGACAACGGTGACGTCCCTCGGGCCGTTGACCTTTCTTGACCAAACAATGTCCGGTCTTGACCCAACAATGACCGATCTTGACCCAACAACGTCCGGTCTTGGGTCAATGTCTGATCTTGACCCAACAATGACCTGTCTTGACCCAACAATGACCGATCTTCACCTAACGATGACCGGTCTTGACCCAATGATGACCTTTCTTGACCCAACAATGTCCACTCTTGACCCAACGATGACCGGTCTTGACCCAACGATGACCGGTCTTGACCCAACAATGACCGATCTTGGGTCAATGATGACCAATCTTGGGTCAATGTCTGTTCTTGGGTCAACAATGACCGGTCTTGGGTCAATGTCCGATCTTGACCCACCCCCCCCTCCCGCCCCGCCCGTCCCCGACACCGCGCCGGTGACAAACCCTCATTGTCACCACCACCATGTCCCATCCCCCACCGCGCCGACTCTTCCACCATCTCCTCGTTCTCCTCCAACCTGACGTAAAACTCCGACGTCCCCGACGGGCTCCGCGCCCCCAACACCGGCACCGCTCCGGTGGCCGTTCCGGCATCGTCGCCGCGCCGCCGACCGCGCCGCCACCAACACTCCAACGCCAAAGCGCCGCCGCGCGGGTCTTGGGTGACCGTCAGGACGTCCTCGTTGTCCGGCAGCGCGTCCAGCAGCGGGAACGGCGACGCCGGTGACGGTGACGGTGACGACGGTGACGGTGACGGGTTTGGGGACGTTCGGGGATGCGCCAAAAGCGCCGAAAGGCGTCGGTGGAGCTGCTCCAGCGTCGGGCGTTGGGATGGCGGCAGCCGGCAGGAGCGGAGGAGGTCGAACCTGGAGGTTTGGGGAGGTTTGGGGACATTTGGGGACATTTGGGGACATTTGGGATATTTGGGGACATTTGGGGACGTTTGGGGACATTTGGAGATGTTTGGGGACGTTTTGGGGATGTTTGGGGACATTTTGGGATATTTGGGGACGTTTGGGATGTTGGGGACAGTTGGGAGGTGTTTGGGACATTTGGAGACTTTGGGGATATTTGGGGACGTTTTGGGATGTTTGGGGACATTTTGGGATGTCTCGGCCATTTGGGTACAATTGGGGACTTTGGGGATGTTTTGGGACGTTTGAGGACATTTGGGGACATTTAGGGAAATTTGGGGACGTTTGGGGACGTTTTGTGGCGTTTTGGGATGTTTGGGGACGTTTGGGATGTTAGGGACAGTTGGGAGGTGTTTGGGACGTTTGGGTACAATTGGGGATGTTTGGGGATGTTTGGGACGTTTGGGAACATTTGGGGACATTTTGGGGACGTTTGGGGATGTTTGGGGACGTTTGGGGTGTTTGGGGACGTTTGGGGACATTTGGGGACGTTGGGAGGTGTTCAGGATTTTGGGGATGTTTGGGGACGTTTGGGGACATTTGGAATAGACTTCCCCCAATTTCCCTCCAAATTCCCCCCCCCAAATGTCCCCAAATGTCCCCAAATGTCCCCAATGTCCCCAATCCCCCCAATGTCCCCAAATGTCCCCAATGTCCCCAATGTCCCCAACCCCCCCAATGTCCCCAATGTCCCCAATGTCCCCAATGTCCCCAATCCCCCCAATGTCCCCAATGTCCCCAATCCCCCCAACCCCCCCAATCCCCCCAATGTCCCCCAATGTCCCCAATTCCCCCCGATGTCCCCACTGTCCCCAATGTCCCCACTGTCCCCGATCCCCCCGATGTCCCCGATGTCCCCAAATCCCCCCGATGTCCCCGATGTCCCCGATGTCCCCGATGTCCCCTCACCATGGGGGTGGCAGTGCCACTCGGGGTCGGGGCAGTTCTGGGGGTCGGCGGCTCCGGAGGCGCCCGAGGAGCTGAAGGTCCGAGAGGTGGGGGAGGGGCCGAGACCCCCACTCCAGGAGCTCCCAGAGGGTCACCCCCAGGGCCCTGAGGGGACAATGCCACCATCAGTGTCACCAATGCCACCATTGTCACCTCCCCGAGGTCACCAAACCCCCCCAGGGTCACCCCCAGAGCCCTGAGGGGACAATGCCACCCTCAGTGTCACCTCGGGGTCACCGAGGTCACCAAACCCCCCCAGGGTCACCCCCAGAGCCCTGAGGGGACAATGCCACCATCAGTGTCACCTCGGGGTCACCGAGGTCACCAAACCCCCCCAGGGTCACCCCCAGGGCCCTGAGGGGACAATGCCACCATCAGTGTCACCTCGGGGTCATCAGGGTCACCAAAACCCCCCCAGGGTCACCCCCAGGGCCCTGAGGGGACAATGCCACCATCAGTGTCACCAATGTCACCAATGTCACCTCGGGGTCACCAAACCCCCCCAGGGTCACCCCCAGGGCCCTGAGGGGACAATGCCACCATCAGTGTCACCTCGGGGTCACCGAGGTCACCAAAACCCCCCCAGGGTCACCCACGAGGGGACAGAGGGGACAATGCCACCATCAGTGTCACCATTGTCACCATTGTCACCTCCCCGGGGTCACCAAACCCCCCCCAGGGTCACCCCCAGAGCCCTGAGGGGACAGAGGGGACAATGCCACCATCAGTGTCACCATTGTCACCATTGTCACCTCCCCGGGGTCACCAAACCCCCCCAGGGTCACCCCCAGAGCCCTGAGGGGACAATGCCACCATCAGTGTCACCTCGGGGTCACCGAGGTCACCAAACCCCCCCAGGGTCACCCCCAGGGCCCTGAGGGGACAATGCCACCATCAGTGTCACCTCGGGGTCACCGAGGTCACCTCGGGGTCACCAAACCCCCCCAGGGTCACCAACGAGGGGACAGAGGGGACAATGCCACCATCAGTGTCACCTCGGGGTCACCTCAGGGTCACCAAACCCCCCCAGGGTCACCCCCAGCACCCACGAGGGGACAATGCCACCGTCAGTGTCACCATGTCACCATTGTCACCTCCCCGGGGTCACCAAATCCCACAAATCACCCCAAATCCCCCAAAGTCCCGAAATGTTCCCAAATGTCCCAAATCCTCCAAATCCCTCAAAAGTCCCAAATCCCCCAAAGTCCCCAAATCCCATAAAATCCCCAAATGCCCCAAAATACCCCAAATGTACCCAAAATCCTCCAAATGCCCCAAATGTCCCAAATTCCTAAAATCCCCCAAATCCCCAAAAGTCCCAAATCCCCCAATGTCCCCAAATCCCATAGAATCCCCAAATGCCCAAAAATCCCCTCAAAGTCCCTAAATCCCCCAAATATCCCAAATCCCCCCAAATCCCCCAAATCCCCCAAATCCCCAAAATCCCCCCAAATCCCCCCGAAGTCCCCCAAAATCCTCCAAATCCCCCAAATGTCCCAAATCCTTCAAGTCCCCTGAATGTCCCAAAATGTTCCCAAATCCCCCAAATGTTCCCAAATGTCCCCAAATCCTCCAAATCCCTCAAACGTCCCAAATCCCCCCGAAGTCCCCAAATCCCCCAAATCCCCCAAATCCCCAAAATTCCCGAAGTCCCTAAATCCCCCAAATCCCCAAATGTCCCCAAATCCTCCAAATCCCCCAAAGTCCCCAAATCCCCAAAAGTCCCCAAATCCCTCAAAAGTCCCCAAATCCCCCAAATCACTCAAATGTCCCAAATCCCCCAAAGTCCTGAAAAGTCCCGAAATCCCCCAAATATCCCAAAATCCCCCCAAATCCCCCAAATCCCCCAAATCCCCCAAAAAGTCCCGAAAGTCCCCAAATCCCTCAAATATCCCAAATTCCCCCGAAGTCCCCAAATCCCCCCAAATCCCCCTAATGTCCCCAAATCCCCCAAATCTCCCAAATCCCCCAAAATCCCCAAAATCCCCTGAAATGTCCCCAAATCTCCCAAAAGTCCCCAAATTCCCCAAATCCCCAAAATCCCCAAAATCCCCCAAATCCCCCAAATATCCCAAATCCCCCCAACCTCCCTTAAGTCCCCAAATCCCCCAAAGTCCCGAAATGTTCCCAAATCCCCCAAAGTCCCCAAAATCGCTGAAATCCTGTAAACCCCCATGAAGTCCCCAAATCCCTAAAATCCCCCCAAATCCCCAAATCCCCCAAAATCCCCCAAACCCGTACCAGACGTTGCTCTCGGGGCTGTGCGGCGCCACCTCCAACACCTCCGACCCCTCCGACCCCTCCAACGTTCCCGTTTCTTCCGTTTTTTCCGTTTTTTCCGTTTTTTCCGTTTTTTCAGTTTTTCCCGTTTTTTCCGTTTTTTCCGTTTTTTCCGTTTTTCCCGTTTTTTCCGTCGTTTCCGTCGTTCCGCGGCTCAGCAGCTCCGGCGCCATCCAACGCAGCGGCAGCGGCGCAGCGCGCCCGGAGCCCGTGAAGTAATCCTCCTGGAGAGACGGGAAAACGGGGAATTACGGGAATTTCTGGAATTACGGGAATTTCGGGGAATTCTGGCGAAATTCCAGTGAAATTCCAGCGAAATTCCAGCGAAATTCCAGCGAAATTCCCACGAAATTCCAGCGAAATTCCCAGCAGTTTGCGCGAAAATACGGCAAAATTCAGGTAAAATCTGATGTCATCATAGTGCCCAAAATCCCCAAATTTCCCGAAATTTCCTAAAATTTCCCAAAACCCACCAACAATCCCCACAAAATCTCCCCCAAAATGTCCCAAAATCCCCCCCAAAAACCCGGATTTTTCCCCCAAAATTCCCCCCAAAATCCCCCCCAAACCCACCAAAACTTCCCCAAAAATCCCCACAAAATCTCCCACAAAATCCCCCCCCAAAATCCCCCAAAATCCCCAAAACTCCACCAAAGTCTCCCGACAAAACCCCCCAAAACCTCCCCAAAATCCCCCAAAATCCTGGATTTTCCCCCCAAAATTCCCCCCAATCCCAATGAAAATTCCCCAAAAATTCCCCAAAATGTCCCAAAATCCCCCCAAAATTCCCCCAAATGCCCCCCAAAATCCCCTAAAATGTCCCCAAAAATTTCCCAAATTTCCCCCCAAAATGTCCCAAAATCCCCCCCAAAATCCCCAAAACTCCACCAAATTCTCCCGACAAGACCCCCTAAAACCTCCTCAAAATCCCAGATTTTACCCCCAAAACCCACCCAAAATCCCTCAAAAATCCCCCCAAAATCCCCCCACAGAATCCCCCCAAACCCACGAAAAATCCACCAAAATCTCCTGAAACTCCCCCAAAATCTCCCAACAAAACCCCCTAAAACCTCCCCAAAATCCCCCCAAACCAATGAAAAATCCCCCAAAATCCCCAATTTTCCCCCCAAATCCCCCCAAATCCCCCCAAAATCCCCCAAAATGTCCCCAAAAATTTCCCAAATTTCCCCCCAAAAATCCCCCAAAATGTCCCAAAATCCCCCCCAAAATCCCCAAAACTCCCCCAAAATCTTCCGACAAAACCCCCTAAAACCTCCCCAAAATGGGATTTTCTCCTCAAAAGTGCTCCCAAACCCACCGAAAATCCCCAAAAATTCCCCAAAATGTCCCAAAATCCCCCCAAATTTCCCCCAAAACCACCGAAAACCCCCCAAAATGTCCCAAAATCCCCCCCAAATGTCCTAAACTCCCCCAAAATCCCCCAAACTCCACCAAAATCTCCCAACAAAACCCCCTAAAATCGCCCCCAAATCCCAGATTTTTCCCCCAAAAATCCCCCCAAACTGCCCCAAAAAATCCCCCGAAAATCCCCCCAAATTCCCCCAAAAATCCCCAAATTCCCAAAAAATTCCTCAAAATGTCCCAAAATCCCCCCAAAATCCCCGCAAACCCACCAAAAATCCCCCCAAAAAATCCCCCCAAAATCCCCCAAAATGTCCTAAAATCCCCCCAAAAATCCCCCCAAATCCCCCCAAAACCCACCAAAAATCCCCCAAAAATCCCCCCAAAAACCCCCCAAATCCCTCAAAATGTCCCAAAATCCCCCAAAATTCCCCCAAAATCCCCCCAAAAATTCCCCCAAAATCCCCCAAAACTCCACCAAAATCTCCCAAAATCCCCCCAAAATGTCTCAAAAATTCCCCCCAAAATCCCCCCAAACCCAATGAAAATTCCCAAAAAATTCCCCAAAACGTCCCAAAATCCCCCCAAAATCCCCAAAACTCCCCCCAAATTTCCCGACAAAAGCCCCTAAAACCTCCCCAAAATCCCCCAAAATGTCCCAAAATCCCACCAAAAATCCCCCCCAAACTCCCCCAAAAATCCCCCCAAAATGTCCCAAAATCCCCCCAAAATCCCCCCGAGCCCCAAAATCGCCGTTTTTTGCCCCGAACTGACGCGGTAGAGGGCGGGCCCGAGGCCGTAGTCGCCGATTCGCGCCGTCAGCTCCGAGCTCAGCAGAACGTTCCGGAGCGCCAGGTCGCTGCGGGAGCACCAAAATGGGGGAAAAACACGGAATTGGGGGAAAAATGGAGGAATTTGGGGGGAAAATGGAGAAATTTGGGGGAAAAAATCCCAAAATTTGGGGAAAAACGGAGAAATTTTGGGGAAAAAATAGAGGAATTTGGGGAAAAAACCACCAATAATTGGGGAAAAAATCCCAGAATTTAGGGGGAAAATCACAAAAATCGGGGGAAATCTGATATTTGGGGAAAATCCAAGAATTTGGGGAAAAAATGGAGAAATTTGGGGGAAAAAATCCCCAAATTTGGGGAAAAACGGAGAAATTTTAGAGAAAAAATAGAGGAATTTGGGGGAAAAAAATCCCAGAATTTTTGGGTAAAATCACAAAATATTTAAAAAATTTTTTTTTTAATTTTTAATGGGATTTTTTTATTTTAATGGGACTTTTAACGGGATTTTTCTTATTTTAATGGGATTTTTAATGGGATTGTTTTTTAATTTTAATGGGAATTTTAATGGGATTTTTAATGGGATTTTTAATGGGATTTTTTTTATTTTAACGGGATTTTTAAAAAATTTTTTCTTTTATTTTTCATAGAATTTTTTTTTATTTTAATGGGATTTTTAACGGGATTTTTTCATTTTAACGGGATTTTTAATGGGATTTTTTTTTTATTTTAGCGTGATTTTAATGTGATTTTTTTTTTTTTCATTTTTATCGGATTTTTAACGGGATTTTTTAAATTTTAACGTGATTTTTACGGGATTTTTTTCATTTTCACGTGATTTTTTTTGTGGTACGATTTTGGGGTGAATTCCGTGGTTTTTGGGTACCTGTGGACGAAGCATGGCGGTGCAGATCTATTTTAATGGGATTTTTAACGGGATTTTTACCGGATTTTTTTAAATTTTAACGTGATTTTTACGGGATTTTTTTTATTTTAATGGGATTTTTTTGTGGGAGGATTTTGGGGTGAATTCCGTGGATTTTGGTACCTGTGGACGAAGCCGTGGCGGTGCAGATCTATTTTAATGGGATTTTAATGGGAATTTTTTCCTTTTTACAGGATTTTTTTTTTGAATAGAATATTTTTTATTTTAATGGGACTTCTAACAGGATTTTTTTTTATTTTAATGGGATTTTTAACTGGATTTTTTTTCATTTTTATGGGAATTTTTTTAATAGTTTTTTGATTTTTAATAGAATTTTTTTTATTTTAACAGGATTTTTAACGGGATTTTTTTTTTAATGGGATTCTTTTTCATTTTTATGGGATTTTTTTAAATATTTTTTTTTAATAGAATTTTTTTTTTTTTAATGGGATTTTAACGGGATTTTTTTTATTTTAATAGGATTTTTAACGGGATTTTTAAAATTTTAACGTGTTTTTAATAGATTTTTTTTTTTTTAACGTGATTTTTTTATGTTAATGGGATTTTTTTTATTTTAACGGGATTTTTAATGGGATTTTTTTTTTTATTTTAATGGGATTTTTAACGGGATTTTTTTTATTTTAACGAGATTTTTAATAGGATTTTTTTTATTTTAGCGCGATTTTTAACGGGATTTTTTTATTTTAATGAGATTTTTAACGGCATTTTTTTTATTTTAATGGGATTTTTAATGGGATTTTTAACGGGATTTTTACCGGATTTTTTTTAATTTTAATGTGATTTTTACCGTGTTTTTTTTATTTTCACGGGATGTTTTTTGTGGGAGGATTTTGGGGCGAATTCCGTGGATTTTGGTACCTGTGGACGAAGCCGTGGCGGTGCAGATCTATTTTAATGGGATTTTTAACGTGATTTTTACCGGATTTTTTTTAATTTTAACAGGATTTTTACGGGATTTTTTTTATTTTTACGGGATTTTTTTTGTGGGACGTTTTTGGGGTGAATTCCCTGGTTTTTGGGTACCTGTGGACGAAGCCGTGGCGGTGCAGATCTATTTTAATGGGATTTTTAACGGGATTTTTACCGGATTTTTTTTAATTTTAACGTGATTTTTACCAGATTTTTTTTATTTTAACGGGATTTTTTTTGTGGGTCGATTTTGGGGTGAAATCCCTGGATTTTGGTACCTGTGGACGAAGCCGTGGCGGTGCAGATCTATTTTAATGGGATTTTTACCGGATTTTTTTTAATTTTAACGTGATTTTTACGGGATTTTTTTTATTTTAACGTGATTTTTTTTGTGGGACGATTTTGGGGCGAATTCCGTGGATTTTGGTACCTGTGGACGAAGCCGTGGCGGTGCAGATCTGTTTTAATGGGATTTTTAACGTGATTTTTAAATTTTTAACAGGATTTTTACTGGATTTTTTTTATTTTTACGGGATTTTTTTTTATTTTTACGGGATTTTTTTTGTGGGACGATTTTGGGGTGAATTCCGTGGATTTTGGTACCTGTGGACGAAGCCGTGGCGGTGCAGATCTATTTTAATGGGATTTTTAACGTGATTTTTACCGGATTTTTTTTATTTTAACGGGGATTTTTACCGGATTTTTTTTTATTTTAATGGGATTTTTTTGGGGATGATTTTGGGGTGAAATCCCTGGATTTTGGTACCTGTGGACGAAGCCGTGGCGGTGCAGATCTATTTTAATGGGATTTTTACCGGATTTTTTTCATTTTTAATGGGATTTTTTTTTTAATTTTTACATGATTTTTAATATAATTTTTTTTATTTTTACGGGATTTTTTTGGGGATGATTTTGGGGTGAAATCCGTGGATTTTGGTACCTGTGGACGAAGCCGTGGCGGTGCAGATCTATTTTAATGGGATTTTTAACGTGATTTTTTTATTTTAACGGGGATTTTTACGGGATTTTTTTTATTTTAACGGGATTTTTTTTGTGGGACTATTTTGGGGTGAATTCCGTGGATTTTGGTACCTGTGGACGAAGCCGTGGCGGTGCAGATCTATTTTAATGGGATTTTTAACGTGATTTTTACCGGATTTTTTTTAATTTTAACGTGATTTTTACGGGATTTTTTTTTATTTTCACAGGATTTTTTTTGTGGGACGATTTTGGGGTGAAATCCCTGGATTTTGGTACCTGTGGACGAAGCCGTGGCGGTGCAGATCTATTTTAATGGGATTTTTACCGGATTTTTTTCATTTTTAATGGGATTTTTTTTTTTATTTTTACATGATTTTTAATATAATTTTTTTTATTTTTACGGGATTTTTTTGTTGGTCTATTTTGGGGTGAATTCCGTGGATTTTGGTACCTGTGGACGAAGCCGTGGCGGTGCAGATCTATTTTAATGGGATTTTAATGGGAATTTTTTCCTTTTTACAGGATTTTTTTTTTTAATAGAATATTTTTTATTTTAATGGGACTTCTAACAGGATTTTTTTTTATTTTAATGGGATTTTTAACTGGATTTTTTTTCATTTTTATGGGAATTTTTTAAATAGTTTTTTGATTTTTAATAGATTTTTTTTTATTTTAACAGGATTTTTAACGGGATTTTTTTTTTTTAATGGGATTCTTTTTCATTTTTATGGGATTTTTTTAAATATTTTTTTTTAATAGAATTTTTTTTTTTTTTAATGGGATTTTAACGGGATTTTTTTTATTTTAATAGGATTTTTAACGGGATTTTTAAAATTTTAACGTGTTTTTAATAGATTTTTTTTTTATTTTAACGTGATTTTTTTATGTTAATGGGATTTTTTTTATTTTAATGGGATTTTTAACGGGATTTTTTTTATTTTAACGAGATTTTTAATAGGATTTTTTTTATTTTAGCGCGATTTTTAACGGGATTTTTTTATTTTAATGAGATTTTTAACGGCATTTTTTTTATTTTAATGGGATTTTTAATGGGATTTTTAACGGGATTTTTACCGGATTTTTTTTAATTTTAACGTGATTTTTACGGGATTTTTTTTATTTTCTCGGGATTTTTTTGTGGGACGATTTTGGGGTGAATTCCGTGGATTTTGGTACCTGTGGACGAAGCCGTGGCGGTGCAGATCTATTTTAATGGGATTTTTACCGGATTTTTTTCATTTTTAATGGGATTTTTTTTTTATTTTTACATGATTTTTAATATAATTTTTTTTATTTTTACGGGATTTTTTTGGGGATGATTTTGGGGTGAATTCTGTGGATTTTGGTACCTGTGGACGAAGCCGTGGCGGTGCAGATCTATTTTAATGGGATTTTTAACGTGATTTTTACCGGATTTTTTTTTAATTTTAACGTGATTTTTACCAGATTTTTTTTATTTTTACGGGTTTTTTTTTTGGGGGACGATTTTGGGGCGAATTCCGTGGATTTTGGTACCTGTGGACGAAGCCGTGGCGGTGCAGATCTATTTTAATGGGATTTTTAACGTGATTTTTACCGGATTTTTTTTAATTTTAACGTGATTTTTACCAGATTTTTTTTATTTTAACGGGATTTTTTTGTGGGACGATTTTGGGGTGAATTCCGTGGATTTTGGTACCTGTGGACGAAGCCGTGGCGGTGCAGATCTATTTTAATGGGATTTTTACCGGATTTTTTTCATTTTTAATGGGATTTTTTTTTTATTTTTACATGATTTTTAATATAATTTTTTTTATTTTTACGGGATTTTTTTGGGGATGATTTTGGGGTGAATTCCGTGGATTTGGGTACCTGTGGACGAAGCCGTGGCGGTGCAGATCTATTTTAATGGGATTTTTAACGGGATTTTTACCGGATTTTTTTTATTTTAACGGGGATTTTTACCGGATTTTTTTTTTATTTTAATGGGATTTTTTTTGTGGGACGATTTTGGGGCGAATTCCGTGGTTTTTGGGTACCTGTGGACGAAGCCGTGGCGGTGCAGATCTATTTTAATGGGATTTTTAACGTGATTTTTACCGGATTTTTTTTAATTTTAACGTGATTTTTACGGAATTTTTTTTTATTTTAACGGGATTTTTTTGGGGATGATTTTGGGGTGAATTCCGTGGATTTTGGTACCTGTGGACGAAGCCGTGGCGGTGCAGATCTATTTTAATGGGATTTTTAACGTGATTTTTACCGGATTTTTTTTAATTTTAACAGGATTTTTACGGGATTTTTTTTTATTTTAACGGGATTTTTTTTGTGTGATGATTTTGGGGTGAAATCCGTGGATTTTGGTACCTGTGGACGAAGCCGTGGCGGTGCAGGTGCCGCAGTCCCCGCGTCACCTCCAGAGCGAAGCGCTGCAGCGTCCCCAAATCTCGGGGGGCTCCGGTGCCGCGCTGAGCCCGCAGGTAACGCTTCAGGTCCCCCTGGGAGAGAAAAAATGACAAAAATTACCCCAAAAATAACGGCAATGTCATGAAAATTAAATAAAAATTAAAAAAAACCCCCAAAAAAACGAAATTACAGCGAAAAAAGGCAAAAAATTGCACCCAGAACCCCCAAATTACCCCCCAAAAAAGACAAAAATTACCCCAATAAACCTGAAATACCTCAAAAACCACAAAAATTACCCAAAAAAACCTAAATTATCCCCCAAAAAACCCAAAATGCCTCAAAAAACCCAAAATTACCCTGAAAAACCCCAAAATACCTCAAAAAACCCAAAATGTGTAAAAAAAACCCCAAAAGTACCCTGAAAAACCCAAAATACCTCAAAACCCACAAAAATTACCCCAAAAAGCCAAACAATTAAAGGGAAATTAAATCAATATGTAATGAAAGAAAAAAAACTCGAAATTATAGCGAAAAAAGGTAAAAAATTGCACCCAAAACCCCCCCCAGGTAACGCTTCAGGTCCCCCTGGGAGGGAAAAAATACAGAAATTTACCCCAAAAATATCGGCAATTAAAGGGAAATTAAATCAAAATTTAATTTAAAAAAACCCCACGAAATTACAGCAAAAAAACCAAATTATTTCCCCAAAAAACCCCAAAATACCTCAAAAAAACCACACAGTTACCCAAAAAAATCAAATTACCCCAAAAAAACCCCAAATACCTCAAAAAACACAAAAATTACCCCCAAAAAAATCGAATTACCCCAAAAAAAACCCAAAATACCTCAAAAAAACCCACAAATACTTAAAAAAAACCAAAAATTACCCCCCAAAAACTGAAAAATACCTCAAAAAAACCACACAGTTACCAAAAAAATCCCAAATTACTGTAAAAATCCCGAAATACCTCAAAAAACACAAAAATTACCCCCAAAAACCCCCAAATTCTCCCAAAATTCCCAAAATCCCCCAAATTCCCCTAAAATCCTCTAAAAATTCCATAAAATTCCCCCAAATCCCCCCCAAAACTCCCCCAAATTCCCCCCCAAAACTCCCCAAATGCCCCAAATCTTCCAAAATTCCCAAAAATCCCCAAATTTTCCCAAAATTCCCGAAATTCTCACCAGTTGGCAGAACTCCCAGACGAGCAGTTGGGGGCGCTCCCGACACCCCCCGAGGCAGCGCAGCAGGTTCGGGTGCCGCAGCCTCCTGGGGACCCAAAATACCCCGAATTTCACCCAAAATTCAGGCAAAATTTCACCCAAAATTGTGTCCCAATATCCCCCAAATTTCAGCCAAAATTCACCCAAAATTCCGCCCAAAATTCTGCTCAAGATCACCCAAATTTCACCCAAAATCCGCAGCAGGTTCAGGTGGCGCAGGGTCCTGGGGAGACCCAAAATACCCCAAATTTCTCCCAAAATCCGGCCCAAAATTCACCCAAAATCCGGCCCCAAATACCCCAAATTTCACCCAAAATTCTGTCCCAAAATCCCCCAAATACCACCCAAAATGCCCCAAATTTCACCCAAAATTCCACCCAAAATCCGCAGCAGATTCGGGTGCCGCAGGGTCCTGGGGACCCAAATACCCCGAATTTTACCCAAAATTTCACCCAAAATCCCTCAAATTTCACCCAAAATCCCACCCAAAACCCCTCAAATTTCACCCAAAAGTCGCCCAAAATCCAGGCAAAAATTCCCCAAATTTCACCCAAAATTTGGCCCAAAATCCCCCAAATTTCACCCAAAATCCGCAGCAGGTTCGGGTGCCGCAGCCTCCTGGGGACCCAAAATCACCTGAATTTAACCCAAAATTCTGTCCCAAAATCCCCCAAATTCTGCCCAAAATTCTGCCCAAAATTCCACCCAAAATCCCCCGAATTTCACCCAAAATTCCGGAAAAAATCCCCCAAATTTCACCCAAAATCCGCAGCAGGTTCGGGTGCCGCAGCCTCCTGGAGACCCAAAATCACCCGAATTTCACCCAAAATTTCACCCAAAATCCGGCCCCAAATACCCCAAATTTCACCCAAAATTGTGTCCCAAAATCCCTCGAATTTCACCCAAAATTCCGGAAAAAATCCCCCAAATTTCACCCAAAATCCGCAGCAGGTTCGGGTGCCGCAGCCTCCTGGAGACCCAAAATACCCAAAATTTAACCCAAATTTAACCCAAAATTTCACCCAAAATTGTGTCCCAATATCCCCCGAATTTCACCCAAAATTCACCAAAAATTCCCACCCAAAATCCACCAAATTTCACCCAAAATCCGCAGCAGGTTGGGGTGGCGCAGGGTCCTGGGGAGACCCAAAATTCTGCCCAAATTCTGCCCAAAATTGTGTCCCAAAATCCCCCAAATTTCACCCAAAATTCTGTCCCAAAATCCCTCAAATTTTACCTAAAATTCTGCCAAAAATGCCCCAAATTCCACCCAAAATCCGGCCCAAAACCCCCCAAATTCCACCCAAACACTTTGGGGTGTTTTTGGGGTATTTTTTGGGGTATTTTTGGGTGTTTTGGGGGCTATTTTTTGTTGTATTTTTGGGGTGATTTTGGGGGTTTTTGGGGTATTTTTTGGGTGGTTTTTTTGGGGGTATTTTGGGATGTTTTGGGGCTATTTTTTGCTATTTCTGTCTGGTTTTTTGGGGTATTTTTTGCTATTTTTGGCTGGTTTTTTCTGGAGTATTTTGGGATGTTTTTGGGGTATTTTTTTGTTGTATTTTGGAATGTTTTTGGGGTATTTTTTGCTTTTTTTGTGTGTTTTTCTTTGGGCTATTTCAGGGTGTTTTTGGGCTATTTTCTGTTGTGTTTTTGGGGTGATTTTGGGGGTTTTTGGGAGTATTTTTGAGTATTTTTATCTGGGTTTTTTTGATGTATTTTTGCTAATTTTGGCTGGTTTTTTCTGGGCTATTTCGGAATGTTTTTGGGCTATTTTCTGTTGTGATTTTGGGGTGATTTTGGGGGTTTTTGGGGCTATTTTTTGCTATTTTCGGCTGGTTTTTTCTGGGCTATTTCAGGGTGTTTTTGGGCTATTTTCTGTTGTATTTTTGGGGTATTTTTTGCTATTTTTGGGTTTTTTTGGGGGGTATTTTTGTCTGGTTTTTGGGCTATTTTTTGCTATTTTTGTCTGTTTTTTTGGGCTATTTTTTCCTATTTTCGTCTGGTTTTTTTTGGGCTATTTCAGGACAGTTTTGGGCTATTTTCTGCTGATTTTTTGGGGTGATTTTGGGGGATTTTGGGTACCTGTAGGGCTCGGCCTCGGCCAGGAACCGTCTCCGCTCGGGGGTCTCGGCCCCCGCCCGAAGCTCCTTCAGCACCACCGGGGCCGGGCCGGGGCCCCCCCGCAGCTCCCCCAAAATCACCTGAAAAGAGCCAAAAAAAGCCAAAATCCACACGGGAAAAGTACGGCCCCAACAGCCCCCACAGAAAAAATTAAATATTTAAATTAAATCCCATTGAAATGTAAAAATCCCTGTTAAAAATGGAAAAATCCTGTTAAAAATCACGTTAAAAACAACAAAAAAAATCTCATTAGAAACACCAAAATCCTGTTAAAAATCCCATTAAAAATCCCATTAAAAACCCACAAAAAATCATTTTAAAACTCTAAAAAAAACCCCATTAAACCCCCCAATAACCCCATTAAAAAACCCAAAAAATCCCATTAGAAAACCTGAAAATTCTGTTAAAAATCCCATTAAAAACAAAAAAAAAATCTCATTAGAAAACCCCAAAATCCCGATAAAAATCCCATTAAAAACCAAAAAAATCTCATTAGAAAACCTAAAAATCCTGTTAAAAATCACATTAAAAATCCCATTAAAAATCCTATTAAAAACAACCCAAAAAAATATCATTAGAAACCCCAAAATCCTGTTAAAAATCCTGTTAAAAATCCCATTAAAAACCAAAAAAAAAATCTCGTTAAAAACCCCAAACTCCTGTTAAAACTCCTGGTAAAAATCACATTAAAAACAACAAAAAAAACCTCATTAGAAACTCCAAAATCCTTTTAAAAATCCTGTTAAAAATCCTGTTAAAAATCCCATTAAAAACCAAAAAAAAATCTCATTAGAAACCCCAAAATCCTGTTACAAATCCTGTTAAAAATCCTGTTTAAAATCCCATTAAAAATAATAAAAAAATCTCATTAGAAACCCCAAAATCCTGTTAAAAATCCCATTAAAAAACCCCAAAAATCCCGTTAAAAAAAGCCAAAAATCGTGTTAAAAATCCCACTAAAAAACCCAAAATATTCTATTTAAACCCAAAAATCCCATTAAAAATCCCAAAAATCCCATTAAAAACCCCAAAAATCCCCATAAAATTAAAAAAAAATTAAAACAACAAAAAAAATCCCATTACAAAAATTAAAAACCAAAAAAAATCCCATTAAAAAAGTTAAAAACCAAAAAAAACCCCACAAAACAAAAAGTTAAAAACCCCCAAAAAATCTCATTAAAAATTTAAAAATTTCACAAAAAAACCCATTAAAAACCCATTAAACCCCCGAAATTCCCCCAAATTTCACTTGGAAATTCCCAAAATTTCCTCAGAAATTCCAAAAATTCCCAATTTTTCCCCAGAGAGTCCCAAAATTCCCAAATTTTCCGGGAATTCCGACCTTGCCGAACCAGGCGGTGCCGATTTCCTGCAGGAAGCTGAGCTGGGGCGGCCCCGGGGCGGCTGGGGGGAAAAATTCCCAAAATTCCATCAGAATTCCCAAAAATTCCCAAAATTCCCACCAAAATTCCCAATTTTCCACCAACATTCCCAAATTTCCACCCAAGAATTCCCATTTTCCCAAAAAATTCCCGTTTTCCAACCCAATATTCTGAATTTCCACCCAAAATTCCCAAATTTCCACCAACATTCCCAAAATTCCACCCAAAATTCTGAATTCCCACCCAAAATCCCCAAATTTCCACCCAAGATATCCCATTTTTAACCGAAAATTCCCATTTTCCAACCCAAAATTCTGAATTTCCACCCAAAATTCCCATTTTTCCACCCACAATTCCCAATTTTCCACCCAAAATTCTGATTTCCCACCAAAAATCCCCAAATTTCCATCCAAAATACCCAAATTCCCACCCATGAATTCCCATTTTTAACCGAAAATTCCCATTTTCCAACCCAAAATTCTGAATTCCCACCCAAAAATTCCCATTTTCCAACCCAAAATTCCCCATTTTCCACCAACACTCCCAATTTTCCATCCAAATTCCCAAATTCCCACCCAAATTCCCAAATTTCCACCCAAAATTTCCATTTTCCCCCATTTGCCCCCATTTTATTCCCATTTTTCCCATTTCCACCCCAAATTTTCCCGATTTTTCCCATTTTTTCCCCACATTCCCGTTTTCCCTGTTTTTTTCCCATTTCCCCATTTTCATCCCATTTTTCCCCATTTTTATCCCATTTTTTCCCATTTTATTCCCATTTTCCCCCATTTTTTCCCATTTTCCCCATTTCCCCCATTTATTCCCATTTCTCCCCATTTTTACCCATTTTTCCCCATTTATTCCCATTTTTTCCCTTTTCCCTCCCATTTTTCACCATTTTCCCCCCAATTTTTCCCATTTTTTCCTCATTTATTCCCATTTTTCCCATTTATTCCCTTTTTCCTCCCATTTTTCTCCATTTTCCCCCATTTTCCCCCCATTAATTCCCATTTTCCCCCCATTTATTCCCATTTTTATCCCCTTTTTTCCCCATTTTCCCATTTTTCCCCATTTTCCCCCCATTTATTCCCATTTTCCCCCCATTTATTCCCACTTATTCACATTTTTCCCCATTTCCCCCATTTATTCCCATTATTCCCCATTTTTTCTCCATTTATTCCCATTTTCCCCCATTAATTCCCATTTTTCCCCCCATTTTTTTCCCCATTTATTCCCATTTTTCCCTATTTATTCCCATTTTGTCCCGAATTATCCTCATTTATTCCAATTTTTCCCATTTTCCCCCATTTATTCCCATTTTCCCCCCATTAATTCCTATTTTTTTTCCCCATTTATTCCTATTTTTTCTCCATTTATTCCCATTTTCCCCCCATTAATCCCCATTTTTCCCCATTAATTCCAATTTTTCCCCCCATTAATCCCCTTTTTTCCCCCATTTATCCCCATTTTTTCCCCATTTTTTCCCGATTTTTTCCCATTTTTTCCCCCATTTATCCCCATATTTCCCCATTTTCCCCATTTTTCCCCATTTTCCCCCCATTAATTCCCATTTTTCCCTCATTTTTTCCCGATTTTTTCCCGATTTTTTCCCGATTTTCCCCCATTAATTCCAATTTTTCCCCATTTTTCCCCATTTCCCCCATTTTCTCCCCATTTATCCCATTTCCTCCCCATATTTTCCCCATATTTTCCCCATTTATTCCCATTTTTCCCCCATTTATCCCCCATTTATCCCATTTATTCCCATTTCCCCCATTTTTCCCCATTTATTCTCCATTTTCCCCCATTTCCCCCATTTATTCCCATTTTTCCCCATTTCCCCCATTTTATCCCCATTTTCCCCCCAATTATCCCCATTTCCCCCCAATTTTTCCCATTTATTCCCATTTTTCCCCATTTTCCCCCGATTAATTCCCATTTTTCCCTCATTTATCCCCATTTTTTCCCTATTTTTTCCCGATTTTTTCCCCATTTTCCCCCATATTTTCCCCATTTTCCCCCATTAATTCCCATTAATTCCCATTTTTCCCCCATTAATTCCCATTTTTCCCTCATTTTTCCCTCATTTTTTCCCAATTTTTTCCCGATTTTTTCCCCCTTTTTTCCCCATATTTCCCGATTTTTCCCAATTTCCCCGTTTTTTGCCCCAATTCCGTACCCGGGGGGGGCTCCAGGGGCACCACGAACACCCCGGGGGGGGCGCAGCAGGAGGAGGAGGAGGAGGAGGAAAATTCCTCCGGAGGCGCCGAAAATTCCCCGGAATCCTCGTCCCCCTCGGGGCTCTCCAGCTCCTGCGGGAATGCCGGAATTTTTTGGGGATTTTGGGGGATTTTTGGGAATTTTGGGAATTTTTTTGGGATTTTTGGGATTTAAAATGGATTTTTTTGGGATTTTTTTGGGATTTTTTTGGGATTTTTTTGGGGATTTTTTTGGGATTTTTTGGGAATTGTTTTGGAATTTTGGGGGATTTTTTTTTGGGAATTTTTTGGGTTTTAAATGGATTTTTTTGGGATATTTGGAATTTTTGGGGATTTTGGGGGGATTTTTTTTGGATTTTTAGGGTTTTAAAATGGATTTTTTGGGGATTTTTAAATGAATTTTTAGGATTTTTCTTTGATTTTTTTTGGAATTTATACTTTTCTTGGAATTTCAGGAATTTTGGGGGATTTTTTGGGAATTTTGGGGGGATTTTTGGGAATTTTTTGGTGATTTTTGGGGAACTTTTGGGAATTTCTGGGGAATTTTTTTGGGATTTTTGGGGTTTTAAAATGGATTTTTTGGGGAATTTTGGGAATTTTTGGGAAATGTTTTGGGGGATTTCTGGGGTTTTAAAATTGATTTTTTTAGGAATTTTTTTGGGAATTTTTAGGGGCATTTTGGGGGATATTTGGGGAAATTTTGGGGGGATTTTTGGGGTGAATTTTCCAGATTTGGTTGGTGAATTTTCAGGATTTTGGGGTTTTTATGGTTTTTTTGGTTCCTATTTGTGGATTTTGCGGTGAAATTTCAGGATTTGGGTTTTTTTTGGGGTGAATTTTGAAGATTTTGGGTTTTTTGGGGTAAATATTCAGTAATTTGGGTTCTTTTTTGATTTTTGGGGTCATTTTTTTGGGATTTTGGGCTGAATTTTCTGGGTTTTTTTGGGTGAATTTTCGTAGTTTTTGAGGTGAATTTTGGTGGTTTTTTTCAGTGAATTTTGGGGTTTTTTTTGTTTGAATTTTCATGATTTTGGGTTTTTGGGGTGGATTTTGGGGTGAATTTTCAGGATTTTGGATTTTTTAGGGGGTGATTTTTCATGGGTTTTTGTGTGAATTTTCTGTTTTTTTGGGTGAATTTTGAGGGTTTTTTTGGGTGAATTTTGGGGATTTGGGGCAAAATTTCAGGGATTTTTTTTGGGGTGAATTTTGGGGTGAATTTGGGGGATTTTGGCTCACCTTGAAGCCGAGGTCGCCGCGCTTGCAGCAGAGGCAGGTGAGGAGGAGGAGGACGAAGGCCCCGAGGGGGATTTGGGGTGAATTTTGGGGATTTTGGGCAGGATTTTGGGGATTTTTTTGGAGATTTTTTTGGGGATTTTTTTGGGGTGAATTTTGGTGTGAATTTTGGGGTGAATTTGGGGGATTTTGGCTCACCTTGAAGCCGAGGTCGCCGCGCTTGCAGCAGAGGCAGGTGAGGAGGAGGAGGACGAAGGCCACGAGGGGGATTTGGGGTGAATTTGGGTTTTTTTGGGGTTTTTTTGTTTGAATTTTCAGGGTTTGGGTTTTTTTGGGGTGAATTTTGAAGATTTTGGGTTTTTTGGGGTGAATTTTCAGTATTTTGGGTTATTTTTTGATTTTTGGGGTCATTTTTTGGGGATTTTGGGGTGAATTTTCTGGTCTTTTTCTGTTTTTTTGGGGTGAATTTTGGGGATTTTGGGCAGGATTTCGGGGATTTTTTTGGAGATTTTTTGGGGATTTTTTTGGGGATTTTTTTGGTGTGAATTTTGGGGTGAATTTGGGGGATTTTGGCTCACCTTGAAGCCGAGGTCACCACGTTTGCAGCAGAGGCAGGTGAGGAGGAGGAGGACGAAGGCCCCGAGGGGGATTTTGGCTGAATTTTGAGGTTTTTTTGGGGTAAATTTTGGGGATTTTGGGCAGAATTTTGGGGATTTTTTTTGGGGATTTTTTTGGTGTGAATTTTGGGGTGAATTTGGGGCATTTTGGCTCACCTTGAAGCCGAGGTCACCACGTTTGCAGCAGAGGCAGGTGAGGAGGAGGAGGACGAAGGCCACGAGCCCCGAACACGAGAGCAGCAGAGCGGCCGAGGGGGGACCCGCGGGGGGGGAGCCTGGAAATGGGGAAAAAAAGGGGGAAAATGGTTAAAAATGGGAGAAATGGGGAAAAATTGGGAATAAAATGGGAATAAGTGGGGGGAAATGGGGTAAAAAAGGGGGAAAATGGGAAAAAAATGGGGGAAATGGGGAAAAATGGGGGGAAATTGGAATAAATGGGAATAAATGGGGGAAATATGGGAATAAATGGGGAAAAATGGGGGAAAAAATGGGGAAAAATCGGAATAAATGGGAATAAATGGGGGAAAAATGGGAATAAATGGGAGAGAGGGGTAAAAATGGGGAAAATGGGGAAAAATGGAGAATAAATGGGAATAAGTAGAGGGAAATGGGGTAAAAAGGGGGGGAAAATGGGAAAAAATGGGGGGAAATGGGAAAAATGGGGGGAAATGGGGAAAATTTGGGATAAAATTGGAATAAGTGGGGGGAAATGGGGTAAAAAAGGGGGGAAATGGTAAAAAATGGGGGAAATGGGGGAAAAATGGGATAAAATGGGAATAAATGGGGGAGATGGGGTAAAAAAGGGGGAAAATGGTAAAAAATGGGGGAAATGGAGAAAAATGGGAATAAGTGGGGGGAAATGGGGGAAAAAAGGGGGAAAATGGTAAAAAATTGGGAAAATGGGGAAAAATGGGGGGAAATGGGGAAAAATTGGGATAAAATGGGAATAAGTGGGGGAAATGGGGTAAAAAAGGGGGAAAATGGTAAAAAATGGGGGGAATGGGGTAAAAAAGGGGAAAATGGGAAAAAATGGGGGAAATGGGGAAAAATTGGGATAAAATGGGAATAAGTGGGGGAAATGGGGTAAAAAGGGGGGAAAATGGGAAAAATTGGGGGAAATGGGGGAAAATGGGATAAAATGGGAATAAATGGATGAAAATGGGGAAAATTTAGGAAAATTGGGAAAAATTGGGAATAAATTGGAATAAATGGGGAAAATTTGGAAAAATGGGAATAATGAGGGGAAAATGGGAAAAATTTGGAATAAATGGGAAATAAATGGGGAAAAATGGGGGAAATTGGGGAATAAATACCAATAGCTGAACATATAATCAATAATCGATAATCAATAATCGATAACAGAAAACCGATAGTCAATAATTGATCATCAATACCAGACAAGCATTCCCTGATAAGCGATACCCAACAGCCGATACCCGATACCCAATAATCAATAACCAATAAGCAATAACTGATAATCGATACCTGATACCCAATAATCAAGAACCAATAATTTATAATAGATAATTGATAATCAATACCTGATAATCAATAACTGATAACTAGTAATCGATAAGCAATAACCAATAACCAATACCTGATAACTGATAATAGATAACTGATACCCGATGACCAATAATCTATAATCAATTACCAATAACCGATAACTGATACTCGATGACCCATAATTGATAATCGAAAGTCAATAACCAATAACCGATAACTGATACTCAATAACCAATACCCGCTAATTGTTACCCGATAACCGATAATCAATAACCGATAAAACAATACCCGATAAGCAATAACCAACAATTGATACCCGATAACCAATATCCGATAACCAATAACCGATAATCGACACCCGATAACCAATAACTGATGACTGATACTCAATGACCCATAATCCATAATCGATAATCAATAACCAATAACCGATAACTGATACTCAATAACCAATACCCAATACCCGTTAATTGTTCCCCAATAACCGATAATCAATAACCGATAAAACAATACCCGATAACCAATACCCGACAATTGATACCCGATAACCAATACCCGATAACCGATACCCGATAACCAATACCCGATAACCGATACCCGATAACCAATACCCGATAACCGACACCCGATACCCGACAACCGACACCCGATAACCAATAATCGATACCCGATAACCAATACCCGACAATCAATACCCAATAACCGACACCCGATAACCAATAACCGATGACCGATACTCAATACCCGATAACCGATAACCGATAACCGACACCGATAACCAATAACCGATACCCGATAATCAACACCCGATAACCAATAACCGATGACTGACACTCAATACCCGACAATCGATACCCGATAACCAATACCCGATAACCGATACCCGATAACCGACACCCGATAACCAATACCCGATGACCGACACTCAATACCCGACAGCCGACAGCCGATCGCCGCTGATCGATAACCGATAATCGATCACTCACCGCGGGCCGGGGGCGCCCCCAGCGCTGAGGGCGCTCCGAGCGCCGCCATGGCCGCCAGCAAAGGGGGCGGGGCCAAGGGAGGGCGGGGCCAAGGTGGACACGCCCACTTCATCGCAGGCCACGCCCATAAAGGGGCGGGGTTAGAGGGGAGGGGCGGGGTCAGCGGGAGGGGCGGGGTCAGCGGGGCATGAGGGGAATGGGGAAAATGGGGGAAAATCGGGAAAAATGGGGAAAAATTTGGAATAAAAAGGGGGGAAATGGGGAAAAATGGGGGGAAATAGGGATTTAAAAGGAAAAAATGGGGATTAAAAGGGAAAAAATGGGGGGAAAATGAGGGAAAATTGGGAATTAAAAGGGGGAAAATTGGGAATTAAAAGGGGGAAAAATGGGGGATTAAAAGGGAAAAAATGGGGATTAAAAGGGAAAAAATGGGGAAAAATGAGGGAAAATGGGGGAAAATGGGGATTAAAAGGGAAAAAATGGGGAAAAAATGAGGATTAAAAGGGAAAAAATGGGGGAAAATGAGGGAAAATGGGGAAAAATGGGAATGAAATCGGGGAAAACGGGGAAAAATGGGGATTAAAAGGGAAAAAATGGGGGAAAATGAGGGAAAATGGGAATGAAATGGGAAAAAATCGGGAAAATTAGGGAAAATTGGGGAAAAATGGGGATTAAAAGGGAAAAAATGGGGGAAAATGAGGGAAAAATGGGGATTAAAAGGGGATTAAATGGGAAAAAATGGGGGAAAATGAGGGAAAATTGGGAAAAATGGGAATGAAATGGGGGAAAATTGGGAATAAAAAGGGGGAAATGGGGGAAAATCGGGAAAAATTGGAATGAAATTGGGAAAATTGGGGGAAAATGGGAATGAAATGGGGGAAAATTGGGAAAAATTAGGGAAAATCGGGGAAAACGGGAATTAAAAGGGAAAAAATTGGGAACATGAGGAAAAATTTGGAATAAAAAGGGGGAAAATGGGGAAAAATTAGGGAAAATTGGGGAAATGGGGATTAAAAGGGGAAAAAATGGGGAAAATGAGGAAAAATTTGGAATAAAAAGGGGAAATGGGAACAATGGGGAAAAATTTGGAATAAAAAGGGAAAAATTTGGAATAAAAAGGGGGAAAATGGGGGAAGATTGGGAAAATTTGGAATAAAAAGGGAAAAATCTGGAATAAAAAGGGGGGAAATTGGGAAAAATGGGGAAAATTTGGAATATAAAGGGGGGAAATGAGGGAAAATGGGAAAAATTGGAATTTAAAAAGGGAAAAAATGGGAAAAAGGGAAAATTGGGAATTAAAAGGGGGAAATTGGGGGAAAATGGTAATTAGAGGGGGTAAAATTTGGAAACCAGATAATTAAAAGGGGAGAAATGGGGAAAATGAGGGAAAATTGGGAATTAAATGGGCGAAATGGGGGAAAATGAGGAAAAATTGGGAATTAAAATTGGAAAAATTGGAATAAAAGGGGGAAAATTGGAATTTAAAAGGCGGGAAATGGGAAAAATGAAGAAAAATTGGGAATTAAAAGGGGAAAATTGGGAAAAATTGGAATTACAATGGGGAAATTGGGAAAAATGGGAAAAATTGGGAATTAAAAGGAAATATGGGGAAAAATTGGGAATTAAAAGAGGGAAAATGAGGAAAATTGGGAATTAAAAGGGGGAAAATGGGGAAAATTGGGAAAATTGAGAATGAAAAGGTGAAAAAACTTGGAAAAATGGGAATTAAAAGGGGGAAAATGGGAAAAAGGGAATTAAATGGCGGAAAATGGGGAAAATGAGGAAAAATTGGGAATTAAAAGGCAAAAAAACGTGGAAAATGAGAATTAGAAGGGGGAAATGGGAAAAATTGGGAATATTGGGAATGAAAAGGGGAAAAATGGGAATTAAAAGAGGGGAAATGAGGAAAAATAGGAAAAATGGGGAAATGGGAATTAAAAGGGGGAAAATAGAGGAAAAAATGGGGAGGAAATAGGAACAAAAAAAGGAAAAATGGGGAAATAAAGAGGAAAAATGAGGGGAAAAGGAGGAATAAATGGAGGAAAATTGGGAAAAAAATGGGAATTAAATACAGGAAAATGAGGGAAAATAAGGAGGGAGAAAATGGGGGAAATTGGGAAAATAGGGAGGAGGAAAAGGGGAATTAATTGGGGAAGAAATGAGGGAAAATTGGGAAAAAAGGGGAATTAATGAGGGGAAAAAAAGAAGGGAAAAATCTGGGGAAAAAAAGGAGCGTTTGTGAGGGAGAAAGGAGAAAAAACAGGGAAAAAACGGAGGGAAAATGGGGCAAAAAAAGAGAATTTAGGGCGGGGTTTGAGGGGGGATCTCAGAGGCCAAAAAAGCGAATTGAAAAAGAGGAAAAAACGAGGGAAAAATGCGGAAAAAAGGAAAATAAAAAGGAAAATCGGGAATTTTGTGGGGGGGGGGAAATGGAGGGGAGGGGGACAAAGGGGGGGGAGGAAAAAAGGGGCGGGGGCGGTTCCAAAAGGCGGGGGGGGGTCCCGGGGGGGTCCCCGCGGCGGAGGCGGCGGCGGTGCCGCTGTCGCGACCGATCGCGACCGATCGCGACCCCCCCCCAATTCCCGCGGCCCCCCCCGCGGTCCGTGAGGAAAATGGGCCCGCCCAAGGAAATGCGGGCGGTGATTGGTTGAAGGGGGTGTCAATCAAAGTGGCAAAGGGAGGGGCGGGGCGAGAGGAGGGGTTGTCATGGTAACGGGGATGGGGATTTGGGGGGTTTCTGGGGGATTTTGGGGGTTTTTGGGAATTTTTGGGGTGTGAGGGGATTTTAGGGAGTTTGGGTGGGAGATTTGGGGGTTTTTGGGGGGTTTAAGGGGGTTTTGGGTGGGAGATTTGGGGTTTTTGGGGGGCTTTTGAGGCGATTTTGGGTGGGAGATTTGGGGTGAGTTGGGATTTTTTGGGGGTTTTTGAGGGGAATTTTGGGGATTTTTGGGGGGTTTTGGGGATTTTGGGGTGTGGGGGGATTCGGGGCGATTTTGGGTGGGAAATTTGGGGGTTTTTGGGGTTTTTGGGGGGTTTTGAGGCGATTTTGGGTTGGAGATTTGGGGGGGATTGGGGTTTTTTGGGGGGTTTGAGGCGATATTGGGTGGGAGATTTGGGGGTTTTTGGGGGGTTTGAGGGGGTTTTGGGTGGGAGATTTGGGGGTTTTTGGGTTTTTTTTGGGGGGTTTGAGGTGATTTTGGGTGGGAGATTTGGGGCGAGTTGGGGTTTTTTGGGGGGTTTGAGGGGAATTTTGGGGGTTTTTGGGGTGTGAGGGGATTTTAGGGAGTTTGGGTGGGAGATTTGGGGGTTTTTGGGGGGTTTTGGGGATTTTTGGGGTGTGAGGGGATTTTAGGGAGTTTGGGTGGGAGATTTTGGGGTTTTTGGGGGGTTTGAGGCGGTTTTGGGTGGGAGATTTGGGGGGATTTGGGGTTTTTTTGGGGGTTTTGAGGCGATTTTGGGTGGGAGATTTGGGGGTTTTTGGGCTTTTAGGGGTTTTTTGGGGGGGTGTGAGGGGAATTTTGGGGATTTTTGGGGGGTTTTGGGGTGTGAGGGGATTTTAGGGAGTTTGGGTGGGAGATTTGGGGGTTTTTGGGTTTCTTGGGGGGTTTGAGGCAATTTTGGGTGGGAGATTTGGGGTTTTTGGGGGGTTTTGAGGCGATTTTGGGTGGGAGATTTGGGGGGAGTTGGGATTTTTTGGGGATTTTTGAGGGGAATTTTGGGGATTTTTGGGGGGTTTTTGGGGGTTTTTGGGTGTGAGGGGATTAGGGGAGATTTTGGGTGGGAGATTTCAGGGTTTTTGGGGGGTTTTGAGGCGATTTTGGGTGGGAGATTTGGGGGGATTTGGGGTTTTTCGGGTTTTTTTTGGGGGTTGTGAGGGGAATTTTGGGGAGTTTTGGGGGGTTTTGGGGTGTGAGGGGATTTTAGGGAGTTTGGGTGGGAGATTTGGGGGTTTTTGGGTTTTTTGGGGGGTTTGAGGCGATTTTGGGCGGGAGATTTGGGGGGGTTTGGGGTTTTGAGGGGTTTTTTCTGGGGGGTGTGAGGGGAATTTTGGGGGGATTTTTGGGGGGTTTGGGGGATTTTTGGGGTGTGAGGGGATTTTAGGGAGTTTGGGTGGGAGATTTGGGGGTTTTGGGGGCGTTTGAGGCGATTTTGGGTGGAAGATTTGGGGGGTTTTGGGGTTTTTAGGGGTTTTTTTGGGGGGGTTTGAGGGGATTTTGGGTGGGGAAATTTGGGTGGGAGTTGGGATTTTTTGGGTGGTTTGAGGGGAATTTTGGGGGATTTTGGGGATTTTTGGGGTGTGAGGGGATTTGAGGGAGTTTGGGTGGGAGATTTGAGGGTTTTGGGGGTTTTTTGGGGGGTTTGAGGGGATTTTGGGTGGGAGATTTGGGGGGTTTGGGGTTTTTAGGGTTTTTTTTGGGGGGTTTGAGGGGATTTTGGGTGGGAGATTTGGGGGGTTTTGAGTTTTGGGGCCTTGAGGGGAATTTTGGGGGATTTTGGGATCTCCAGGGGGGATTTTGGGGATACTGGGGGGTGTGAGGGGATTTAATGGGTTTTGCGGCGATTTTGAGCGGGAGATTTGGGGTTTTCGGTTTTTTTGGGGGGATTTGAGGGGATTTTTAAAAAATTTTGGATATTGGATGGGATTTTCGGTGCCTTTATGGGAGTGTGTGGAGAGTTTTGAGGGGATTTGGGGCAATTTTGGGCGGGTTTTTTGGGGATATTGAGGGGACAACACGGAGCCACACCCCAGTGACACGCAGGGACGCACCTGCACAGCTCCACGAGCCCTCAGTGTCCCCAAAAATCGCCCCAAAATCCCCCAAATTCCCCCCAAAATCCACCCGCTCCCCCTTGGAGGACTCGGCCCTCCTGCCCCTCCCTCAGGACAAAATGGCGGCGCCCAACGCGGCCTCTCCTCATCTCTATGATCCTCCCACGCCTCTCTCTTATTGGTCAAAACCGCCCTCACCGCGCGTTTTGATTGGCTCTCATGAAGGAAATGCGCGTTGCGTCTCCCCGCCGAGTATATAAACCCACGCAGGCCGCCTCACCCTTCTTTCCGTGCCCGCGAACGCGGCGGGGCTGAGGTGAGGCAGCGTTGACCGCCGGTACCGCGGATCCCTCCCGGGGTTCCCCTCACCTCTCCCGGAGCTTTCCCGGTGTTACCGGGACCCCCTCGGGATTTACCGGGAGCGGCGGCATCGCTTTAAAGCGAGTCTGAGGCCTTGGCAAAGCTCCGAGATCCGCGCGGGCGGTTCTGAGGGCGCGGTGAGGGCGCCGTCTAGCGGGCGGGTGCTGCGCATGCGCAGAACGCGCCATGTGCTGTGAGGGGTGTGGGGGGGGCGGTGGAAATTTTGGAATTTCGGGCAAAATTTGGGAATTTATGGGAATTTGGGGATTAAAGAATATCGCGATTTACCGGGAGCGGCGGCATCGCTTTAAAGCAAATCTGAGGCCTTGGCAAAGCTCCGAGACCCGCGCGGGCGGTTCTGAGGGCGCGGTGAGGGCGCCGTCTAGCGGGCGGGTGCTGCGAGGGGTGGGGGGGGGGGCGGTGGAAATTCGGGAATTTCGGGTAAATTTGGGAATTTCGGGCAAATTTGGGAATTTATCGGAATTTGGGGATTAAAGAATATCGCGATTTACCGGGAGCGGCGGCATCGCTTTAAAGATAAACTGAGGCCTTGGCAAAGCTCCGAGACCCGCGCGGGCGGTTCTGAGGGCGCAGTGAGGGCGCCGTCTAGCGGGCGGGTGCTGCGCATGCGCAGAGCGCGCCACGTGCTGTGAGGGGTGTGGGGGGGGCGGTGGAAATTTGGGAATTTCGGGTAAATTTGGGAATTTCGGGCAAATTTTGGTATTTATCGGAATTTGGGGATTAAAGAATATCGCGATTTACCGGGAGCGGCGGCATCGCTTTAAAGCAAATCTGAGGCCTTTGGCAAAGCTCGAAGATCTGCGCGGGCAGTTCTGAGGGCGCGGTGAGGGCGCCGTCTAGCGGGCGGGTGCTGCGAGGGGTGTGGGGGGGCGGTTAAAATTTGGGAATTTCGGGCAAATTTGGGAATTTATCGGAATTTGGGGATTAAAGAATATCGCGATTTACCGGGAGCGGCGGCATTGCTTTTTAGCAAATCTGAGGCCTTGGCAGAGCTCCGAGACCCGCGCGGGCGGTTCTGAGGGCGCGGTGAGGGCGCCGTCTAGCGGGCGGGTGCTGCGCATGCGCAGAGCGCCCCACGTGCTGTGAGGGGTGGGGGGGGTGGTTAAAATTTGGGAATTTCGGGCAAATTTGGGAATTTCGGGCAAATTTGGGAATTTATCGGAATTTGGGGATTAAAGAATATCGCGATATTGCCCTGCAGCTGTCGCCATGCCCGTGGCGCGGAGTTGGGTGTGTCGCAAGACCTACGTGACCCCGCGGCGCCCCTTCGAGAAGTCGCGGCTCGATCAGGAGCTGAAGCTGATCGGTAAAAACGGCGGGAAAAATTTAAAAATGGGGGTTTTTGGGGTTGTGAGGGGAAAAAATGAGTATTTTGGGGTTTGTGAGGGGAAAACGTGAGGTTTGGGGGATAAGGGGATTTTTGGGGAAAATGTGAGGGTTTGGGGAAAAAATGGGAATTTTGTAAGTAAAAAAGTGAATTTTTTGGGGGGTTTTTGAGGGGAAAAATGGGGATTTCTGAGGGGAAAATATGGAAAATGTCGGGATTTCATTAAGGAAAAAAATGGAAATTTTTAGGTTTTTTGAGGGGGAAAAGTGAGGTTTGAGCAGAAATAAGGGGGTTGTGGGGGAAAATGTGAGGTTTGGGGAAAAATTGGAATTTTAGGGGTTTTTGAGGGGAAAAATGGAAACTTTGGGGGATTTCTGAGAGGAAAAATGGGGATTTTTGGGGTTTGTGAGGGGGAAAAAGTGAATTTTTTTTGATTTCTGAGGGGGAAAAATTCAATTTTCTTGAGAAAAAATTCGGATTTCGTGGAAATAAATTCGGATTCTGTAGAAAAAACTCAATTTTCTTGGGAAAAAAATCAGATTTTGTGTAAAAAAGTCCAGATTTTGTAAAAAAAAAAAAAAACAAAACGCATTTCGTGGGAAATAATTCTATTTTTGTGGAAAAAGGTTTTGATCGTGTGGGGGGAAATCGGATTTTGTGGGAAAAAGTCTGATTTTATGGGAAAAAAAATCTGTATATAGTGGGAAAAAGTACAGATTTTGTGGGAAAAATTTGAATTTTATGGAAAAAATTGACTTTTCATAGGAAAAAAATCAGATTTTATGAGAAAAAATTGATTTTTTTTGCTAAAAACACAGAATTTTTTGGGGAATTTTTTTTTTTTGTGAGAAAATCGTTTTGGGAGGGTTGTGAATTTTGGGAATTGTTGTGAATTTTGGTAATTTTCGGCCCTCAGGGGAGTACGGGCTGCGGAACAAGCGCGAGGTGTGGCGGGTGAAGTTCACCCTGGCCAAGATCCGCAAGGCGGCGCGGGAGCTGCTGACGCTGGATGAGAAGGACCCGCGGCGCCTCTTCGAGGGTGAGCCCGCCTCAAAATTACCCTTTTTTACCCCAAATTCTTCCTCTTCTGGTCCCTATTTTATTCTGCCTTTTCCTGATTTTTTTCTGATTTTTTCTGATATTTTTTCTGATTTTTTCTTATTTTTTTCCTATTTTTTTTCTGATTTTTTTGTGATTTTTGGTGGGATTTAAAAAAAATTTTTTCTGATTTTTTCCTAATTTTTTCTAATATTTTTTCTGAATTTTTCCTATTTTTTTCCCATTTTTTTCTGATTTTTTTGCAATTTTTTTCTGATTTTTTTCCCTGAATTTTTTTGCAATTTTCTCAAGGTTTTTTTTTCTATTTTTTTCTGATATTTTTCCTGAATTTTTCCTATTTTTTCTTGTTTTTTTCAGATTTTTTTGCAATTATTTCTGATTTTTTTCCCTGATTTTTGTTGCGATTTTCTCCAGTTTTTTCTAACTTTTTTCTGATTTTTTCAGATTTTTAAGAAAAATTTCTCCCAATTTTCTGCCTTTATTTTCTCCCCTTTCCCCCCCTTTTTTCCTTCATTTTTCTCCCGATTTTTTTCCATTTCTCTCCAATTTTCTCCCTATTTCCCCCCCATTTGTCCCGCATTTTTCTTCTCTTTTTTCCTGCATTTTCTCCCCAATTATTTCCCTGATTCTCTCTATTTTTCTTCCCATTTTTTCCTGTGTTTCCTCCCCATTTTTATTCACTATTTTGCCACCATTTCCCCCTATATTTTTCCCATTTCCTCCCCATTTTTATTCACTATTTTGCCACCATTTCCCCCCTTATTTTTCCCATTTCCTCCCCATTTTTATTCACTGTTTTGCCACCATTTCCCCCCTTATTTTCTCTCCATTTTCTCCCTATTTTTCGCCATTTTCTCCCCATTTTTTCCTCATTTCTCCCCTTTTTTCTCCCATTTTCTCCCTTTATTTTCTCCCTGTATTTCTCCCATTTTCTCTCCATTCCCCCACTATTTTTCCTGCATTTTCTCCCCATTTTTCCTGCATTTTCTCCCCAATTTTTCCCTATTTTTCTCCAGTTTTTCTCCCCAATTTTTTTCCTGTTTCTCTCTAATTTCCCCTCATTTTCCCCCTGTATCTTTTCCCCATATTTCCACCATTTCCCCCCTTTTTTCTCCGCAATTTATCTGTGTTTCTCCCCAATTTCTTTCCCCTATTTTCTCCATGTTTTTCCTTATTTCCTCCCCGTTTTCTCCCTTTATTTTCTCCCTATATTTTTTCTGTTTTCTCCCTATTTTTTTTCCACTATTTTGCCTCCATTTCTTCCCTTATTTTCTCCCTACTTTTCCTCACTTCTCCCCATTTTTCCCCCCATTTTTCCCACATTTTCCTCCCCATTTTCCTGCATTTTCTCCCCAATTATTTCCTTGCTTCTCCTCATTTTTCTTCCCATTTTTTCCTGTGTTTTCTCCCCATATTTTTCCCATTTCCTCCCCATTTTTATTCACTATTTTGCCACCATTTCCCCCCGTATTTTTTCCATTTCCTCCCCATTTTTATTCACTGTTTTGCCACCATTTCCCCCCGTATTTTTCCCATTTCCTCCCCATTTTTATTCACTATTTTGCCAACATTTCCCCCCGTATTTTTTCCATTTCCTCCCCATTTTTATTCACTGTTTTGCCACCATTTCCCCCCTTATTTTCTCCCCATTTTCTCCCCATTTTTCTCCATTTTCTCCCCATTTTTATTTACTATTTTGCCACCATTTCCCCCCTTATTTTCTCTCAATTTTCTCCCCATTTTTCTCATTTCCTCCCCACTTTTATTCACTATTTTTCCACCATTTCCCCCCTTATTTTCTCTCCATTTTCTCCCCATTTTTCACCATTTTCTCCCCATTTTTTCTGTATTTTTGCCCCTTTCCCCCCAATTTTCTCCAATTTTCTCCCCGTTTTTTTCTTTTAAAACCTCCAATTTACCCAAAATCCTCCTTTTTCCCCCCAAACCTGCAGGCAACGCGCTGCTGCGGCGCCTGGTGCGCATCGGGGTGCTGGACGAGGGCAAGATGGGGCTGGATTACATTGCCCAAAATCCTCAATTTCCCCAATTCCCTTTTCCCATTTTCTCCCCTTTTTGCCTCTATTTTCTGCCCATTTTTTCTCCTATTTTTCCTCTATTTTTTCCCCTTATTTTCTCCTCTACTTCTGCCCATTTTTTCCCATTTTCCTCATTTTTTCTCCCCATTTTCCCTTTGTTTTTCCTCCCTTTTTCTCCCCATTTTCTTCCTTTACTTTCTCCTCATATTTCTCCCATTTTTCCCTGTTTTTTCCTGTATCTTTTCCCCATTTTCTCCCTTATTTTCTCCCAATTTTCTGCCTTTATTTTCTCCCAGTTTTCCCCCTATTTTTCCCTCATTTTTCTCCCCATTTTTTCCATTTCTCTCCAATTTTCTCCCAATTCCCTCCTCTATTTTTACTGCATTTTTCTTCCCATTTTTTCCTGTGTTTTCTCCCCATATTGTTGTTTTCTTCCTTTATTTGCTCCCTATATTTCTCTCAATTTCTCCACCTTTTTTCCTCATTTCCCCCCAATATTTCCCTTATTTTACCCACATTTTTCTCCCATTTTCCCAAATTTTTCTTGTAGTTTCTCCCCAAATTCTTTCCCCTATTTTCTCCATGTTTTTCCTTATTTCCTCCCCATTTTCTTCCTTAATTTTCTCCCTACTTCTCCCCATTTTCCCCCCATTTTTCCCTATGTACTCCCTTTATTTCCTTCCCATATTCCTCCCCGTTTCTGACCATTTTTCTCCTTATTATTCCCCATTTTTTTTTCTATTTTTCCCCCATTTCCCCTCTATTTCCTCCCAGTTTCCCCCATGTTTTCTCCCCATTTTTTCCTTATTTTACCTAATTTTTGCCCTGTTTTTCTCCAAATTTTCCCCCTTTTCTCCCGATTTTTTGCTACTTTCTCCCCGTTTTTTTCTTTTAAAATACCCAATTTGCCCAAAATCCCCTTTTTTCCCCCCAAACCTGCAGGCAACGCGCTGCTGCGGCGCCTGGTGCGCATCGGGGTGCTGGACGAGGGCAAGATGAAGCTGGATTACATTTTGGGGCTGAAAATCGAGGATTTCCTGGAGCGCCGCCTGCAGACCCAGGTCTTCAAGCTGGGCCTGGCCAAGTCCATCCACCACGCCCGCGTGCTCATCCGCCAGCGCCACATCCGGTGGGTTCCTGCCAAAAATCCCCAAATTTTGGGTGAAATTCCCGCGTTTTTGGGAGCTCGGCAAGGCCTCACTGCGGCTCCGCCGTACACCTTGCGAAGGGCGGCGCCAAAGGGGTGAAAGCAGGTAAAAAACACCAATTCCCACAATTTTGGATGTTTTTAGGAATGTTTACAGGATGCTCATCCAAAAATTTTGGGGTTCGATGTAAAATTTTGGGTTTTTTCCCCAAATTTTTGGCGTTTTCGCGCCAATTTTCGCAGAACGATTTTCAAAAATCAAGAGGCGTATTTTTAACGGTTTTCTCCCAATTTTTTTTCTGGAATCATTCCAAAGGTGCTTTCTGGATAAATTTGGGAATCTTTGAAGGATTTGGATCCTGAAATTCCTGAGAAAACCCCAAATTTTGGGTTTTTTTACCCAAATTTTTGGAGTTTTCCCGCCGATTTTCACATCAAGCTCAAAAGTGAAATTTTTTTGTGGCTTTGTCCCAAATTCTGGTGGTTTTGTCCCAAATCTGGGATTGTGGACATCTTTAGGATGAAGTCCAGTGGATACCAGGCAGGAATTCCCAAAATCCGCCCCAATTTTGGGTGAAATTCCCGCGTTTTTGGGAGCTCGGCAAGGCCTCACTGCGGCTCCGCCGTACACCTTGCGAAGGGCGGCGCCAAAGGGGTGAAAGCAGGTAAAAAACACCAATTCCCACAATTTTGAGTGTTTTTGGGGAATTTCGGACAATTTCAGGAATGTTTAGAGGATGTTCATCCTAAAATTTTGGGGTTCGATGCGAAATTTTTGGGTTTTTTCCCAAATTTTTGGCGTTTTCTCGCCAATTTTCGCAGCGATTCTCGAAAGTCAAGAGATAGATTTTTCACAGTTTTCTCCCCAGATTTTTTTCTGGAATCATTCCAAAGGACCTTTCTGGATAAATTTGGGAATCTTTGAAGGATTTGGATTCTGGAATTCATGAGTAAATGCCAAATTTTGGGTTTTTTCCCCCAAATTTTTGGTGTTTTCTCGCCAATTTTCGCAGCGATTCTTAGAAGTCAAGAGACGAATTTTGAGGATTTTCTCCCAAATTTTGTGCTTTTCCCCCCAAATTTTTTGGGAATTTGAGAATTGCAAATCCTAATCTCATTTTCCCCTCGAAAAGTCTCAAAAAAAAATCCGATTTTTGTCCAAAAAAAGTGCTTTTTTTGCTCTAAAATCTCCAAATTTTGAGATGCTGACCCCAAATTTTGGGAATATTCCCCAAATTTTTGGGATTCTCCTTCCCACTCCTCTTTCTCTCCTAAACCTCATAAAATTCCCGAAAAAAAGCGATTTTCACCCTCTGAAATGGCGATTTTCATGTGGAAAAAGCGCTTTTCCCAAATTTTGGGATGCTGACTCCCAAATTTTGGGAATATTCCCATATTTTTGGGATTCTCCTTCCTGACATTTCCCAAACCATTTTCTCTCTTAAATCTCATTTTCCCCTCGAAAAGTCTCAAAAAAAAAGTGATTTTTTTGTGGAAAAAGCGCTTTTTTTGCCATAAAATCTCCAAATTTTGTGATGCTGACTCCAAATTTTGGGAAAATTTCCCAAATTTTTGGGATTCTCTTTCCTGACATTTCCCGAACCATTTTCTCTCCTAAATCTCATTTTTCCCTCACAAATTCTTGACAAAAATGCGATTTTCGCTTTTCGAAAACGCGATTTTCGCGCAGAAAAAAGCGCTTTTCCCAAATTTAGGGATTCTGACTCCAATTTTGGGAAAATTTCCTGAATATTTGGGATTCTCTTTCCTGACATTTCCCAGACCATTTTCTCTCTTTAATCTCATTTTCCCCTCACAAATTCTCAAAAAAAAAGCAATTTTTGTGCAAAAAAAGCGCTTTTTTTGCCATAAAATCTCCAAATTTTGGGAAAATTCCCATTTTTTTGGGATTCTCTTTGCTGACATTTCCCAGACCATTTTCCCTCTTAAATCTCATTTTTCCATCACAAATTCTCAAAAAAAGTGATTTTCACTCTCCAAAAACGCGATTTTTGCGCGGAAAAAAGCGCTTTTCCCAAATTTTGGGATTCTGACTCCCGAATTTTGGGAAAAGTTCCCAAATTTTTGGGATTCTTTTTCCTGACATTTCCCAGACCATTTTCTCTCTTAAATCTCATTTTCCCCTCACAAATTCTCGAAAAAAATGCGATTTTCGCTCTCCAAAGCGCTTTTTTGGCCGTAAAAAAGCCGAATTTTAAAATTCTGAATCCCGAATTTTGGGAAAATTTCTCGAATTTTTGGGATTCTCTTTCCTGACACTTCCCAGACCATTTTCTCTCTTAAATCTCATTTTCCCCTCGAAAAAAATGTGATTTTCGCTCTCCGAAAATGCGATTTTCGTGCAAAAAACTGCAATTTTCGCCTGGAAAAAATCGCTTTTTTGTCCGTAAAAATCCCAAATTTCAGAGTTTTGACCCGGGATTTTTTTTGGGAAATCGGGAACGGCAGGGTCCGGAAGCAGGTGGTGAACATCCCTGAGCCTCATCCCAAAAAATCCCGGCTGTGCCCCGTCCATCCCAATTCCCTGCCAAAAATGTGATTTTTGTGCAGCAAAAAAGCCAAATTTAAAGATTCTGACTCCAAATTTTGGGAAAATTTCCCGAATATTTGGGATTCTCTTTCTTGACATTTCCCAGACCATTTTCTCTCTTAAATCTCATTTTCCCCTCATAAATTTAAAAAAAATAGTGATTTTCATGTGGAAAAAAGCGCTTTTCCCAAATTTTGAGATTCTGACTGCGAATTTTGGGAAAATTTCCCGAATTTTTGGGATTCTCTTTCCGGACATTTTCCAGACCGTTTTCTCTCTTAAATCTGATTTTTTCCTGACAAATTCTCAAAAAAAATGCGATTTTCGCTCTCTAAAGCGCTTTTTTGGCCGTAAAATAGCCGAATTTTAAAATTCTGAATCCCGAATTTTGGGAAAATTTCTCGAATTTTTGGGATTCTCTTTCCTGACATTTCCCAGACCGTTTTCTCTCTTAAATCTGATTTTTTCCTGACAAATTCTCAAAAAAAATGCAATTTTTGCTCTCCGAAAATGCGATTTTCGCGCAGAAAAAAGCGATTTTCGCGCGGAAAAAACCGAATTTTTGTCCGTAAAAATCCCAAATTTCGGAGTTTTGACCCGGGATTTTTTTTGGGAATCCGGGAACGGCAGGGTCCGGAAGCAGGTGGTGAACATCCCTGAGCCTCATCCCAAAAAATCCCGGCTGTGCCCCGTCCATCCCAATTCCCTGCCAAAAATGTGATTTTTGTGCAGCAAAAAAGCCAAATTTAAAGATTCTGACTCCAAATTTTGGGAAAATTTCCCGAATATTTGGGATTCTCTTTCTTGACATTTCCCAGACCATTTTCTCTCTTAAATCTCATTTTCCCCTCATAAATTTAAAAAAAATAGTGATTTTCATGTGGAAAAAAGCGCTTTTCCCAAATTTTGAGATTCTGACTGCGAATTTTGGGAAAATTTCCCGAATTTTTGGGATTCTCTTTCCGGACATTTTCCAGACCGTTTTCTCTCTTAAATCTGATTTTTTCCTGACAAATTCTCAAAAAAAATGCGATTTTCGCTCTCTAAAGCGCTTTTTTGGCCGTAAAATAGCCGAATTTTAAAATTCTGAATCCCGAATTTTGGGAAAATTTCTCGAATTTTTGGGATTCTCTTTCCTGACATTTCCCAGACCGTTTTCTCTCTTAAATCTGATTTTTTCCTGACAAATTCTCAAAAAAAATGCAATTTTTGCTCTCCGAAAATGCGATTTTCGCGCAGAAAAAAGCGATTTTCGCGCGGAAAAAACCGAATTTTTGTCCGTAAAAATCCCAAATTTCGGAGTTTTGACCCGGGATTTTTTTTGGGAATCCGGGAACGGCAGGGTCCGGAAGCAGGTGGTGAACATCCCTGAGCCTCATCCCAAAAAATCCCGGCTGTGCCCCGTCCATCCCAATTCCCTGCCAAAAATGTGATTTTTGTGCAGCAAAAAAGCCAAATTTTGAGATTTTGGCTCCCGAATTTTGGGAAAAAATTCCATATTTTTGGGATTCTCTTTCCTGACATTTTCTAGACCATTTTCACTCTTAAATCTCATTTTCCCCTCAAAAAGTCTCGAAAAAAATGCGATTTTTGTCCAGAAAAAGCGGTTTTTTTGCCGTAAAATCTACAAATTTGGAGATTCTGACTCCAAATTTTGGGAAAATTCCCATTTTTTTGGGATTCTCTTTCCTGACATATCCCAGACCATTTTCTCTCTTAAATCTCATTTTTGCCTCACAAATTTCTCAAAAAAAAAGCGATTTTCATGTGGAAAAAAGCGCTTTTCCCAAATTTAAGGATTCTGACTTCAGAATTTTGGGAAAAAATTCCATATTTTTGGGATTCTCTTTCCTGACATTTCCCAAACCATTTTCTCTCTGAAATCTCATTTTCCCGCACAAATTCTCAAAAAAAAAAGGGTTTTTTGCGCAGAAAATTGCGATTTTTGCGCGTAAAAAATTACTTTTTTTGCCGTAAAACACCCAAATTTCGGAGTTTTGACCCGGGGTTTTTTTTGGGAATTCGGGAATTGCAGGGTCCGGAAGCAGGTGGTGAACATCCCGTCGTTCATCGTGCGCCTGGACTCCCAAAAACACATCGACTTCTCTCTTCGCTCCCCCTACGGCGGCGGCCGCCCCGGGCGCGTCAAGAGGAAAAACGCCAAAAAAGGTCAAGGAGGCGCCGGGGGGGCCGAGGATGAGGAGGAGGATTGAGAGTTTTCCCCGAAAAAATGGGAATTCCCAAAATTTGGTGAGTTTTGGGGGGGTTGAGTGGGGTAAAATGGTGTTTAAAAGGGGATTTTTTGGGGTTTGAAGGCGGTTTTTTTGGGTGTTGGAAGGGTAAAAGTTGGGGTTTTGGGGAGTTTAAAGGGTTAAAAGTTGAGTTTTGGGTGTTAAATTTGGATTTTGGGGGGTTAAATCGAATTTTTGGGGAGTAAAAGGGTTAAAATTGGAGTTTCAGGGAGTTGAAAGGGTTAAAAGTCGATTTTTGGGAGTTTAAAGGCAAATTTTGGGGTTTGAAAGGATTAAATCTTAATTTTTAGGATTTTAAAGGGAAATTTTTGGGGGTTTAAAAGGTTAAAATTGGAGTTTTGGGCGTTAAAATTGGATTTTGGGGGGTTTAAATTGAATTTTTGGGGAGTAAAAGGGTTAAAATTGGATTTGGGAGTTTAAAGGGAAATTTTGGAGGTTTGAAAGGGTTAAAATTGAAGTTTTGGGAGTTTAAAGGGAAATTTTTGGGGTTTAAAAGGGTTAAAATTGGAGTTTTGGGTGTTAAAATTGGATTTTGAGGGGTTTAATGGAATTTTTGGGGACTTTAAAAAGTTAAAATTGGAGTTTGGGGTAAAAATTGTGTTTTTTGGGGCCTTAAAGGGGATTTTGGAGGAGCTGGAAGGGTAAAATTTAAATTTTTGGGGTTTAAAGGGAATCTTAGGGTTTGAAATGGATAAATTTGATTTTTGGGGGTTTTTGGGATCTGGGGTTGGAATTTCAGTGAATTTGAGGATCTTAGGTGGAATTTTGGGAAATTTTGGCATCTGGGGGTGGAATTTTGGGATCTGCCATGGGATTTTGGAAAATTTTGGAAACTGGGGTTGGAGTTTTCAGGGTTTTTGGGATTTGGGGTTGGAATTTTGGGATCTGGGGTTGGAATTTGGTGAATTTGAGGATCAGAAGTGGAATTTAGGGAAATTTTGGCATCTGGGGTTGGATTTTTTTGGGTTTTTGGGATCTGGGGTTGGAATTTTGGGATCTGGGGTTTAAATTTTTGTGAATTTAAAGATCTGAGGTGGAATTTTGGGAAATTTTGGCATCTGGGGTTGGAATTTAGGGATTTGGGGCTGAAATTTTGGGATCTGAGGCTGAATTTTTGGAAATTTTGGCATCTGGGGTTGGAATTTTCAGGGTTTTTGGGATCTGGAGTTGGAATTTTGGGATCTGGGATTGGAATTTCGGTGAATTTGAGGATCTGAGGTGGAATTTTGGGAAATTTTGGCATTTGGGGTTGGAATTTCAGTGAATTTGAGGATCTTAGGTGGAATTTTGGGAAATTTTGGAATCTGGGGGTGGAATTTTGGGATCTGCCATGGGATTTTGGAAAATTTTGGAAACTGGGGTTGGAATTTTGGGGGTTTTTGGGATCTGGAGCTGAAATTTCAATTTCTGGGCTGGAAATTTGGGGGTTTTTGGGATCTGGGTTTGGAATTTTCAGCTATTTTGGGATCTGGGGTTGGAATTTCGGGGAATTTCGGGATCCGGGGTTGGAAATTTGGGATTTTTTTGGGGTGGGGCCCCCCGTGATGGCAGCACTGGGCTCTGACCCCCCCTGATGGATTCCTGTGCCCCTCCCCCACGCGGGGAGGGTCTGAGGGGGCCCCAAAATCGGAATTTCGGGAATTTTTTTGGGGAATTTTGGGGTGGAATTAACCCTTTGTTGTTTTCCCTCCAGGTGACGCCACCGGAAGTTCAGAGTTTGAGGGGGGGGAAATTCCTGTCAATAAAAATTTCAACTTTAAAACATCTCTTTGTTGTTTTTTTTTTTCTGGGGGGAAATTTCGGGATTTTGGGACTTTGGGGGATTTTATCCCAAATTTTGGATGGGGTTGGGGTGGGGCCACTTTCAATATGGCGGCGCCCATGGGGAACTTCCGGTTTTTGCCGTACACAATAGAGCGGCGCTCATACGGCACTTCCGGTTAACTCAAGATGGCTGCCCCTACTTTTCCGTACGGAAACATGGCGGCTCCCGCACGGCAACTTCCGGTTTCCCATCTCAATATGGCGGCGTTCAGGCAGCGGAATGACCAATACGGAAAATGGCGGCGCCCACGAACCGGAAACAGCGTGTCACGTGGGTGAAAAGCAACCAATCAGAGCGCAGCTAAGGGGCGGGTCCGCCATTGGCGGGAGATCCTCAGCGCGGTGAGGGCGGTCGGGGGTCCCTGAGGGGGAAATTTGGGGGATTTTGGGGTTTTTTGGGCGAATTTTGGGATTTTTTTGTCATTTTGGGAGGTTTGATGGGATCCCGAGGGGGTCCCCGCGGGGTTTTGGGGGGGTTTGAGGGAAAAGGAGGAAGGCGGAGGCGGCGCGGGAGGCGTGAGGGGACGGGGGAGCTCTGAGGGAGATTCGGGCTCCGTGAGGGGATTTTGGGGTCCCTGAGGGGATTTTTGGATTCCTGAGGGGATTTTTGGGTTCCTTAAGGGGTTTTAGGTTCTCTGAGGGAGATTCGGGGTCCGTGAGGGGATTTTGGGATTCCGGAGGGGAATTTTGGGTCCCTGAGGGGATTTTGGGGTCTCTGAGGGAATTTTCGGGTCCGTGAGGGGATTTTGGGGTTCCGGAGGGGATTTTTGGGTCCCTGAGGGGATTTTTAGGTTCCTGAAGGGGTTTTGGGGCCTCTGAGGGAATTTTCGGGTCCCTGAGAGGATTTGGGGTCCCTGAGGGGATTTTGGGGTTCCTGAGGGGATTTTGGGATTTTGATGGGAATTTTGGGGGAAATGGGATTTTGCTGGGACTTTGAGGGGGAATTTGGGTTTTTTCAGGGAAATGTGGGGATTTTGATGTAATTTGGGAATTTTGATAGGAATTTGGGTGGAAATGTTGGGATTTTGAGGGAAATGTTGGGATTTTGAGGGAATTTCCCCCACATTTCCCCAATTCATTCCCCCAATTTCTCTCCCCAAACCCCCCAATTTATTTCCCCAAATTCCCGAATTCATTCCCCCAATTTCCCCCCAATTTTCCCCAATTTCTCTCCCCAAATTCCCCAATCCTCCCAATTTCTATCCCCAATTTCTCCCAATTCATCCCCCCAATTTCCCCCCAATTTTCCCCAATTTCTTTCCCCCAATTTCTCCTAATTTATTCCCCCAATCCCCCCCAAATTCCCCCAATTTTTCCCAATTTCTCCCAATTCACCCCCCCAATTTTCCCCCAATTTATTCCCCCAATTTCCCCCAATTCATCCCCCCAATTTCCCCCAATTTCTCCCCCCAATTTCCCCCAATTTCTCCCCCCAATTTTCCCCCAATTTTCCCCAATTTCTCTCCCCAAACCCCCACTCATCCCCCCAATTCCCCCAATTTCTCTCCCCAGTTTCCCCAATTTCCCCCAATTTCTTTCCCCATTCCCCCCAAACTCCCCAGTTTATTTCCTCAATTTCTTTCTCCAAATTTCCCCAATTTTCCCCAATTTCTTCCCCCAATTTCTTTCTCCAAATTTCCCTAAATTTCCCCAATTTCTCTCCCCAAACCCCCCACTCATCCCCCCAATTTTCCCCCAAACCCCCCAATTTTCCCCAATTTCTCTCCCGAAATCCCCCAATTTCTCCCAATTTTCCCCCAATTCCCCCCAATTTTCCCCCAATTTTCCCCAATTTCTTTCCCCAAATTTCCCTAAATTCCCCAATTTCTCTCCTGATTTCCCTCAGGTGCCCGATGGAGCCCCTGAAGCGCCCCTCGGGGGTCTCTTTGGGGGTCCCAAACCCCCCAATTTTCCCCAAATTTCCCTAAATTTCCCCAATTTTTCCCCAAATTCCCCAAATTTCCCTAAATTCCCCCAATTTCTCCCAATTCATCCCGCAGGTGCCCGATGGAGGCCCCCAAGCGCCCCTCGGGGGTCTCTCTGGGGGATTTGGGGGGGTCCCAAACGGCCCCGGGGGTCCCAAACCCCCCAAACCCCCCAATTTCTCTCCCCAAATTTCCCAAATTTCCCTAAATTCCCCCAATTTCTCTCCTCAAACTCCCCAATTTATTCCCCCAATTTCTCCCAATTTTCCCCCAATTTTCCCCAAAACCCCCAATTTTCCCCAATTTACCCCAATTTCTCTCCCCAAACTCCCCCACTCCATCCCCCCAATTCTCCCCAAACCCCCCAATTTCTCTCCCCAATTTCCCCCAATTTCTCTCCCCAATTCCCCCAATTTTCCTCAATTTCTCTCCCCAATTTCCCCCAAATCCCCCCAATTTTCCCCAATTTCTTTCCCCAAATTTCCCCAATTTATTCCCCCAATTTCCCCCAATTCATCCCCCCAATTTCCCCCAATTTCTCTCCACAAGTTTCCCCAATTTCTCTCCCCAATTTCCTCCAATTTATTCCCCCAATTCACCCCCCCAATTTTCCCCAATTTCTCTCCCCAAATCCCCCAATTTTCCCCCAATTTCCCCCAATTTCTCTCCCCAATTTCTCTCCCCAATTCCCCCCAAATTCTCCCAATTTCTCCCAATTCACCCCCCCAAATTTCCCCCAATTTCCCCCAATTTCTCTCCCCAAATTCCCCAAATTTCCCTAAATTTCCCCAATTTCTCTCCACCCCCCAGGTGCCCGATGGAGCCCCCCAAGCGCCCCTCGGGGGTCCCTCTGGGGGATTTGGGGGGTCCCAAGCGGGCGCGGGGGTCCCAAACCCCCCAAACCCCCCAATTTCTCTCCCCAAACCCCCCAAATTTCCCCTATTTATTTCCCCAAATTTCCCCCAAATCCCCCCAATTTCTCCCAATTCATTCCCCCAATTTTCCCCAATTTCTCTCCCGAAACTCTCCAATTTCTCTCCCCAATTTCTCCCAATTCATTCCCCCAATTTTCCCCAATTTCTCTCCCCAAACCCCCCAATTCATTCCCCCAATTTCTCTCCCCAAATTCCCCAATTTTCCCCAATTAATTGCTGCAATTTCTCCCAATTCATCCCCCCAATTTCCCCCCAGTTTTCCCCAATTTCTCTCCCCAATTTCTCCCAATTAATCACCCCAAATTTCCCCAATTTCTATCCCCAATTTCTCCCAATTAATCCCCCCAAATTTCCCCAATTTCTTTCCCCAAATTCCCCAATTTCTCTCCCCAAATTTCCCCAATTTCTCTCCCCAATTTTCCCAATTTCTTTCCCCAAATTTCCCCAATTTTCCCCAATTCCTTTCCCCAATTTCTCTCCCCAAATTTCCCCAATTTCTCTCCCCAATTTTCCCAATTTCTTTCCCCAAATTTCCCCAATTTTCCCCAATTCCTTTCCCCAATTTCTCTCCCCAAATCCCCCAATTTTCCCCAATTTCTCTCCCAATTTATTTCCCCAATTTCCTCCAATTTATTCCCCCAATTTTCCCAATTTCTCTCCCCAAACCCCTGAATTTTCCCCAAATTTCCCCAATTTTCCCCCAATTTCTCTCCCTAAACCCCTGATTTATTCCCCCAATTTCTCTCTCCAACCCTCAGGCTGCCGATGGAGCCCCCCAAGCGCCCCTCGGGGGTCCCTCTGGGGGATTTGGGGGGTCCCAAGCGGGCGCGGGGGTCCCAAACCCCCCAATTCATCCCCCCAATTCCCCCCAAATTCCCCCAATTTCTCCCAATTAATCCCCCCAATTTCCCCCAATTTCTTTCCCCAATTTCTCTCCCCAGTTTTCCCCAATTTCTCTCCCCAATTTTACCCCAATTTTCCCAAATTTCTCTCCCCAAATCCCCCAATTTCTCTCCCCAATTTTCCCCAATTTCCCCCCAATTCCCCCAATTCCCCCCAATTTTCCCCAATTTCTCTCCCCAAATTTCCCCAATTTCTCTCCCCAAACCCCCCAATTCATTCCCCCAATTTTCCCCAATTTCTTTCCCCAATTTCTCTCCTCAAATTCCCCCAATTTCTCTCCCCAATTCCCCCCCAATTTTCCCCAATTTCTCTCCCCAAACCCCCCAATTTCTTTCTCCAAATTTCCCCAATTTCTTTCCCCAAAATTCCCTAAATTTCCCCAATTTCTTTCCCCAATTTTTCCCTATTTTTTTCCCCAAATTACCCTAAATTTCCCCAATTTCTTTCTCCATTTTTCCCCCAATTTCCCCCAATTTTTCCCCAATTTCTCTCCCCAATTTCCCTCCCCAAATCCCCAATTCCCCCCAAACCCCCCCAATCTATTCCCCCAATTTATTTCCCCAAATCCCCCAAATTTCCCCCAAATCCCCCCAATTTCTCCCAATTTCTCTCCCCAATTTTTCCCTATTTATTCCCCAAATTTCCCTAAATTCCCCCAATTTCTTTCCCCAATTTATTTCCCTAATTTTCCCCAATTTCTCTCCCCAAACCCCCAATTTATTCCCCCAATTTCTCTCCCACCCCTCAGGTGCCCGATGGAGCCCCCCAAGCGCCCCTCGGGGGTCCCTCTGGGGGATTTGGGGGGTCCCAAGCGGCCCCGGGGGTCCCCGCGGGGCCCGTCCCGCTTCGAGCAGGAGCTGGCGCAGCTGCACCGGGAGGAGGAGGAGGAGGAGGAGGAGGAGGAGGAAGAGCAGGGACAGCCCCCCGACCCCCACAGACAGCCCAGCGGTGAGGGGGTTGGGGGGATTGGGGAGAATTTGGGGTTTTTTTTCCATTTTATTGGGATTTTTGGGGGATTTTTTGGGGTTTTTTTTTCATTTTATTGGGATTTTTTGGGGATTTTTTTGGGTTTTTTTTTTCATTTTATTGGGATTTTCTTTTTTATTTGGATTTTTTTAAATTTTATTGGATATTTTAGAGGATTTTTTATTTCATTTTCTTGGTATTTTTTGGGGGATTTTTTTCCATTTTATTGACTATTTTAGACGATATTTTTTTTTCATTTTATTGGGATTTTTTTTATATTTTTTTTAATTGGGATTTTTTTTTCATTTTACTGGATATTTTAGAGGATTTTTTACTTCATTTTCTTGGTATTTTTTTTGGGATTTTTTTTCATTTTATTGACTATTTTAGACGATTTTTTTTTTCATTTTATTGGGATTTTTTTGGTTTTTTTTTCATTTTATTGACAATTTTAGGGAATTTTTTGGGGGATTTTTTTCATTTTATTGAGATTTTTTAGGGGGATTTTTTTCATTTTATTGGATATTTTAGGGGATTTTTTTGGGGATTTTCTTTGTAGTTTTACAGACAATTTTAGAGGATTCTTGGGACTTTTTTTTTAATTTTACTGGGATTTTTTTTTTCATTTTATTTGATATTTTAGAGGATTTTTTTTTTTTTCATTTTATTGGGATTTTTTTGGGAGTTTTTTTTTTCATTTTATTGACAGTTTTAGGGAATTTTTCGGACATTTTTTTTCTTTTTATTGGGTATTTTAGGGGATTTTTGGGGGATTTTTTTTCATTTTATTGGGATTTTTTGGGGGGGATTTTTTTCATTTTATTGGGATTTTTTGGGGGGATTTTTTTCCTTTTATTGGGATTTTTTGGGGGTTTTTTAAATTTTATTGGGAATTTTTTTTTTTCATTTTAGGGGATTTTTTTGGGGGATTTTTTCCATTTTATTGGGACTTTTTGGGTTTTTTTTTCATTTTATTGGGATTTTTTTGGGGGGTTTTTTTTCATTTTATTGAGTATTTTAGGGGATTTTTTTGGGATTTTTTTTCATTTTATTGGGATTTTTTGGGGATTGTTTTCACTTTTATTGCGATTTTTTTCCTTTTATTGGGATTTTTTTATGAGATTTTTTTTAATTTTATTGACAATTTTAGGGGATTTTTTGGGACATTTATTTCATTTTATTGACAATTTTAGGGGAATTTTTGGGGATTTTTTTCATTTTATTGGGATTTTTTTAGGGGATTTTTTTTTCTTTTTATTGGGATTTTTTTTAGGGTTTCTTTCCATTATATTGGATATTTTGGAGGATTTTTTTTTTTTTTCATTTTATTGGGATTTTTTTGGTTTTTTTTTTTCATTTTATAGACAATTTTAGGGGATTTTTTGGGGATTTTTTTCATTGTATAGACAATTTTAGGGGGGATTTTTTTCATTTTATTGGGATTTTTTAGGGAGGATTTTTTTCATTTTATTGGGTATTTTAAGGGAATTTTTGGGACTTTTTTTCATTTTATTGGGATTTTTTAGGGGGGATTTTTTCATTTTATTGGATATTTTAGGGGATTTTTTTGGGGATTTTCTTTGTAGTTTTACAGACAATTTTAGAGGATTCTTGGGACTTTTTTTTTAATTTTACTGGGATTTTTTTTTTCATTTTATTTGATATTTTAGAGGATTTTTTTTTTTTCATTTTATTGGGATTTTTTTGGGAAATTTTTTTTCATTTTGTTGACAATTTTAGGGAATTTTTTTGGGGATTTGTTTTTCATTTTATTGGGATTTTTTGGGGATTTTTTTTCATTTTATTGGGTTTTTTTTTAAGGAATTTTTTTCATTTTATTGGGATTTTTTTGGGTGATTTTTTTCATTTTATTGACAATTTTATAGGATTTTTTTGGGATTTTTTTTGTCGTTTTATAGACAATTTTAGGAGATTTTTTGGAAATTTTTTTTTTCATTTTATTGGATATTTTAGGGGATTTTGGGGGGATTTTTTTTTTCATTTTATTGGGATTTTTTGGGGGGATTTTTTTCATTTTATTGGGATTTTTTGGGGGGGATTTTTTTCATTTTATTGAGATTTTTTTGGGGATATTTTTTCCTTTTATTGGGATTTTATGAGGGATTTTTTAGTTTTATTGGGATTTTTGGGGGGATTTTTTTTATTTTATTGTGACTTTTTTAGGAGCATTTTTAATTCTATTGGCAATTTTTGGGGATTTTTTTTCTCTTATTTTTATCTGCTTTTCTCTGATTTTACCTGTTTTTCTTTGGTTTTCCCTGATTTTGGCTGTTTTTCTCCGTTTCCTGTCTGATTTTTGTTGTGTTTTTCTGTTTTTTCCCTGATTTTTGTTGTTTTTCTCTAATTTTGACCGTTTTTCTCTGTTTTTTCCCCAATTTTGTCCATTTTCCCCCCAGGTTCCCTCTTTGTGGGGGATGTGCCCCCCAAGTGGCGCCGTCCGGCCCCTCCCCCGCAGCCCCCCGAGACTCTGACCTTCCTTCAGCTGGACATCGACCACTACGTGGGTGAGGAGCCCCAAAACCGCCCGGATTCACCCCAAAATCTGACCCCAAAAATACCCAAACCCCCGGACCCGAAATCACCCCAAAAACCCCAAAATTCCCTGAAAAACCCCCCGGATTCACCTCAAAAACCCCAAAATTCCCCTCAAAAACCCCAAATTTACCCCAAAAACCCCAAAATTCCCCTCAAAAACCACCAGGATTCACCCCAAAATCCGCCCCGAAAAATCCCCAAATTCCCAGACCCGAAATCACCCCAAAAACCCCAAAATTCCTTTCAAAAACCCCCCGGATTTACCCCAAAAACTGACCCGAAAAATCCCCAAAACCTCAGACCCAAATTCACCCCAAAAACCCCAAAATTCCCCTCAAAAACCCCCCGGATTCACCCCAAAAACTGACCCAAAAAATCCCCAAAATCCCAGACCCCAATTCACCCCAATTCACCCCAAAATTCCCCTCAAAAACCCCCCAAATTCACCCCAAAAACTGACCCAAAAAAACCCCAAACTCCCAGACCCCAAATCACCCCAAAAACCCCAAAATTCCCATATTTCCCCCCAAAACTTTCCTAATTTCCCCCCAAAATTCCCCAAATCTCCCCAAATTTCCTCCCAAGTGCCCCAAATTTCCCCCAAATCCCCTCAAATCCCCCCAAATTTCCCAAACCCCCCAAAATTCCACCCAAATCCCCTCTGAGACCCCCAAAATCTCAAAAATGCCCCAAAATCCACCTTAAAACGCCAAAATTTTCTAATTTCCCCCTAAAATCCCCCAAATTTTCCCCAAAATCCCCCAAATTTTCCCCCAAAATCCCCCAATTTTCCCCCAAATCCCTTTCAATCCCCCCAAAATCCCAAAAAATCCCCAAAATCCACATCAAAACCCCAAAATTTTCTAATTTCCCCGAAAATCCCCAAATTTCCCCCCAAAATCCCCCAAATTCCCTCCAAATCCCTTTCAATCCCCCCAAAATCCCAAAAAATCCCCAAAATCCACATCAAAACCCCAAAATTTTCTGATTTCCCCCCAAAATCCCCCAAATTTACCCCAAAATCCCCCAAACCCCCCCAAAATTCCCCTCCAATCGCCCCAATCCCCCCCAAATCCCCTCTGAGACCCCCAAAATTCCCAAAAAATCCCCAAAATCTACCTGAAAACCCTAAAATTTTCTAATTTTCCCCCAAAATCCCCCAAATTTTTTCCCAAAATCCCCCAATTTTCCCCCAAATCCCTTTCAATCCTTCCAAAATCCCAAAAAATCCCCCAAATCCACATAAAAACCACAAAATTTTCTGATTTCCCCCCAAAATCCCCCAAATTTCCCCCCAAAATCCCCCAAATTTCCCCCAAAAATCCCCCAAATTCCCCCCAAATCCCCCAAATTCCCCCCAAATCCCTTTCAATCCCTCAAAAATCCCCAAAATCCCCCTCCGAATCCCAAATTTTTAAAATATCCCCAAAAATCCCCAAATTCACCCCAAAAAATCCCCCAAAATTCCCCTCCCATCACCCCAATCCCCCCCAAACCCCCCCAAAATCCCCCAAATCTCCCAAAAATCCCCCAAATTCCTCCCAAATCCCTTTCAATCCCCCCAAAATCCCCCTCAAAATCCCAAATTTTTTTAATTTCCCCAAAAATCCTTAAATTCACCCCAAAAAAACCCCCAAAATCCCCCAAAATTCCCCTCCCATCACCCCAATCCCCTCCAAACCCCCCCAAAATCCCCCAAATCTCCCAAAAATCCCCTGAATTTCCCCCAAATCTCCCCTCCAATCGCCCCGAACCTCCCCCAAACCCCCCAAATCCCCCAAATTCCCCAAAATTTACCAAAATCTCCTTTTTTAGGGGTGCCCCCCCGCGGGTTCCCGGGCTGGCCCCACCCCTCCCCCATCCTGCGGATGTTCGGGGTGACGGGGGAGGGGCACAGCGTCTGTCTGCACCTGCACGGCTTCAGCCCCTACTTCTACGTGCTGGCGCCCCCAGGTGAGACCCAAAATCCCCGGAATTCACCCCAAAATCCCCGAGCCCAAAAACCCCAAAATTCCTGCGAAAAAACCCCAAAAATCCCCGTCAAAATGGCTCAAAACGGCTCAAAATCGACCCCAAAAAAGGGTATTTGGCACCACCTGTGCAGCTTCAGCACCCCCAGGTGAGACCCAAAATCCCCCGAATTCACCCCAAAATCCTCGACCCAGAAATCCCCCAAAAAACCCCAAAAATCCCCGTCAAAATGGCTCAAAATGGCTCAAAATGGCTCAAAATGGCTCAAAATCCACACCAAAAATTGAAATTTGGGAGCACCTGTGCAGCTTCAGCTGCTCCAGGTGAGACCCCAAAATCGCCGGAATTCACCCCAAAATCCCCGACCCCAAAAACCCCCAAATTCCTGCGAAAAAACCCCAAAATCCCCGTCAAAATGGCTAAAAATGGCTCAAAATGGCTCAAAATCCCAAAAATCCAGCCCAGAAATCGAAATTTGGGAGCTTAGCTCCCCCAGGTGAGACCCCAAAATCACCGGAATTCAGCCCAAAATCCCCGACCCCGAAATCCCCCAAAAAACCCCAAAAATCCCCGTCAAAATGGCTCAAAATGGCTCAAAACGGCTCAAAATTGACCCCAAAAATGGGAATTCGGCACCACCTGCGCGGCTTCAGCGCCCCCAGGTGAGACCCCAAAATCCCCCGAATTCACCCCAAAATCCCCGACCCCGAAAAACCCCAAAAAACCCCAAAAATCCCCAAAAATCCCCGTCAAAATCACTCAAAATGGCTCAAAATCCCAAAAATCTCACCCCGGATGTCAGCTGGAATTTTGGGAATTTCGGGAATTTTGGGAATTTGGGTGGGAATCCAGCAGGAATTTTGGGAATTTCGCCAGGATTCCAGCCGGAATTTCGGTAATTTCAGGAATTTCAAGAATTTGGGCGGGATTTCAGCTGGAATTTCGGGATTTTTGGGAATTTGTGTGGGATTCCAGCTGGAATTTTGGGAATTTTGGGATTTTGGGGAATTTGGGCGGGATTCCACCTGGAATTTCGGGAATTTCGGGAATTTGGGCGGGATTTCAGCTGGAATTTTTGGATTTTTTTTGAATTTGGATGGGATTCCAGCTGGGATTTCGGGATTTTTGGAATTGGAGCAGGAATTCAGCTGGATTTTCGGGATTTCAGGAATGTGGGTGGGATTGCAGCCAGAAATTCAGGATTTTTTGGGAATTTTGCCGGGATTGCAGCTGGAATTTCAGGAATTTCGCTTGGATTCCAGCCGGAATTTCGGGAATTTCGGGAATCTGGGTGGGATTCCAGCCGGAATTTCGTGAATTTTGGGAATTTCACCTGGATTTCAGCTGGAATTTCGGGAATTTCGGGATTTTGGGCGGGATTCCAGCCGGAATTTTGGGAATTTCGTGAATTTCACCTGGATCTCACCCGGAATTTCGGGAATTTCGTTATTTTTTTGGAATTTCCCCGTGATCTCCCCCGGAATTCCGTGAATTTCCCCTGGATCTCCCCCGGAATTCCGTGAATTCCCCTCAGGCGCGGGCGAGGCGCACCTGGAGCCGCTGGAGCGGGAGCTGGAGGCGGCGCTGCGCCGGGAGCAGCGCGGGGGGAACCCCAAATTTCAGCCCCCCAAAAACGTCCTGGGGCTGACCCTGGTCCGGAAACAGAGTGAGTGACCCCCAAAATTCGGGAATCCAAAATTCCTTCAGGGAATTCAGGAATACGGGGGGAGGTTTGAAACAGAAACGGGGAAAAACGGCCACGAAAATGCCAAAAATCGGCAAAAATCAGCAAAATATTCCATAAAACAGCCACAAAAATCGGCAAAAATCGACCAAAATCAACCAAAATTACACCAAAAAATCCCCCAAAATCGACCACAAAACAGCCCCAAAAATGCCCCAAAAATCAGCAAAAATATTCCACAAAACAGCCACAAAAATCAGCAAAAATGGACCAAAATTACCTCAAAAAATCCCCCAAAATCAACTTCAAGACAGCCCCAAAAAATTTCAAAAATGCCCTAAAAATCAACAAAAATATTCCACAAAACAGCCACAAAAATCAGCAAAAATTGATGAAAATTAACCCAAAAATCCCCCAAATCAACCCTAAAACAGCCCCAAAATCTACTGAAATTACACCAAAAAAATCCCCCCAAATCAACCCCAAAAAAGCCCCAAAAATCAACAAAAATATTCCCCAAAAATCACTCCAAAATCGACCAAAATTACCCCAAAAAATCCCCCAAAATCAACCCCAAAACAGCCCCAAAAAATTCCAAAAATGCCCCAAAAATCAACCAAAATCAACCCCAAATCAACCCGAAAAAAATTCCTAAAATCAACCAAAACGACCCCAAACTGATTTTTGCCGATTTTGGGGATATTTTTGGGGCAGTTTGGGGAATATTTTTGGGGTATTTTGGGAGGATTTTGTGGGATATTTTTGGGGCATTTTGGGAGGATTTTTGGGGATATTTTTGGGAGGATTTTGGGGATATTTTTGGGAGGATTTTGGGGATATTTTTGGGGCATTTTGGGAGGATTTTGGGGATATTTTTGGGGCATTTTGGGAGGATTTTTGGGGATATTTTTGGGGCATTTTGGGTGGATTTTGGGGATTATAATTGGGATTTTTGGGAATATTTTTGGGTCATTTTGGGTGGATTTTGGGGATATTTTTGGGGTGGGATTTTGGGGGATTTTTTTCCCCGATTTGGGATTTTTTCGTGGTTTTTTTGCCCGATTTGGGATTTTTTCGGGGTTTTTTTGCCCGATTTTGGATTTTTTCGGGGTTTTTTTTGGGGTGACCCTCCCCCCTTGTTCCCCACAGGTATTTTGGGGTTCCAGGGGGGTCTGCAGAGCCTTTTCGTCAGGGTGGGGGTCGATTTGGGGGTTTTTGGGGTGGGATTTTGGGGGATTTTTTGCCCAATTTGGGATTTTTTCGGGGTTTTTTTTCCCAATTTCGGATTTTTTCGGGGTTTTTTTTGGGGTTACCCTCCCCCTTTGCCCCCCCCCCCATATTTTGGGGTTCCAGGGGGGTCTCGGTTGGGTGGGGGAGGGGCGGGGGCCGATTTTGGGGTCGGTTTTTCCCCGATTTGGGATTTTTTTGTGGTTTTTTTTGCCCAATTTGGGATTTTTCCGGGGTTTTTTTGCCCAATTTCGGATTTTTTCGGGGTTTTTTTTGGGGTGACCCTCTCCCTTTGCTCCCCGCAGGTATTTTGGGGTTCCAGGGGGGTCCCGGTTGGGTGGGGGAGGGACGGGGGCCGATTTTGGGGTCGTTTTTCCCCAAATCTCAGTGGATTTTTTGCCCAATTTCGGATTTTTTTGTGGTTTTTTTTCCCGATTTCGGATTTTTTTGGGGTTTTTTTGGGGTGACCCTCTCCCTTTGTTCCTCGCAGGTATTTTGGGGTTCCAGGGGGGTCCCGGTTGGGTGGGGGCCGATTTTGGGGATTTTTGGGGTGGGATTTTGGGGGATTTTTTCCCCGATTTTTGATTTTTTCGGGGTTTTTTTGCCCGATTTCGGATTTTTTCGGGGTTTTTTTGCCCAATTTCGGATTTTTTCGGGGTTTTTTTTGGGGTGACCCTCTCCCTTTGCCCCCCCCATATTTTGGGGTTCCAGGGGGGTCTCGGTTGGGTGGGGGCCGATTTTGGGGATTGTTGGGGTGGGATTTTGGGGGATTTTTTCCGCGATTTTGTATTTTTTTGGCATTTTTTTGCCCGATTTCGGATTTTTTCGGGGTTTTTTTTGGGGTGACCCTCTCCCTTTGCTCCCCACAGGTATTTTGGGGTTCCAGGGGGGTCTGCAGAGCCTTTTTGTCAGGGTGGGGGTCTCCCTGCCCCGCCTGGTGGCCCCGGCCCGGCGGCTCTTGGAGCGGGGGCTGCGCTGGGGGAGTTTGGGGGTGCAGCCGGCGCCGCCCTACGAGGCCAACATCGACTTCGAGATCAGGTAAAGCACCCAAAAACAACGAAATTCAACCCAAAAATATCACCTAAAAAATTCCCCAAAAGTTCACAACAAAAAAACGCCAAATCACACAAAAAATAGCCCAAAAATCCCCTGAATCGTCTAAAAAAAACCCAAAAAATTCCCCGAATTGCCTAAAAATCCCCCAAAATCCCACCCCAAAAATTCCCCAAAATTTCACCCCAAAAATCCCCCAAATCCCTCAAAAAATCCCACCCCAAAAATCCTCCAAATCGCCTAAAAAATCCCCTAAAATCCCACCCCAAAAATCCTCCAAATCACCCTAAAAAATCCCACCCCAAAAATCCCCCAAATCACCCCAAAATCCCACCCAAATCACCCCAAAAATGCCAAATTTCCTCCTGAACCCCCCAAATTCCCCCCAAATTTCTTCCTGATCCTCAAATTTCTTCCTCAAACCCCCCAAATTTCCTCCTGACCCCCCAAATTTTCCCTCAAACCCCCCAAATTCCCCCCAAATCCCCCCTAAACCCCCCAAATTCCGTCCTGCCCCCCCAAATTCCCTCCTGACCCCCAAATTTCTCCCTCAAACCCCCCAAATTTTTTCCTCAGAACCTCCCCAACCCCCCAAATCCCCCCTAAACCCCCCAAATTTCTTCCTCAAATCCCCCAAATTTCCTCCTGACCCCCCAAATTTCTTCCTCAGAACCTCCCCAACCCCCCAAACTTTCTCCTGACCCCCCAAATTCCCCCTAAACTCCCCAAATCCCCCCTAAACCCCCCAAATCCCCCCCAAACCCCCAAATTTCTCCCTCAAACCCCCCAAATTTTTTCCTCAAAACCTCCCCAACCCCCCAAATCCCACCTAAACCCCCCAAATTTCATCTTGACCCCCCAAATTCCCCCATAACCCCCCAAATTTCCGTCCCCGCAGGTTCATGGCTGACTCGGGGCTCGTCGGCTGCTGTTGGGTCGAGCTGCCCCCGGGGGGGTTCCGCTGGCGGGGGGACCCCCAAAATGGGGCTAAAGACCCCCAAAATGGCCCTGGGGACCCCCAAAATGGGGCTAAAGACCCCCAAAACGGCCCTGGGGACCCCCAAAATGGCCCTGGGGACCCCCAAAATGGCCCTGGGGACCCCCAAAATTGGCCCAGGGACCCCCAAAATGGGGCTAAAGACCCTCAAAATGGGACCAGGGACACCCAAAATGAGGATAAGGACCCCCAAAATGAGGCTGGGGTCCCCCAAAACAGAGCTGGGGACCCCCTAAATCAGCCAGGGGACCCCCAAACTGGGGTCAGGGAGCCCCGAAATGGGTCTGGGGTCCCCCAAAATGAGGCTAAAGACCCCCAAAATTGGCCTGGGGACCCCCAAACTGGGCCCGGGGACCCCCGAAATGGGCCCAGGGACCCCCAAAATTGGCCCGGGGAGCCCCGAAATGGGCCCGGGGACCCCCAAACTGGGCCCAGGGACCCCCAAACTGGGGTCAAGGACCCCCAAAATGGGTCTGGGGTCCCCCAAAATGGGGCTAAAGACCCTCAAACCAGGCCCAGGGACCCCCAAACTTGGCCCGGGGATCCCCAAAATTGGCCCGGGGCCCCCCAAACTGGGGTCGAGGACCCCCGAAATGGGTCTGGGGTCCCCCCCCGGGCCTCGCTGTGCCAGCTGGAGGCGGATGCCAGTTGGGGGGCGCTGCGGGGACACCCCCCCGAGGGGGCCTGGCTGGGGCTGCCCCCCCTGCGCCTCCTCAGCCTCGACATCGAGTGCGCCGGCAGGAAGGGTAGGGGGCAACTGGGGGGACTGGGATAAACTGGGAGGGACTGGGGGGGACTGGGAGGGGATTGGAACAAACTGGGGGGCACTGGGATAAACTGGGAAGGGATTGGGGGGGGATTGGAACAAACTGGGGGGGACTGGGAGGGGTTAAATGGGGACTGGGAGGGCACTGGGACAAACTGGGGGGGCACTGGGAGGGGTTAAATGGGGACTGGGATAAACTGGGAGGGACTGGGACAAACTGGGGGGCACTGGGACAAACTGGGAAGGGATTGGGGAGGACTGGGAAAAACTGGGGGGCACTGGGAGGGTTAAATGTGGACTGGGAGGGGTTTTGAATTTTGGGATTTTTAGCTCAGTTTTGGGGCTTTTTAGCTCAATTTTTGGCGGTTTCAGTTGAATTTTAGGCAATTTTAGTTGAATTTTGGGCGGTTTTAGCTCAATTTTGTGCAGTTTCATTTGAATTTTGGGTGTTTTCAGTTGAATTTTGGGCAGTTTCAGTTGAATTTTGGGCGATTTCGGTTCAATTTTGGGTTGTGCCTTTGGAGCTGCAGTTGCACTTTTGGGTCACCAGCGGCCGCTGCAGGATGAACATTTGGGGCCATTTTAGGGTTTTTTAGGGCCTTTTTGAGGTCACAGACCTGAATTTTGGGGTTTTTAGCTCAATTTTGGGCAGTTTTAGTTGAATTTTGGGTGGTTTTACTTGATTTTTTGCGATTTTAGTTGATTTTTGGGCAGTTTCAGTTCAATTTTAGGCAGTTTTAGTTGAATTTTGGGCGGTTTCAGTTCGATTTTGGGCAGTTTTATTTGAATTTTGGGCAGTTTCAGTTGAATTTTGGGTTGCGCCTTTGGCGCTGCAGTTACACTTTTCGCCCACCAGGCGTCGCTGCGGAGCCGCATTTTCCTCCATTCCGGCGCTATTTTGGGGCGATTTTTGGGTTTTTTGGGGCGGTTTTTGGGGTTTTTTGGGGCGCTTTTTGGGGTTTTTTGGGGCGCTTTTTGGGGTTTTTTGGGGCGGTTTTTGGGGTTTTTTGGGGCGGTTTTAGGGTTTTTTTTGGGGCGGGTTTTGGGGTTTTTTGGGGCGGTTTTGGGGTTTTTCAGGTGTCCTGGACTCGATTTTGGGGTTTTTAGCTCAATTTTGGGCAGTTTTAGTATAATTTTGGAGGGTTTCAGTTGAATTTTGGGCGATTTCAGCTCAATTTTGGGCAGTTTCAGTTCAATTTTGTGCAGTTTTAGTTGAATTTTGTGCAGTTTCAGTTGAATTTTGGGCAGTTTCAGTTGAATTTTGGGCGATTTCGGTTCAATTTTGGGTTGTGCCTTTGGAGCTGCAGTTGCACTTTTGGGTCACCATCTGCCGCTGCAGGATGAGCATTTTGGGGCCATTTTAGGGTTTTTTAGGGCCTTTTTGAGGTGGTTTTTGGGGTCACAAACCTGAATTTTGGGATTTTTAGCTCAGTTTTGGGCGGTTTCAGCTCAATTTTGAGCAGTTTTAGTTGAATTTTGGGCAATTTCGGTTCAATTTTGAGTTGCACCTTTGGCGCTGCAGTTACACTTTTCGCCCACCAGGCGTCGCTGCGGAGCCGCATTTTCCTCCATTCCGCTGCAATTTTGGGGCGATTTTTGGTTTTTTTGGGGCGCTTTTTGGGGTTTTTTGGGGCGCTTTTTGGGGTTTTTTGGGGCGGTTTTTGGGGTTTTTTGGGGCGGTTTTGGGGGTTTTTCGGGTGTCCTGGGCTCGATTTTGAGGCTTTTTAGCTCAATTTTGGGCAGTTTTAGTTGAATTTTGGAAGGTTTCAGTTGACTTTTGGGCGGTTTCAGTTCGATTTTGGGAAGTTTTAGTTGAATTTTGGGTGTTTTCAGTTGAATTTTGGGCACTTTCAGTTGAATTTTGGGCAATTTCGGTTCAATTTTGGGTTGTGCTTTTGGCGCTGCAGTTGCACTTTTCGCCCACCAGGCGTCGCTGCGGAGCCGCATTTTCCTCCATTCCGGCGCATTTTTGGGGCGATTTTTGGGTTTTTTGGTGCACTTTTTTGGGTTTTTCTCTGTGCCGGACCCGATTTTGGGGTGAAATCCGCTGATTTCGGTCCCGCAGGAGTGTTCCCGGAGCCGCAGCAGGATCCGGTGATCGCCATCGCGGCCGTGGCGCTGCGCCAGGGGGCGCGGGAGCCGTTCCTGAGGGTCGTGTTCACCCTGAGGAGCTGCGCGGCGCTGAGGGGAGCCACGGTGCGGAGCTTCGAGAGCGAGAGGGAGCTGCTGCAGGTGCTTTTGGGGCGAAAAACGGCGATTTTGGGGTTTTTAGGAAAATTTGGGGTGATTTTGGGGTGATTTTCCGGGGTTTCAGGGCTGGTTTTGGGGAGGTTTGGGATCATTTTAGGGAGGTTTCAGGGGTGGTTTTAGGGCCACGGTCAGGAGCTTCGAGAGCGAGAGGGAGCTGCTGCAGGTGCATTTGGGGCGAAAAACGGGGATTTTGGGGCTTTTGGGGTGAAAAACCCGGATTTTGGAGTTTTTGGGAAGATTTGGGGTGATTTTGGGATGATTTTAGGGGAGTTTCGGGGTGGTTTCAGGGGTGGTTTTGGAGCCACGGTCAGGAGCTTCAAGAGCGAGAGGGAGCTGCTGCAGGTGCGTTTGGGGTGAAAAATGGGGATTTTGGGGTTTTTGGGAATTTGGGGGAAATTTGGGGTGATTTTCTGGGGTTTCAGGGGTGATTCTGGGGGGATTTTGGGTGATTTTAGGGGAGTTTTGGGGTGGTTTCAGGGGTGGTTTTGGAGCCATGGTCAGGAGCTTCGAGAGCGAGAGGGAGCTGCTGCAGGTCGGTTTGGGGTGAAAAACACAGATTTTGGGGTTTTGGGGAAATTTGGAAAGGGTTTGGGGTCATTTTGATGGGTTTTGGGGTGATTTTGGGTGATTTTAGGGGAGTTTCGGGGAGGTTTCAGGGGTGGTTTTGGAGCCACCATCAGGAGCTTCGAGAGCGAGAGGGAGCTGCTACAGGTGCTTTTGGGGTGAAAAATGGGGATTTTGGGGTTTTTCGGAATTTTGGGGGGTCTGGGGACAGTTTGGAGTGGTTTTGGGGGGGTTTTGGGGTGATTTTTGGTGGTTTTGGGTCATTTTTGTGGGGGATTTATGGGGGAAATTGGAGACACGGTCCAGAGCTTCGAGAGCGAGAGGGAGCTGCTGCAGGTGGGTTTGGGGCGAAAAACGGCGATTTTGGGGCTTTTGGGAATTTTGGGGAAATTTGGGGAAAGTTTGATGGGTTTTGGGGTCATTTTGGGGTCATTTTGGGGGGGGTTTGGGGGTCTTTTATGGGGGAAATTGGAGCCACAGTCAGGAGGTTCGAGAGCGGGAGGGAGCTGCTGCAGGTGCGTTTTGGGGTGAAAAACGGCGATTTTGGGGTTTTTGGGGAAATCTATGGTGTCTGGGAAGGGTTTGGGAGGGTTTCAGGGATGATTTTCGGGTGATTTTGGGGGGTTTTGGGGTCATTTTGGGGGGTTTCAGGGGTGATTTTGGAGGGTTTCAAGGGTGGTTTTGGAGCCACCATGCGGAGCTTCGAGAGCGAGAGGGAGCTGCTGCAGATCGGTTTGGGGTGAAAAACGGGGATTTTGGGGCTTTTGGGAAATTTGGGAAGGGTTTGGGGAAAGTTTGGGGTGATTTTGGGGCGATTTGGGGTGTTTTTGGGTCATTTTTGTGGGGCATTTTTGGAGGAAATTGGAGCCACAGTCAGGAGGTTCAAGAGCGAGAGGGAGCTGCTGCAGGTGCCTTTGGGGTGAAAAACGGGGATTTTGGGGCTTTTGGGAATTTTTGGGAAATTTGGGGGGGTTTGGGGTCATTTTGAGGGGTTTTGAGGTGATTTTCGGGGGTTTCAGGGGTGGTTTTGGGAGGGTTTCAGGGAGTCTTCTGGGGGTGGTTTTGGAGCCACGGTCAGGAGCTTCGAGAGCGAGAGGGAGCTGCTGCAGGTGCGTTTTGGGGTGAAAAACGGGGATTTTGGGGTTTTTCGGAAAATTTGGGTGATTTTGGGGTGATTTTGGGGAAGTTTGGGGTGATTTGGGGAGGGTTTGGGAGTCTTTTGGGGATGGTTTTGGAGCCACGGTTCGGAGCTTCGAGAGCGAGAGGGAGCTGCTGCAGGTGAGTTTTGGGGTGAAAAACGGGGATTTTGGGGTTTTTGGGAATTTGTGAAGGGTTTGGGGAAAGTTTGGGGTCATTTTGAGGGGTTTTGAGGTGATTTTCGGGGGTTTTCAGGGGGGGTTTTGGGGGTTTCAGGGGTGGTTTTGGGGGTGGTTTTGGAGCCACGGTCAGGAGCTTCGAGAGCGAGAGGGAGCTGCTGCAGGTCGGTTTTGGGGTGAAAAACGGGGATTTTGGGGCTTTTGGGAAAATTTGGGGTGATTTTGGGGTGATTTGGGGGGTTTCGGGGGTGATTCTGGGGGGATTTTGGGTGATTTTAGGGGAGTTTCAGGGGTGGTTTCAAGGGTGGTTTTGGAGCCACGGTCAGGAGGTTCAAGAGCGAGAGGGAGCTGCTGCAGGTGCGTTTTGGGGTGAAAAACGTGGATTTTGGGGTTTTTGGGGTGAAAAACCCGGATTTTGGAGTTTTTGGGAAGATTTGGGGTGGTTTTGGGGGGGTTTTGGGGTGGTTTTGGGGTGATTTTAGGGGAGTTTTGGGGGTCTTTTGGGGTTGGTTTTGGAGCCACCATCATGAGCTTCGAGAGTGAGAGGGAGCTGCTCCAGGTGCGTTTGGGGTGAAAAACGGGGATTTTGGGGTTTTTGGGAAATTTGGGGGAAATTTGGGGTTATTTTGGGGGAGTTTGGGGTCATTTTGATGGGTTTTGGGGTCATTTTGGGGTGATTTTGAGGGGGATTTGGGGGGGAAATTGGAGCCACGGTCAGGAGCTTCGAGAGCGAGAGGGAGCTGCTGCAGGTGCGTTTGGGGTGAAAAACTGCGATTTTGGGGTTTTTGGGAATTTGGGGAGAATTTGGGGAAAGTTTGCGGTGATTTTGATGGATTTTGGGGTCATTTTGGGGTCATTTTGGGGGGGATTTATGGGGGAAATTGGAGCCACCATCAGGAGCTTCGAGAGCGAGAGGGAGCTGCTGCAGGTGCGTTTGGGGTGAAAAACACGGATTTTGGGGCTTTTGGGAAATTTGGGAAGGGTTTCGGGTGATTTTGGGATTTTGGGGTGGATTTTGGGATAAAAAAGGGGGATTTGTGGATGTTTTTGGATTTTGGGGAAAGAAAGGCGGATTTTGGGATGTTTTTGGGATTTTGGGGTTTATTTTGAGGTAAAAAGGGGGATTCGGGGATATTTTTGGGATTTTTGGGATGTTTTGGGGATTTTTGGGATGTTTTTGGGATTTTGGGGTGGATTTTGGGGTAAAACCTGGGGATTTTTGGGATGTTTTTGAGATTTTTTTGGAATATTTTTAGGATTTTTGGGATTTTTTGGGATATTTTTGGGATTTTTTGGAATATTTTTGGGATTTTTGATATTTTTGAGATTTTTTGGGGTTTTTTTGGGATTTTTGGGATGTTTTTGGGATGTTTTTAGGATTTGGGGATGTTTTTGGTATTTTTTTGAGATTTTTTTTGGGAATATTTTTGAGATTTTTGGGAATTTCCGACCCCTCTCCCGCAGTCGTGGGCGGAATTCGTTCGGATCGTGGATCCCGACGTGGTGACGGGATACAACATCCACAACTTCGACCTGCCCTACCTGATCCAGAGGGCTCAGGTGCTACAGGTGAGACACCTGAGCTCACCTGAGACTCACCTGGGCACACCTGAGCTCACCTGGGGGCACCTGGGGTCACCTGGGGTCACCTGAGACTCACCTGAGACTCACCTGGGGGCACTTGGGGTCACCTGGGGGCACCTGGGGTCACTTGGGGGCACCTGAGACTCACCTGGGGGCACCTGAGACTCACCTGGGGTCACCTGGGGACACCTGGGGGCACCTGGGGTCACCTGGGGGCACCCCAAACCCCTTCCAGGTGTGTCCCTGACTCACCTGTGTCCCCAGCTGTGTCCCAGGTGTCCCCAGGTGTGTCCCAGGTGTCCCCAAAGCCCTCCCAGGTGTCCCCAGCCCCTCCCCTGTCCCTCACCTGTCCCAGGTGTCCCTCAGGTGTCCCTCACCTGTCCCTCAGGTGTCCCTCACCTGTCCCTCACCTGTCCCTCAGGTGTCCCTCACCTGTCCCTCACCTGTCCCAGGTGTCCCTCAGGTGTCTCTCACCTGTCCCAGGTGTCCCTCACCTGTCCCTCACCTGTCCCTCAGGTGTCCCTCAGGTGTCCCTCACCTGTCCCAGGTGTCCTCAGCCCCTCCCCACTCTCACCTGTCCCTCAGGTGTCCCTCACCTGTCCCTCACCTGTGTCCCAGGTGTCCCTCACCTGTCCCTCACCTGTCTCAGGTGTCCTTCAGATGTCCCTCAGGTGTCCCTCACCTGTCCCTCAGGTGTCCCCAGGTGTACCCCAGATGTCCCCCAGATGTCCCCCAGGTGTCCCCACCCCTCACCTGTCCCTCGCCTGTGCAGGTGGAGTCGTTCCCGTACCTGGGCCGGGTGCGGGGGGTCCCGTCTCACCTGTCTCAGGTGTTTCTCACCTGTCCCAGGTGTCTCCCAGGTGTTTCTCACCTGTCTCACCTGTGCAGGTGGAGTCGTTCCCGTACCTGGGCCGCGTGCGGGGGGTCCCTCAGGTGTTTCTCACCTGTCCCACCTGTCTCAGGTGTTTCTCACCTGTCTCACCTGTGCAGGTGGAGTCGTTCCCGTACCTGGGCCGCGTGCGGGGGGTCCCGTCCCAGGTGAGGGATTCGGCGTTCCAGTCCCGCCAGCTCGGCCGCCGGGAGGGGAAAGTGGTCACCACACCTGGGAGGGTCACGCTGGACATGCTGCAGGTGAGGCACACCTGGGCACAGCTGGGAGGGGTAAAACACACCTGGGAGAGGGTAAAACACACCTGGGCACAGCTGGGACACACCTGGGAGGGGTAAAACACACCTGGGCACACCTGGGAGGGGTAAAACACACCTGGGCACACCTGGGACACACCTGGGAGGGAAAAAACCACACCTGGGCACAGCTGGGAGGGGGTAAAACACACCTGGGCACACCTGGGACACACCTGGGCACACCTGGAACACACCTGGGAGGGGTAAAACACACCTGGGAGGGTCACCTTGGACATGCTGCAGGTGAGGGACACACCTGGGAGGGAAAAAAACACACCTGGGCACACCTGGGCACACCTGGGAGGGAAAAAACACACCTGGGAGGGGTAAAACACACCTGGGAGGGGTAAAACACACCTGGGCACACCTGGGCACAGCTGGGCACACCTGGGAGGGTCACCTTGGACATGCTGCAGGTGAGGGCACACCTGGGAGGGGGTAAAACACACCTGGGCACACCTGGGCACAGCTGGGCACACCTGGGAGGGTCACCTTGGACATGCTGCAGGTGAGGGACACCTGGGAGGGGTTAAAACACACCTGGGAGGGAAAAAAACACACCTGGGACACACCTGGAACACACCTGGGCACGCCTGGGAGAGGTTTGGTACACCTGGGCACACCTGGGAGGGAAAAAAACACACCTGGGAGGGGGAAAAACACACCTGGGAGGGTCACCTTGGACATGCTGCAGGTGAGGGCACACCTGGGCACACCTGAGACACACCTGGGCACACCTGGGCACACCTGAGAGGGGGTAAAACACACCTGGACACACCTGGGAGGGTCACCTTGGACATGCTGCAGGTGAGGGCACACCTGGGAGGGAAAAAACCACACCTGGGCACACCTGGGACACACCTGGGAGGGGTAAAACACACCTGGGAGGCGGTAAAACACACCTGGACACACCTGGGACACACCTGGGAGAAGTTTGGGAACACCTGGGCACACCTGGGAGAGGTTTGGCACACCTGGGACACACCTAGGACACACCTGGACACACCTGGGCACACCTGGGAGAGGGTAAAACTCACCTGGGCACACCTGGGCACACCTGAGAAGGGTTTGGGCACACCTGTGGAACACTGGGATGAGTTTGGGGTGATCTGGGCGGGTTTGGGGCTCCCCAGGTGGATTTTGGGGTCACACAGGTAAATTTTGGGGTCCCCAGGTGCTGCTGAGGGAGCACAAGCTGCGCTCGTACTCCCTGAACGCCGTCAGCGCGCATTTCCTGCACGAGCAGAAGGAGGACGTGCCCCACGGCATCATCACCGAGCTGCAGGTGCGTCCCCAAATGTCACCTGGGTCACCTGTGTCACCTGGGGTCACCAAACGGCCCCAAAATGGGTTTAAATGGCCTCAAAATGGCCTCAAATGGATCTAAAATGGCCTCAAATGGCCCCAAAATGGCACCTGTGTCACCTGTGTCACCTGGGGTCACCTGGAGTTACAGGTGTGCCACCAAATGGCCTCAAAATGGCCTCAAACGGCCCCAAAATGGCCCCAAACGGGCCCAAAATGGCCTCAAACGGACCCAAAATGGCCTCAAACGGATCCAAAATGTCACCTGTGTCACCTGTGTCACCTGGGGTCACCTGGAGTTACACGTGTGCCACCAAACGGCCCCAAAATGGCCTCAAATGGCCCCGAAATGGCCTCAAATGAACCCAAAATGCCACAAATGGACCCAAAATGTCACCTGTGTCACCTGGGTCACCTGGGGTCACCTGGAGTTACAGGTGTGTCACCAAATGGCCCCAAAATGGCTTTAAATGGCCTCAAAATGGCCTCAAACGGCCCCAAAATGGCCTCAAATGAACCCAAAATGCCACAAATGGACCCAAAATGGCACCTGTGTCACCTGTGCCACCTGTGTCACCTGGGGTCACCTGGGGTCACCAAATGGCCCCAAAATGGCCTCAAACGGCCCCAAAATGGCTTTAAACGGCCCCAAAATGGCTTTAAATGGCCTCAAATGGACCCAAAATGGCCTCAAACGGCCCCAAAATGCCACAAATGGACCCAAAATGGCACCTGTGATGTCACCTGTGTCACCTGTGTCACCTGGGGTCACCAAACGGCCCCAAAATGGCTTTAAATGGCCCCAAAATGGCCTCAAACGGACCCAAAATGGCACCTGGGTCACCTGTGTCCCCCACGGCATCGTCACCGAGCTGCAGGTGCGTCCCCAGATGTCACCTGTGTCACCTGGGGTCACCTGGGGTCACCAAATGGCCCCAAAATGGCCTCAAATGGCCCCAAAATGGCTTTAAATGGCCTCAAAATGGCCCCAAAATGGCTTTAAATGGCCCCAAAATGGCCTCAAATGAACCCAAAATGGCCTCACACGGCCCCAAAATGGCTTTAAATGGCCTCAAAATGGCCCCAAAATAGCTTTAAATGGCCCCAAAATGGCACCTAATGGTGTCCCCAATGTCCCCAAGGGTATCCCCAATGGTGTCCCCATGTCCCCAATGGTGTCCCACCTCGTTGTCCCCAATGGTGTCCCCGATGGTGTCCCCATGTCCCCAATGCTGTCCCACCTCGCTGTCCCCAATGGTGTCCCCAATGGTGTCCCCATGTCCCCAATGGTGTCCCCATCTCCCTAATGGTGTCCCCAATGTCCCCAAGGGCATCCCCAATGGTGTCCCCGTGTCCCCAATGCTGTCCCCATCTCCCCAATGGTGTCCCCATATCCCCAATGGTGTCCCCATGTCCCCAATGGCGTCCCCGTGTCCCCGATGGTGTCCCCAATGTCCCTAAGGGTGTCCCCGATGGTGTCCCCATGTCCCCAATGGTGTCTTCATGTTCCCAACACTGTCCCACCTCGCTGTCCCCAATGGTGTCCCCATGTCCCCAACGGTGTCCCCATGTCCCCAACAGTGTCCCCAATGGTGTCCCACCCCACTGTCCCTGATTGTGTCCCCATGTCCCCAGTGGTGTCCCCGCTGTCCCCAATGGTGTCCCCATGTCCCCATGTCCCCAACACTGTCCCACCTCGCTGTCCCTGATGGTGTCCCCATGTCCCCGATGACGTCCCAGACCCACTCCCCATTGTCCCCAATGGTGTCCCTGATGTCCCCATGTCCCCAACGCTGTCCCACCCTGCTGTCCCTGATGGTTTCCCCATGTCCCCAATGGTGTCCCCATGTCCCCAACACTGTCCCACCTCGCTGTCCCCAATGGTGTCCCCAATGGTGTCCCTGTGTCCCCAACACTGTCCCCATGTCCCCCACGCTGTCCTACCCCTTGTCCCCCATGGTGTCCCCATGTCCCCAATGCTGTCCCCAATGGCGTCCCCAAGTCCCCAATGGCGTCCCCATGTCCCCAATGGTGTCCCCATGTCCCCAGTGTCCCACCCCGCTGTCCCCGATGGTGTCCCCGTGTCCCCAATGGTGACCCCATGTCCCCAATGGTGTCCCCAACGCTGTCCCACCTCGCTGTCCCCAATGGTGTCCCAATGTCCCCAATGGTGTCCCCGATGGTGTCCCCATGTCCCCAACGCTGTCCCACCTCGCTGTCCCCAATGGTGTCCCCATGTCCCCAATGGTGTCCCCAATGGTGTCCCAGCCCCATGTCCCCAACGCTGTCCCACCCCGTTGTCCCCAACGCTGTCCCACCTCTCTGTCCCACCTCACTGTCCCTGATGGTGTCCCTGATGATGTCCCCATGTCCCCGATGGTGTCCCCATGTCCCCGATGGTGTCCCACCCCACTGTCCCCAATGGTGTCCCCATGTCCCCAATGGTGTCCCCATGTCCCTGATGGTGTCCCAGCCCCATGTCCCCGATGGTGTCCCCATGTCCCCGATGGTGTCCCACCCCACTGTCCCCAATGGTGTCCCCATGTCCCCAATGGTGTCCCCATGTCCCCGACGGTGTCCCAGCCCCATGTCCCCAACACTGTCCCACCTCGCTGTCCCAGATGGTGTCCCCATATCCCCTACGCTGTCCCACCTCACTGTCCCCAATGGTGTCCCCAACACTGTCCCACCTCGCTGTCCCCGATGGTGTCCCCAATGGTGTCCCCGATGGTGTCCCCATGTCCCCGATGGTGTCCCCATGTTCCCCATGGTGTCCCAGCCCCATGTCCCCAACGCTGTCCCCAATGGTGTCCCCAACACTGTCCCACTTCACTGTCCCCAATGTTGTCCCCATGTCCCCGATGGTGTCCCCATGTCCCCAATGGTGTCCCCACGCCGTCCCACCTCGTTGTCCCCGATGGTGTCCCCATGTCCCCAACACTGTCCCACCTCGCAGAATGGGGACGCGCAGACGCGGCGCCGCCTGGCGCTGTACTGCCTGAAGGACGCCATGCTGCCGCTGCGGCTGCTGGAGCGCCTGATGACGCTGGTGACGCTGGTGGAGATGGCGCGGGTGACGGCCGTGCCCCTCAGCTACCTGCTCACCCGCGGACAGCAGGTCAAGGTGGTGGCGCAGCTCCTGCGGCAGGTGACAAAGGGGACATGAGGGGGGGACACTGAGGGGACAGCGGGGTCGGAGGTGGGAGGGGAAATGGAGGAAATGTGGGGGGAAAATGGTGGTGAATGTGAGGGGAAAATGGGGGAAATGTGAGGGGGAAAGTAGGGAAATGTGAGGGGGAAAAGGTGGTGAATGTGAGGGTAGAAAATGGAGGGAAGTGTGAGGGGAGAAAATGGAGGGAAATGGAAAAAAAGGAGGGAAATGTGAGGGGGAAATGGTGGTGAATGTGAGGGGGAAATGGTGGTGAATGTGAGGGGAGAAAATGGAGGGAAATAGGAGGGGAGAAAATGGAGGGAAATGTGAGGGGGAAATGGTGGTGAATGTGAGGGGGAAGTGGTGGTGAATATGAGGGGAAAATGGTGGTGAATGTGAGGGGAAAATGGAGGGGAATGTGAGGGGAGAAAATGGAGGGAAATGTGAGGGGAAAATGGTGGCGAATGTTAGGGGAGAAAATGGAGGGAAATGTGAGGGGGAAATGGTGGCGAATGTGAGGGGAGAAAATGGAGGGAAATGTGAGGGGGAAATGGTGAATGTGAGGGGAAAATGGTGGTGAATGTGAGGGGAAAAAATGGAGGGAAAGGTGAGGGGAAAATGGTGGTGAATGTGAGGGGGAAATGGTGGTGAATGTGAGGGGAAAATGGTGGTGAATGTGAGGGGAGAAAATGGAGGGAAATGTGAGGGGGAAATGGTGAATGTGAGGGGAAAATGGTGGTGAATGTGAGGGGAAAAAATGGAGGGAAAGGTGAGGGGAAAATGGTGGTGAATGTGAGGGGGAAATGGTGGTGAATGTGAGGGGAAAATGGTGGTGAATGTGAGGGGAGAAAATGGAGGGAAATGTGAGGGGGAAATGTGAGGGGAAAATGGAGGGAAATGTGAGGGGAAAATGGAGGGAAATGTGAGGGGAGAAAATGGAGGGAAATGTGAGGGGAAAATGGAGGGAAATGTGAGGGGAAATGGAGGAAATGTGAGGGGGAAATGGTGGTGAATGTGAGGGGAGAAAATGGAGGGAAATGGAAAAAAAGGAGGGAAATGTGAGGGGAAAATGGAGGGGAATGTGAGAGGAAATGGTGGTGAATGTGAGGAGGAAATGGTGGTGAATGTGAGGGGGAAAATGGTGGTGAATGTGAGGGGAAAATGGAGGGGAATGTGAGGGGAAAATGGAGGGAAATGGAAAAAAAGGAGGGAAATGTGAGGGGGAAATGGTGGCGAATGTGAGGGGAGAAAATGGAGTGAAATGTGAGGGGAAAAGTAGGGAAATGTGAGGGAGAAATGGGGGTGAATGTGAGGGGGAAATGGTGGTGAATGTGAGGGGAGAATGGTGGCAAATGTGAGGGGAGAAAATGGAGGGAATGTGAGGGGAAAGGGAGGGAAATGTGAGGGGAAAAAGGAGGAAATGTGAGGGGAGAAAATGGAGGGAAATGTGAGGGGAAAATGGAGGCAAATGTGAGGGGAGAAAATGGAGGGAAATGGAAAAAAAGGAGGGAAATGTGAGGGGGAAATGGTGGTGAATGTGAGGGGGAAATGGTGGTGAATGTGAAGGGAGAAAATGGAGGGAAATGTGAGGGGAAAAGTAGGGAAATGTGAGGGGAAAATGGTGGTGAATGTGAGGGGAGAAAATGGAGGGAAATGTGAGGGGAAATGGTGGTGAATGTGAGGGGAGAAAATGGAGGGAAATGTGAGGTGAAAATGGAGGGAAATGTGAGGGGGAAATGGTGGTGAATGTGAGGGGAAAATGGTGGTGAATGTGAGGGGAAAATGGTGGTGAATGTGAGGGGAAAATGGAGGAAATGTGAGGGGGAAGTGGTGGCAAATGTGAGGGTAGAAAATGGAGGGAAGTGTGAGGGGAAAATGGAGGGAAATGTGAGGGGAAAATGGAGGGAAATGTGAGGGGGAAATGGTGGTGAATGTGAGGGGAGAAAATGGAGGGAAATGTGAGGGGAAAAGGGGAAAATGGTGGTGAATGTGAGGGGGAAATGGTGGTGAATGTGAGGGGAGAAAATGGAGGGAAATGTGAGGGGAAATGGTGGTGAATGTGAGGGGAGAAAATGGAGGGAAAGGTGAGGGGAAATGGTGGTGAATGTGAGGGGAAAATGGTGGTGAATGTAAGGAGAAAATGGTGGTGAATGTGAGGGGAGAAAATGGAGGGAAATGTGAGGGGAGAAAATGGAGGGAAATGGAAAAAAAGAAGGGAAATGTGAGGGGGAAATGGTGGTGAATGTGAGGGGAGAAAATGGAGGGAAATGTGAGGGGAAAATGGTGGCAAATGTGAGGGGAGAAAATGGAGGGAAATGTGAGGGGAAAATGGAGGGAAATGTGAGGGGGAAATGGTGGTGAATGTGAGGGGAAAATGGTGGTGAATGTAAGGAGAAAATGGTGGTGAATGTGAGGGGAGAAAATGGAGGGAAATGTGAGGGGAGAAAATGGAGGGAAATGGAAAAAAAGAAGGGAAATGTGAGGGGAAAATGGTGGCAAATGTGAGGGGAGAAAATGGAGGGAAATGTGAGGGGAAAATGGTGGTGAATGTGAGGGGGAAAATAGGGAAATGTGAGGGGAAAATGGAGGAAATGTGGGGGGAGAAAATGGTGGGAAATGTGAGGGGGAAATGGAGGGAAATGTGAGGGGAAAATGGTGGAAATGTGAGGGGGAAATTGAAGGAAACTTGAGGGGAGAAAATGGTGGGAAATGTGAGGGGGAAAGGCAGGAAACATGAGGAGGAAATGTGATGGGGAAAAAAGGCCAGGAAATGTAAGTGGAAAAGGGTGGAAAACATGAGAGGAAAAAGGGAATGTAAAGGAAAAAGAGTGGGAAACGTGAAGGGGAAAATGGAGGGAAACGTGAGGGGAAAATGGAAAGAAGTGTGAGGGAAAACCAGAGGGAAACATGAGGGGAAAAAAGGGCGGGAAAATGTGAGGGGGAAAAAAGGGCGGGAAAATGTGAGGGGGAAAAAAGGGCGGGAAAACATGAGGGGAAAAAGGGCGGGAAAACGTGAGGGGAAAAAGGGCGGGAAAACGTGAGGGGAAAAAAGGGCGGGAAAACGTGAGGGGAAAAAAGGGCGGGAAAACGTGAGGGGAGAAAATGGCCGGCGGTGACGGAGCTGCAGGTGAGGGGATTTGGGGACACTGAGGGAATTTGGGGACATTTGGGGACACTGAGGGGATTTTGGGACACTGGCGACACCTGAGACTGTTTTGGGGTGAATTTTAGGAAGAGATTTTGGAGATTTTTGGGGGGATTTTAGGGGATTTGGGTGTTTTATAAGCGTGATTTACGGGGGGGGTTTGGGGAAGGGTTTTTAGGGATTTTTGAGGGGATTTTTTTGGGATTTCGGGATTTTTTTAAAGTGGATTTTTATGGTGTTCCAGGGTTTGCTTTCTGGGATGTTTTTGGGGTGAATTTGGGACATTTTGGGGTGTTTTTTGCCCTCCCAGGCCATGCAGGAGGATTTGCTGCTGCCGGTGGTGAAGTCGGAGGGGGGAGAGGATTTTGAGGGGGCCACGGTGATCGAGCCCCTCAAAGGGTGAGTGAGGGGGTACAAAAAAACCCCAAAATTCCACAAATCTCCCTCAAAAACCTCCCTAAAAAACCCCCCAAAAATCCACAAATTCCCCTCAAAAAATTCCCCCTAAAAACCCTCAAAATTCCACAAATCCCCCTCAAAAACCTCCCGAAAAAACCCCTTAAAATTTCACAAATCCCCCTCAAAAACCTCCCCAAAAAAAAACCCCAAAATTCCACAAATCCCCCTCAAAAACCTCCCCAAAAAAACCCCCAATATTCCACAAATCCCCCTCAAAAACCTCCCCCAAAAAAACCCCAAAATTCCATAAATCCCCCTCAAAAACCCACCAAAATTGCACAAATCCCCCTCAAAAACCTCCCCCAAAAAACCCCAAAATTCTACAAATCCCCCTCAAAAACCTCCCAAAAAAAACCCCTGAAATTCCACAAATCCCCCTCAAAAACCTCCCCCAAAAAAACCCCAAAATTCCACAAATCCTCCTCAAAAAGCTCCCCAAAAAACCCCCCAAAATTCCACAAATCCCCCTCAAAAACCTCCCCAATAAAACCACCAAAATTCCACAAATCCCCCTCAAAAACCTCCCCAAAAAAACCCCAAAATTCCACAAATCCTCCTCAAAAACCTCCCCAAAAAAACCCAAAATTCCACAAATTCCCCTCAAAAACCCTCCAAAATGCCACATATTCCCCTCAAAAACTTCCCCCCAAAAAACCCACCAAATTCCACAAATCCCCCTCAAAAACCTCCCCCCAAAAAAACCCAAAATTCCACAAATCCCCCTCAAAAACCTCCCCCAAAAAACCCCCCAAAATTCCACAAATCCCCCTCAAAAACCCTCCAAAATTCCAGAAATTCCCCTTAAAACCCCCCCCAAAAAAAACCCCCAAAATTCCACAAATCCTCCTCAAAAACCTCCCCAAAATAACCCCCAAAATTCCACAAATCCCCCTCAAAAACCTCCCTAAAAAAAAACCCCCAAAATTCCAAAAATCCCCCTCAAAAACCCACCAAAATTCCACAAATCCCCCTCAAAAACCACCCCAAAAAAACCCCCAAAATTCCACAAATCCCCCTCAAAAACCTCCCCAAAATAACCCCCAAAATTCCACAAATCCCCCTCAAAAACCTCCCTAAAAAAAAACCCCCAAAATTCCAAAAATCCCCCTCAAAAACCCACCAAAATTCCACAAATCCCCCTCAAAAACCACCCCAAAAAAAACCACCAAAATTCCACAAATCCCCCTCAAAAAACTCCCTAAAAAAAACCCCAAAATTCCACAAATGCCCCTCAAAATCCTCCCCAAAAAAACCAAAAAAATTCCCCCAAGCACCCTGAAAAAAAAAACCTTCAAAAATTTGCCAAACCCCCTAAAAAACCTGTCAAGAAACCTCAACCCCCCCCGCCAAAAAATCCCCAAAAACCCACAAAAAAAAATCTGAAACAAACCCCCCAAAAAACAAAAAACCAGAAAAAAAGGAAACCTAAAACCAACCTGAAAAAACCCCACAAAAAACCTGAAAAAAACAAAAATAAAAAACTGAAAAAATCGTGAAAAAGACCCACAAAAAACCCTCAAAACAAAACCCCCAGAGCGCCTCAAAATATCAAAAAAAAATAAAAAAGCACCTAAAAATACCCTAAAAACTCTCAGAAAACCCAAATAAAAACCCTCAAAATTCCACAAATCCCTCTCAAAAACCTCCCAAAAAAACCCCACCAAAATTCCACAAATCCCTCTCAAAAACCTCCCCCAAAAAACCCCCAAAATTCCACAAATTCCCCTCAAAAACCTCCCCAAAAAAACCCCAAAATTACCCCAAGTACCCTGAAAAAAAAACCTTCAAAAATTTGCCGAACCCCCTAAAAAAACCTGTCAAGAAACCTCAACCCCCCCTGCCAAAAAAACCCAAAAAACCCACAAAAAAAATCTGAAACAAACCCCAAAAAAAAACAGAAAAAAAGAAAAATAGAAAACCTAAAATCAACCTGAAAAAACCCCACAAAAAACCTGAAAAAAAAAAAATAAAAAACTGAAAAAATCATGACAAAGACCCACAAAAAAACCTCAAAACAAAACCCCCAGAGCGCCCAAAAATATCAAAAAAAATTTAAAAAGCACCGAAAAAATACCCTAAAAACTCTCAGAAAACCCAAATAAAAATCCCGAATTTTCATGAAACTCCCCAAAAAAATTTAAAATGTGCCAAAAAGGTTAAAAAAGCCCAAAATAACCCAAATTTTGTGGCCAGGTACTACGACGCGCCCATCGCCACGCTGGACTTCTCCTCGCTGTACCCGTCCATCATGATCGCCCACAACCTGTGCTACACCACCCTGCTGCCCCCCGGCGGGGCCCAGAAACACGGGTTCGTACTGGTTTGGACTGGTTTATACTGGTTTGGGCTGGTTTGGACTGGTTTGGACTGGTTTATACTGGTTTGGACTGGTTTGGACTGGTTTAGAGTGGTTTGGACTGGTTTGGACTGGTTTATACTGGTTTGGACTGGTTTTTACTGGTTTATACAGATTTCTGTTTGTTTATACTGGTCCGTACTGGTTTATACTGGTTTATACTGATTTCTGTTTGTTTATACTGGTGCATACTGGTTTATACTGGTCCATACTGGTCCATACTGATTTCTGTGCATTTGTACTGGTTTATACTGGTCCATACTGGTTTATACTGGTCTATACTATCTATACTGATTTCTGTTCGTTTATACTGGTCTGTACTGGTTTATACTGGTCCATACTGGTCCATACTGGTCCATACTGGTTTATACTGGTTTATACTGATTTCTGTTAGTTTATACTGGTTTTTACTGGTCCATACTGGTCCATACTGGTCCATACTGATTTCTGTTCGTTTGTACTGGTTTATATTGGTCCATAGTGGTTTATACTGGTCCATACTGGTCCATACTGGTCCATACTGGTCCGTACTGGTTTATACTGGTTTATACTGGTTTATACTGGTCTATATTGGTTTATACTGGTTTATACTGGTCCGTACTGATTTGTACTGGTCTATACTGGTCCATACTGGTTTATACTGGTCCGTACTGGTTTATACTGGTTTATACTGGTTTATACTGGTCTCTCCTCAGGCTGGGCCCCCAGGATTTCATCCGGACCCCCACGGGGCAGCTCAGTCCATACTGGTCCATACTGGTCCATACTGATTTCTGTTAGTTTATACTGGTTTATACTGGTCCATACTGGTTTATACTGGTCCATAGTGGTTTATACTGGTTTATACTGGTTTATACTGGTCTCTCCTCAGGCTGGGCCCCCAGGATTTCATCCGGACCCCCACGGGGCAGCTCAGTCCATACTGGTCCATACTGGTTTATACTGGTCCATACTGGTCCATACTGGTCCATACTGGTCCATACTGGTCCGTACTGGTTTATACTGGTTTATACTGGTTTATACTGGTCTATATTGGTTTATACTGGTTTATACTGGTCCGTACTGATTTGTACTGGTCTATACTGGTCCATACTGGTTTATACTGGTCCGTACTGGTTTATACTGGTTTATACTGGTTTATACTGGTCTCTCCTCAGGCTGGGCCCCCAGGATTTCATCCGGACCCCCACGGGGCAGCTCAGTCCATACTGGTCCATACTGGTCCATACTGGTTTATACTGGTCCGTACTGGTTTATACTGGTCCGTACTGGTTTATACTGGTTTATACTGGTTTATACTGGTTTATACTGGTTTATACTGGTCTCTCCTCAGGCTGGGCCCCCAGGATTTCATCCGGACCCCCACGGGGCAGCTCAGTCCATACTGGTCCATACTGGTCCATACTGGTCCATACTGGTCCATACTGGTCCATACTGGTTTATACTGGTTTATACTGGTCTGTACTGGTTTATACTGGTCCATACTGGTTTATACTGGTTTATACTGGTCTGTACTGGTCCATACTGGTTTATACTGGTTTATACTGGTTTATACTGGTCTCTCCTCAGGCTGGGCCCCCAGGATTTCATCCGGACCCCCACGGGGCAGCTCAGTCCATACTGGTCCATACTGGTCCATACTGGTCTATAGTGCTCTATACTGGTTTATACTGGTTTATACTGGTTTATACTGGTTTATACTGGTTTATACTGGTCTCTCCTCAGGCTGGGCCCCGAGGATTTCATCTGGACCCCCACGGGGCAGCTCAGTCCATACTGGTCCATACTGGTCCATACTGGTCTATACTGGTCCATACTGGTCCATAGTGGTCTATATTGGTTTATACTGGTCCGTACTGGTCTATACTGGTTTATACTGGTTTATACTGGTCTATACTGGTTTATACTGGTTTATACTGGTCTCTCCTCAGGCTGGGCCCCCAGGATTTCATCCGGACCCCCACGGGGCAGCTCTTTGTCACCCCCCGGGTGCGCAGGGGGGTCCTGCCGAGGGTCCTGGAAGGGCTGTTGGCCGCCAGGAGCAGGTGAGATCCGGGCACAATTTGGGGCATTTTGGGCAAATTCGGGGGAATTTGGGGATTTGGGGGGATTTTGGGAGAAAATTTGGGAGAAATTTGGGGGAAATTTGGGGATTCGGGGGGATTTTGGGAGAAAATTTGGGGGAAATTTGGGGGGAATGTGGGAAATTTGGGGGATTGGGCAAATATGGAGGATTTAGGGGAAATTTTGGGGGGAATTGAGGAGATTCTGGGGAGGATTTTGGGGTAATTTTGAGAGATTTGGGGGATTTGGGGGAATTTGGGCGATTTTAGGGATTTGGGGAATTTTAGGGGCAATTTAGGGGATTTTGGGGTAATTTTGAGGGATTTAGGAGATTTGGGGGAATTTGGGCAATTTTAGGGATTTGGGGAGAAAATTGGGGGATTTTGGGGAGATTTTGGGGTCATTTTGAGAGATTTGGGGGATTTGGGGGAATTTGGGCGATTTTAGGGATTTGGGGAATTTTAGGGGGAATTTAGGGGATTTTGGGGGGAATTTGATGAATTTGGGGAGGCTTTAGGGGATTTGGGGGAATTTGGGTGATTTTAGGGATTTGGGGGAAAATTAGGGAATTTTGGGGGGAATTTGATGGTTTTGGGGAGGCTTTAGAGGATTTGGGGGATTTTAGGGATTTGAGGAAAAATTGGGGAATTTTAGGGGGAATTTAGGGGATTTTGGGGGGAATTTGATGAATTTGGGGAGGCTTTAGTGGATTTGGGGGAATTTGGGCAATTTTAGGGATTTGAGGGAAAATGGGGAATTTTAGGGGGGATTTTGGGGGGAATTTAAAGAATTTGGGGAGTCTTTAGGGGATTTGGGTGATTTTAGGGATTTGGGAAGAAATTGGGGAATTTTGGGGGGATTTTGGGGTCATTTTGAGAGATTTTGGGAAGCTTTGGGAGAGATTTTGGGCGATTTTCGGGATTTGGGGAGAAATTGGGGAATTTTAGGGAGAATTTAGGGGATTTTGGGGTAATTTTGAGAGATTTGGGGAGTCTTTAGGGGATTTGGGGGAAAATTAGGGAATTTTGGGGGGAATTTGATGAATTTAGGGAGGCTTTGGGGGATTTTGGGGAATTTGGGCAATTTTAGGGATTTGGGGAGAAATTGGGGAATTTTAGGGGGAATTTAGGGGAGAATTTGATGAATTTAGGGAAGCTTTGGGCGAATTTGGGCGATTTAGGGATTTGGGGAAAAATTGGGGGAATTTTAGGGGGAATTTTGGGGGGGATTTGATGAATTTGGGGAGGCTTTTAGGGGATTTTGGGGAATTTGGGCAATTTTAGGGATTTGGGGGGAAATTGGGGAATTTTAGGGGGAATTTTGGGGGGAATTTGATGAATTTGGGGAGTGTTTAGGGGATTTGGGCGATTTTAGGGATTTGGGGGAAAATTGGGGAATTTTAGGGGGAATTTTGGGGGGAATTTGATGAATTTGGGGACGCTTTAGGGGATTTTGGGGAATTTTGGCGATTTTAGGGATTTTGGGACCATTTCCATGGGGATTTTTGGGATTTCCGTGGGGATTTTTGGGATTTCCGCGGGGATTTCTGCCCAGGTGTGTTCACCTGTGCCCAGGTGCGCTCACCTGCGGGTCCTGGCAGGGTAAAGGTGGCACAAAATGGGAATTTGGGTGAATTTTGGGGGATTTCCGTGGGGATTTTTGGGATTTCCGTGGGGATTTTTGGTATTTCCGCGGGGATTTCTGCCCAGGTGCGCTCACCTGCGCCCAGGTGAGCTCACCTGCGGGTCCTGGCAGGGTAAAGGTGTCACAGGACCTGAACCAGGTGAATTTGGGACCATTTTTGTGGGGATTTTTGGGATTTCCGCGGGGATTTCTGCCCAGGTGCGCTCACCTGTGCCCAGGTGAGCTCACCTGCGGGTCCTGGCAGGGTGAAGGCGGCGCTGGTGGAGGAGCAGGACCCCGAGCGGCGCCAGGTGCTGGACGGGCGGCAGCTGGCGCTGAAGGTGAGCGCCAACTCCGTCTACGGCTTCACCGGCGCGCAGGCCGGGCGCCTGCCCTGCCTGGAGATATCGCAGGTGAGACACCTGGGCACACCTGGGGCACACCTGGGCACACCTGGGCACACCTGGGATAGCCACAGACACACCTGGGGCACAGCTGGGGCACACCTGGGCACACCTGGGCACACCTGGGCACAGCTGGGGCACAGCTGGGCACACCTGGGAGGGGTTTGGGCACACCTGGGAGGGGTTTGAGCACACCTGGGCACACCTGGGACAGCCACAGACACACCTGGGCACACCTGAGGATCCCAGATCACACCTGGGCACACCTTGACTGCCCTGGCAAGTGCCCCAAGCACACCTGGGCACACCTGGGAGGGGTTTGGGCACACCTGGGCACACCTGGGAGGGGTTTGGGCACACCTGGGCACACCTGGGTACAGGTAACAACACACCTGGGCACAGGTAACACACCTGGGTACAGGTAACGGCATACCTGGGCACACCTGGGCACACCTGGGAGGGGTTTGAGCACACCTGGGAACACCTGGGATAGCCACAGACACACCTGGGCATACCTGGAAAGGGTTTGGGCACACCTGGGATATCCTCAAACACACCTGGGCACACCTGGGAGGGGTTTGAGCACACCTGGGCACACCTGGGCACAGGTAACACACCTGGGCACACCTGGGCACAGGTAACACACCTGGGCACAGCTGGGGCACACCTGGGGCACACCTGGGGCACACCTGGGATAGCCACAGACACACCTGGGCACACCTGGGAGGGGTTTGAACACACCTGGGGCACACCTGGGGCACACCTGGGAGGGGTTTGGGCACACCTGGGATAGCCACAGACACACCTGGGCACACCTGGGCACACCTGGGGCACACCTGGGCACAGCTGGGGCACACCTGAGCACACTTGGGCACACCTGGGCACACCTGGGCACAGCTGGGGCACACCTGGGATAGCCTCAGACACACCTGGGCACACCTGGGCACAGCTGGGGCACACCTGGGCACACCTGAGGGGGGTTTGAGCACACCTGGGCACACCTGGGAGGGGTTTGAGCACACCTGGGCGCACCTGGGCACACCTGGGCACACCTGGGAGGGGTTTGAGCACACCTGGGATAGTCATAGACAGACCTGGGCACACCTGGGAGGGATTTGGGCACATCTGGGAGGGGTTTGGGCACACCTGGGCACACCTGGGCACACCTGGGATAGCCACAGACACACCTGGGCACACCTGGGGCACACCTGGGCACACCTGGGAGGGGTTTGGGCACACCTGGGAGGGGTTTGGTCACACTTGGGGCGCACCTGGGCACAGGTGACACACCTGGGCACAGCTGGGATAGCCACAGACACACCTGGGATAGCCAGAGACACACCTGGGCACACCTGGGCACAGCTGGGGCACACCTGGGCACACCTGGGGCACACCTGGGGCACACCTGAGAGGGGTTTGAGCGCACCTGGGAGGGGATTGAACACACCTGGGCACACCTGGGCACACCTGGGAGGGGTTTGAGCACACCTGGGCACACCTGGGCACACCTGGAAAGGGTTTGGGCACACCTGCGCACAATGCTAACACACCTGGGACACACCTGGGCACACCTGGGAGGGGTTTGGGCACACCTGGGATAGCCACAGACACACCTGGGCATACCTGGGACACACCTGGGACACACCTGGGCACACCTGGGGCACACCTGGGCACAGGTAACACACCTGGGCACACCTGGAAGGGGTTTGGGCACACCTGGGCACACCTGGGATAGTCACAGACACACCTGGGCACACCTGGAAGGGGTTTGGGCACACCTGGGCACACCTGGGCACACCTGGGAGGGGTTTGAGCACACCTGGGATATCCTCAAACACACCTGGGCACACCTGAGGATCCCAGATCACACCTGGGCACACCTTGACTGCCCTGGCAGGTGCCCCAGGCACACCTGGGCACCCCCAAACCCCACCTGAGGAGCCCAGATCACACCTGGGCAGGGCCAGGCCTCACCTGGGCCTCACCTGAGCCTCACCTGGGCCTCACCTGGGCCTCACCTGCAGAGCGTGACCGGCTTCGGGCGCCAGATGATCGAGAAGACGAAGCAGCTGGTGGAGAGCGAGTACCCGGATGTGCAGGTAACACACACCTGGGCACACCTGGGCACACCTGGGCACACCTGGGCACACCTGGGCACACCTGGGCACAGGTAACGCACACCTGGGCACACCTGGGCACAGATAACAACACACCTGGGCACACCTGGGCACAGGTAACAGCACAGGTAACACACCTGGGCACAGGTAACACAGTTGGGTACAGGTAACAACACACCTGGGCACACCGGGGTACAGGTAACACACCTGGGCACACCTGGGCACACCTGGGCACAGGTAACACACCTGGGCACAGCTGGGCACACCTGGGCACAGGTAACGGCACACCTGGGCACACCTGGGCAGAGGTAACAGCACACCTGGGCACAGGTAACACACCTGGGCACAACTGGGCACAACTGGGCACACCTAGGAACAGGTAACAGCACACCTGGGCACACCTGGGCACAGGTAATAGACACAGCTAACAGCACCTGGGCACAGGTAACACACCTGGGCACAGGTAACACACCTGGCCACACCTGGGCACAGGTAATGGCACACCTGGGCACAGGTAACAGCGCACCTGTGTACAGGTAACACACCTGGGCACACCTGGGCACACCTGGGCACACCTGGGCACAGGTAACACACCTGGGCACACCTGGGGAGTATTTTAATGGGATTTTTGTGTATTTTAATGGGGTTTTGGTGTATTTTAATGATATTTTGGTATATTTTAACGGGGTTTTTTTGTACTTTAAGTTGATTTTTGGGTTTTTTTGGTGTTTTCTGCCCCAGGTGGTGTACGGGGACACGGACTCGGTGATGTCACCTGGGGGCAGTTTTGGTGCATTTTAATGGGATTTTTGCATATTTTAATCGGGTTTTTTTGTATTTTAATGATATTTTGGTATATTCTAACGGGGTTTTTTTTATTTTAATGTGATTTTAATGTGATTTTTTGTGGTTTTTGCCCAGGTGGTGTACGGGGACACGGACTCGGTGATGTCACCTGGGGGCACTTTTGGGGCGTTTTAATGATAGTTTGGTGTATTTTAGCGCAGTTTTTTGTATTTCAGTGAGTTTTTGATGGATTTTAACGGGGTTTTTTTGTATTTTAATGTGATTTTTGGGTGTATTTTTGTGTTTTTTTGCCCAGGTGGTGTACGGGGACACGGACTCGGTGATGTCACCTGGGGGCACTTTTGGGGCATTTTAATGACATTTTGGTGTATTTTAGTGCAGTTTTTCTGTATTTTAATGATATTTTGGTGTATTTCAATGGGTTTTTTTTGTATTTTAATATGAATTTTGGGTTTTTTTGTGTTTTTTGCCCAGGTGGTGTACGGGGACACGGACTCGGTGATGTCACCTGGGGGCAGTTTTGGTGTATTTTAATGGGATTTTTGCATATTTTAATCGGGTTTTTTTGTATTTTAATGATATTTTGGTATATTTCAATGGGGTTTTTTTCTATTTTAATGTGAATTTTGGGTTTTTTTGTGTTTTTCCCCCCAGGTGGTGTACGGGGACACGGACTCGGTGATGTCACCTGGGGGCACTTTTGGGGCATTTTAATGACGTTTTGCTGTATTTTAATGACGTTTTGCTGTATTTTAATGATATTTTGGTATATTTCAATGGGGTTTTTTTGTATTTTAATGTGAATTTTGGGGTTTTTTGTGTTTTTTTGCCCCAGGTGGTGTACGGGGACACGGACTCGGTGATGTCACCTGGGGGCACTTTTGGTGTATTTTAATCAGGTTTTTTTGTATTTTAATGATATTTTGGTATATTTTAACGGGGTTTTTTTCTATTTTAATGTGAATTTTGGTTGAATTTTGGATTTTTTTGCCCCAGGTGGTGTACGGGGACACGGACTCGGTGATGTCACCTGGGGGCAGTTTTGGGGCAGTTTAATGACATTTTGGCATATTTTAACGGGGTTCTTGTGTATTTTAATGATATTTTGGTATATTTTAGTGAGTTTTTGGTATATTTTAACGGGGTTTTTGGGTTTTTTTGTGTTTTTTGCCCCAGGTGGTGTACGGGGACACGGACTCGGTGATGTCACCTGGGGGCAGTTTTAATGAGATTTTGGTGTATTTTAACGGGATTTTGGTGTATTTTAATCGGGTTTTTTTGTATTTTAATGATATTTTGGTATATTTTAACGGGGTTTTTTTCTATTTTAATATGAATTTTGGGTTTTTTTGGGTGTTTTTCTCCCCCAGGTGGTGTACGGGGACACGGACTCGGTGATGTCACCTGGGGGCACTTTTGGTGTATTTCAATGGGGTTTTGGTGTATTTTAATGACGTTTTGGTGTATTTTAATGGGTTTTTTTGGTATTTCAGTGAGTTTTTGATGGATTTTAATGGGGTTTTTTTGTACTTTAAGTTGATTTTTGGGTGGATTTTGTGTTTTTTTTGCCCAGGTGGTGTACGGGGACACGGACTCGGTGATGTGCCGCCTGAAGGTGCCCTCGGTGCCCGAGGCGGCCGCTCTGGGTCGCGCCGTGGCCACGTGGGTGTCGGGTCACTTCCCGCCCCCCATCCGCCTCGAGTTCGAGAAGGTGCGCCCCAAATTCGGGCTGGGACCCCAAAAATACCCCAAATGTCTGTGAGGGTTCCTAAAGGGGGGAATTTTGGGGTTTGGGGGCAGTTTTGGGGGGGAATTATGATGTTTTGGGGGAAATTTGGGGGTTTTTGTGAGAGTTTTGGGGTTTTTTGGGAGGGTTTTGGGGGAATTTTTGGGGTTTTGGGGTTTTTGGGGGGGTTTTGAGGGAGTTTTGGGGTTTTTGAGGGGATTTTGGGGTTTTTGGGGGGAGTTTTGGGGTTTTTGAGGGGATTTTGGGGTTTTTGGGGGGAGTTTCAAAGATTTTGGGGTTTTTGGGGGGAATTTTGGGGTTTTGGGGGAAATTTTGGGTTTTTTGGGGGAGAATTTTGTGGTTTTGGGGGATTTTGGGGAAATTTAGGTGTTTTGGGGGGGATTTTAGGGTTTTTGGGAGAATTTTGAGGTGATTTTCAGGTTTTGGGGGGAGTTTTGGGGTTTTTGGGGGAATTTGGGGGTTTTGGGGAGAATTTTGGGGTTTTTGGGGAGGATTTTGGGGTTTTTGGGGGGAATTTTGGGGAGAGTTTCGGGGTTTCTGTGAGGGTTTTGGGGTTTTTGAGGGGGTTTGGGGGGGATTTTGGAGTTTTGGGGAGGAATTTTGGTGTTTTGGGGGCAATTTTGGGGGGAGATTCGGGGACTTTGGGGTTTTGGGGGGAATTTTGGGGGTTTTGGGGGGAGTTTTAGGGTTTTGGGGGAGTTTTGGGGGGAATTTTGGGGTTTTGGGGGGAGTTTTGGGGTTTTGGGGGCGTTTTGGGGAGAGTTTTGTGGTTTTGGAGGGGGAGTTGGGGTTTTTGGGGGGAGTTTTGGGGTTTTGGGGGGGGACTTTGGGGGGTTTGGACAGAATTTGAGGTTTTGGGGGGATTTTAGGGTTTTTTGGGGAGATTTGGAGTTTTAGGGGGAGTTTTGGGGGAGAATTTTTGGGAGTGATGAAAACCAGCTATAAAACAGAAAAAAAAACCGGGAAAAAAAGCAGAAAAACTGTAAAAAATAGTTTTAAAAAACGGGAAAAAAATTAAAAATACTGAAAAATAGTTTAAAAATGGGGGAAAAAAAATTAAAAAATTTAAAAATAATTAAAAAATCTGTTGAAAACCCCTGCAGGTGTACCTGCCCTACCTGCTGATCAGGTTTTGGGGGGGATTTTGGCATTTTTGGGGGAATTTTGGGGTGTTTGGGCAGAATTTGAGGTTTTGAGGGGAGTTTTTGGGGAGATTTTAGGATTTTTGGGGAGATTTATGGTTTTGGGTGGAGTTTTAGGGGAGGAATTTTTGGGAGTGATAAAAAATAGCTGTAAAACAGAAAAAAAAACGGGAAAAATAGCTGAAAAACTGTAAAAAATAATTTAAAAAACGGGAAAAAAATTAAAAATACTGAAAAATAGTTTAAAAACGTGGGGAAAAAATTAAAAAAAATAAAAATAATTAAAAAATCTGTTGGAAACCCCTGCAGGTGTACCTGCCCTACCTGCTGATCAGCAAGAAGCGCTACGCCGGCCTCTGCTTTTCGGGGGGCTCCGGGGGCACCCCAAAATTGGACTGCAAAGGGCTGGAGGCCGTCAGGAGGGACAACTGTCCCCTGGCTGCCAACCTGGTGACAGCCTGCCTCAGGAGGATCCTGCTGCACAGGTGAAAAATGGGGAAAAAACGGGAAAAAACGGGAAAAAACGGTGAAAAAATGGCAAAAAATGGTGAAAAAATGGCAAAAAATGGTGAAAAATGGCCAAAAACGGCCTGAAATGGGGAAATGGCCCCAAAATGGGACAAGTCTCCCCTGGGTGCCAGCCTGCCTCAGGAGGATCCTGCTGCACAGGTGAAAAATGGGGAAAAAACGGGAAAAAATGGGAAAAAACGGTGAAAAAATGGCAAAAAACGGTGAAAAAATGGTGAAAAACGGTGAAAAAATGGCCAAATAACCCCAAAATGGGACAAGTCTCCCCTGGGTGCCAGCCTGCCTCAGGAGGATCCTGCTGCACAGGTGAAAAATGGGGAAAAAACGGGGAAAAATGGGAAAAAACGGTGAAAAAATGGGGAAAAACGGTGAAAAAATGGTGAAAAACGGTGGAAAAATGGCCAAAAACGGCCTAAAAATGGCCAAATAACCCCAAAATGGGACCAGTCTCCCCTGGGTGCCAGCCTGCCTCAGGAGGATCCTGCTGCACAGGTGAAAAATGGGGAAAAAATGGGGGAAAATGGGAAAAAATGGTGAAAAAATGGCAAAAAACGGTGAAAAAATGGTCAAAAACGGCCTAAAAATGGCCAAAAATGGCCTAAAAATGGGGAAATAATGGGGAAATAATGGGCAAATGACCCCAAAATGGGACAAGTCTCCCAGGAGGATCCTGCTGCACAGGTGAAAAATGGGGAAAAAACGGGAAAAACGGTGAAAAAACGGGAAAAACGGTGAAAAAATGGCAAAAAACGGTGGAAAAACGGCCAAAAAATGGCCAAAAATGGGGAAATAATGGGGAAATAATGGGGAAATGGCCCCAAAATGGGACAAGTCTCCCCTGGGTGCCAGCCTGCCTCAGGAGGATCCTGCTGCACAGGTGAAAAATGGGGAAAAAAACGGGAAAAAATGGGAAAAAAAGTGAAAAAATGGCAAAAAATGGTGAAAAAATGGGGGAAAATGGCCAAAAATGGCATAAAAATGGCCTAAAATTGGGGAAAAAATGGGAAATGGCCCCAAAATGGGACAAGTCTCCCCTGGGTGACAGCCTGCCTCAGGAGGATCCTGAGCACAGGTGAAAAATGGGGAAAAAATGGGGAAAAATGGTGAAAAAAACGGGAAAAATGGTGAAAAAATGGGAAAAAACGGTGAAAAAATGGCCAAAAACGGCCTAAAAATGGGGAAATAATGGGGAAATAATGGAGATTTGAGGTGGATTTGGGGTCAGTTTTGGGGTGGGTTTGGGGTCAGTTTTGAGATGGATTTGGGGTCAGTTTTGGGGTGGATTTGGGCTCAGTTTTTGGGTGAATTTGGGGTCAGTTTTAGGGTCAGTTTTGGGGTCAGTTTTGGTGTCAGTTTGAGGTGGATTTAGGTCAATTTTGGGGTCAGTTTTAGGTGGATTTGGGGTCAGTTTTAGGTGGATTTGGGGTCAGTTTTGGGATCAGTTTTGGGTTCAGTTTTGAGGTGGATTTGGGGCCATTTTTGGGGTCAGTTTTGGGGTGGATTTGGTCAATTTTGAGGTCATTTTGAGGTGGATTTGGGGTCAGTTTTTGGGATCAGTTTGGGGCCAGTTTTGTGATGGATTTAGGGTCAGTTTTGGGGTGGATTTAGGTCAATTTTGGGATAAGTTTGAGGTGGATTTGGGGTCAGTTTTTGGGATCAGTTTGGGGTCAGTTTTGAGATGCATTTAGGGTCAGTTTTAGGGCGATTTTTGGGTGAATTTCGGATGAATTTGGGGTCTCTATCCCCACAGGGACCCCCAGGGCGCCGTGGCCCACGCGCAGGAGATCTCAGACCTGCTCTGCCACCGGGGGCTGGGGTGGCTTTGGGGTCAGGTTTGGGGTCAGTTTGAGGTGGATTTAGGTCAGTTTTGGGGTCATTTTTATGATGGATTTAGGGTCTGTTTGTGGTCAGTTTTGGGGTCATTTTGAGGTGGATTTGGGTCAGTTTTGGGTGGATTTAGGGTTCAGTTTTGGGGTCAGTTTTGGGCTGGATTTAGGTCAGTTTTGGGGTCATTTTTATGATGGATTTAGGGTCAGTTTGTGGTCAGTTTGGGGTCATTTTGAGGTGGATTTGGGGTCAGTTTTGGGGTGGATTTGGGGTCAGTTTTGGGGTCAGTTTTGGGGTCAGTTTGAGGTGGATTTGGGTCAATTTTGGGGTCAGTTTGAGGTGGATTTGGGGTCAGTTTTGAGATATATTTAGGGTCAGTTTTAGGGTCAGTTTTGTGATGGATTTAGGTCCATTTGGGGTCAGTTTGAGGTGGATTTGGGGTCAGTTTTGGGGTGGATTTGGGGTCAGTTTTGGGGTGGATTTAGGTCAGTTTTGGGGTCAGTTTGAGGTTGATTTGAGGTCAGTTTTGGGATCAGTTTGGGGTCAGTTTTGCGGTGGACTTAGGTCAATTTTTAGGTCAGTTTGAGGTGGATTTGGGGTCAGTTTTGGCATGGATTTAGGTCAATTTTGGGGTCAGTTTTAGGTGGATTTGGCGTCAGTTTTGGGGTAATTTTGAGGTGGATTTGGGGTCAGTTTTGGGATCAATTTGGGGTCAGTTTTGTGATGGATTTGGGGTCAGTTTGAGGTGGATTTGGGGTCAGTTTTGGTGTCAGTTTGAGGTGGATCTAGGGTCAGTTTTGGGATGGATTTAGGGTCAATTTTGGGGTCAGTTTTGGGGTGGATTTAGGTCCATTTGGGGTCAGTTTTGGGGTGATTTTTGGGTGAATTTCAGATGAATTTGGGGTCTCTATCCCCACAGGGATCCCCAGGGCGCCGTGGCCCACGCGCAGGAGGTGATCTCAGACCTGCTCTGCCACCGGGGGCTGGGGTGGCTTTGGGGTCAGGTTTGGGGTGAATTTTGGGTGAATTTCAGATGAATTTGGGGTCTCTATCCCCACAGGGACCCCCAGGGCGCCGTGGCCCACGCGCAGGAGGTGATCTCAGACCTGCTCTGCCACCGGGGGCTGGGGTGGCTTTGGGGTCAGGTTTGGGGTCAGTTTTGGGGTGGATTTAGGTCAGTTTTGGGGTCATTTTTATGATGGATTTAGGGTCAGTTTGTGGGCAGTTTTGGGGTCACGTTGAGGTGGATTTTGGGTCAGTTTTGGGGTGGATTTAGGTCAATTTTGGGGTTGGTTTGAGGTGGATTTGGGGTCAGTTTTGGGATCAGTTTGGGGTTAGTTTTGGGGTGGATTTAGGTCAATTTTGGGATCAGTTTGAGGTGGATTTGAGGTCAGTTTTTGGGATCTGTTTGGGGTCAGTTTTGTGATGGATTTAGGGTCACTTTTGGGGTGATTTTTGGGTGAATTTCGGATGAATTTGGGATCTCTACCTGCAGGGATCCCCAGGGCGCCGTGGCCCACGCGCAGGAGCTGATCTCAGACCTTCTCTGCCACCGGGGGCTGGGGTGGCTTTGGGGCCATTTTTGGGGTGATTTTTGGGTGGATTTAGGTCAGTTTTGGGGTCATTTTTATGATGGATTTGGGTCAGTTTGTGGTCAGTTTTGGGGTCATTTTGAGGTGGATTTGGGGTCAGTTTTGAGGTGGGTTTGGGGTCAGTTTGAGGTAGATTTGGGGTCAATTTTGGGGTCAGTTTGAGGTGGATTTGGGGTCAGTTTTGGGGTGGATTTGGGTCAATTTTGGGGTCAGTTTTGGGTGGATTTAGGTCAGTTTCGAGGGTCAGTTTGAGGTGGATTTAGGTCCGTTTGGGGTCAGTTTTGGGGTCAGTTTGTGATGGATTTAGGTCTGTTTGGGTTCAGTTTGAGGTGGATTTGGGGTCAGTTTGAGGTGGATTTGGGGTCAGTTTTTGGGATCAGTTTGGGGTCAGTTTTGTGATGGATTTAGGATCAGTTTTGGGGTCAGTTTTGGGTGGATTTGGGGCCATTTTTGGGGTTAGTTTGAGGTGGATTTAGGGTCAGTTTTAGGGTCAGTTTTGTGATGGATTTAGGTCTGTTTGGGATCAATTTTGGGGTGGATTTGGGGTCAGTTTTGGGGTGAACTTGTGGTCAGTTTTAGGGTCAGTTTTGGGGTCAGTTTTGTGTGTCAGTTTGAGGTGGATTTGGGTTCAGTTTTGGGGTGGATTTAGGTCAATTTTGGGGTTGGTTTGAGGTGGATTTGGGGTCAGTTTTGGGGTGGATTTAGGGTCAGTTTTGGGGTGGATTTAGGTCAGTTTTGGGGTCAGTTTTGAGCTGGTTTTGGGGTCAGTTTGGGGTGGATTTAGGTCAATTTTGGGATCAGTTTGAGGTGGATTTAGGGTCAGTTTGGCGTCAGTATTGTGATGGATTTGGGGTCAGGTTTGGGGTGATTTTTGGGTGAATTTCGGATGAATTTGGGGTCTCTATCCCCACAGGGACCCCCAGGGCGCCGTGGCCCACGCGCAGGAGGTGATCTCAGACCTGCTCTGCCACCGGGGGCTGGGGTGGGTTTGGGGCCAGTTTTGGGGCGATTTTTGGGTGAATTTCAGATGAATTTGGGGTCTCTATCCCCACAGGGACCCCCAGGGCGCCGTGGCCCACGCGCAGGAGGTGATTTCGGACCTTCTCTGCAACCGCATCGACATTTCCCAACTCGTCATCACCAAAGAGCTGACGAGGGCAGCGAGTGCCTACAGCGCCCCCCAGGCCCACGTGGCGCTGGCCGAGAGGTGGGACCCCAAAAATACCCAAATTCACCCCAAAAATACCCCAAAAACCGCAAAAATACACCCAGAAACCCCAAAAATACACCCAGAAAACCCAAAAACCCAAAATCACCCCAAAAATACCCCAAAAACACACCCAGAAACATCAAAAACCCGAAAAACCACCCCCAAAAATCCAAAAACCCCAAATCACCCCAAAAACACCCCAAAAACCCACCCAGAAACCCCAAAAACATCAAAAACACACCCAGAAACCCCAAAAACATCAAAAATCCACCCAGAAACCCCAGAAACCCAAAATCACCCCAAAAATACCCCAAAAACCCAAAATCACCCCAAATCCCAGCCAGTGCCTACAGCGCCCCCCAGGCCCACGTGGCGCTGGCAGAGAGGTGGGACCCCAAAAACACCCAAAATCACCCCAAAAATACACACAGAAACCTCAAAAACCCTAAAAACCACCCCCAAAAACCCAAACTCACCCCAAATCCCAGCCAGTGCCTACAGCGCCCCCCAGGCCCACGTGGCGCTGGCAGAGAGGTGGGACCCCAAAAACACCCAAAATCACCCCAAAAATCCACCCAGAAACCTCAAAAACCCGAAAAACCACCCCCAAAAACCCAAAATCGCCCCAAATATCATCCAGTGCCTACAGCGCCCCCCAGGCCCACGTGGCGCTGGCAGAGAGGTGGGACCCCAAAAACACCCAAAATCACCCCAAAAATACACACAGAAACCTCAAAAACCCTAAAAACCACCCCCAAAAACCCACCCAGAAACATCAAAAACCCACCCAAAAACCCAAAATCCCAGCCAGTGCCTACAGCGCCCCCCAGGCCCACGTGGCGCTGGCAGAGAGGTGGGACCCCAAAAACACACAAATTCACCCCAAAAATCCACACAGAAACCGCAAAAATACACCCAGAAACATCAAAAACACACCCAGAAACCCCAAAAACATCAAAAACCCACCCAGAAACCCCAAAAACCCACCCAGAAACCCCAAAAACCCAAAATCACCCCAAAAACACACCCAGAAACCCCAAAAACCCCAAAAACCCACCCAGAAACCCCAAAAACCCAAAATCACCCCAAAATCACCCCAAAAACACACCCAGAAACATCAAAAACCCACCCAGAAACCCCAAAAATACCCAAAAATACCCCAAAAACCCACCCAGAAACCCCAAAAACCCAAAATCACCCCAAAAATACCCCAAAAACACACCCAGAAACATCAAAAACCCCAAAATCACCCCAAATCCCCCCCAGTGCCTACAGCGCCCCCCAGGCCCACGTGGCGCTGGCAGAGAGGTGGGACCCCAAAAACCCCTGAAATCACCCCAAAAATATCCCAAAAACACACCCAGAAACATCAAAAACCCAAAATCACCCCAAATTCCAGCCAGTGCCTACAGCGCCCCCCAGGCCCACGTGGCGCTGGCAGAGAGGTGGGACCCCAAAAACCCCTGAAATCACCCCAAAAATCCACCCAGAAACCTCAAAAACACACCCAGAAACATCAAAAACCCAAAATCACCCCAAAATCACCCCAAAAACCCACCCAGAAACCCCAAAAACGTCAAAAACCCACCCAGAAACCCCAAAAACCCAAAATCACCCCAAAAACCCACCCAGAAACATCAAAAACCCACCCAAAAACCCAAAATCCCAGCCAGTGCCTACAGCGCCCCCCAGGCCCACGTGGCGCTGGCAGAGAGGTGGGACCCCAAAAACACACAAATTCACCCCAAAAATCCACACAGAAACCGCAAAAATACACCCAGAAACATCAAAAACACACCCAGAAACCCCAAAAACATCAAAAACCCACCCAGAAACCCCAAAAACCCACCCAGAAACCCCAAAAACCCAAAATCACCCCAAAAACACACCCAGAAACCCCAAAAACCCCAAAAACCCACCCAGAAACCCCAAAAACCCACCCAGAAACCCCAAAAACCCAAAATCACCCCAAAATCACCCCAAAAACACACCCAGAAACATCAAAAACCCACCCAGAAACCCCAAAAATACCCAAAAATACCCCAAAAACCCACCCAGAAACCCCAAAAACCCAAAATCACCCCAAAAATACCCCAAAAACACACCCAGAAACATCAAAAACCCCAAAATCACCCCAAATCCCATCCAGTGCCTACAGCGCCCCCCAGGCCCACGTGGCGCTGGCTGAGAGGTGGGACCCCAAAAACCCCTGAAATCACCCCAAAAATCCACCCAGAAATCTCAAAAATACACCCAGAAACATCAAAAACCCAAATCACCCCAAAAATACCCCAAAAACACACCCAGAAACATCAAAAACACACCCAGAAACCCCAAAAACCTACCCAGAAACATCAAAAACCCAAAATCACCCCAAATCCCAGCCAGGGCCTACAGCGCCCCCCAGGCCCACGTGGCGCTGGCAGAGAGGTGGGACCCCAAAAATATCCAAATTCACCCCAAAAATACCCAAATTCACCCCAAAAATCCACCCAGAAACCGCAAAAACACACCCAGAAACCCCAAAAACCCACCCAGAAACCCCAAAAACCCAAAATCACCCCAAAAATACCCCAAAAACCCACCCAGAAACCCCAAAAACCCACCCAGAAACCCCAAAAATACCCCAAAATACCCCAAAAACCAACCCAGAATCCCCAAAAATACCCAAAAACACCCCAAAAACCCACCCAGAAACCCCCAAAACCCACCCAGAAACCCCAGTAACCCACCCAGAAACCCCAAAAACATCAAAAACCCACCCAGAAACCCCAAAAATACCCAAAAACACCCAAAAACACCCCAAAAACCCACCCAGAAACCCCAAAAAACCCAAAATCACCCCAAAAACACCCCAAAAACCCACCCAGAAACCCCAAAAACATCAAAAACCCACCCAGAAACCCCAAAAATTTACCCAGAAACCTCAAAAATCCACCCAGAAACCCCAGAAACCCAAAATCACCCCAAAAATCCACCCAGAAACCGCAAAAACACACCCAGAAAACCCAAAAACCCAAAATCACCCCAAAAACCCACCCAGAAACATCAAAAACCCCAAAAAACACCCCCAATTTCCCCATTTTCCCCCCAAATCTCCATTTTCCCCCCTATTTTTCCCCGAAATTTCCCCATTTTCCCCCCAAATTCCCGTTTTTTTCCCCAAATTCCCCATTTTCCCCCCAAATTCCCGCCTTTTTCCCGATTTCCTGGTTTTTCCCCCTGAACTCCCCATTTTTCCCAATTTCCCTGTTTTTGCCCCCAAATTCCTGAATTTTTGCTGATTTCCCGGGTTTTCCCCCCAAATTCCCAAATTTTTCCCGATTTCCCCATTTTCCCCCTGAATCCCCGAATTTTTCCCGTTTTTTCCCTGCGAATTCTCGAATTTTTCCCAATTTCCCGGTTTTTCGCCCCGAATTCCCCATTTTCCCTCCAAATTCCCCATTTTTCCCCTGATTTCTTGTTTTTTCCCCCTGAATTCCCGAATTTTTCCCAATTTCCCGGTTTTTCCCCCCAAATTCCCTATTTCCCTGTTTTTCCCCCCAAATTCCCAAATTTTTTCCGTTTTTTACCCTCGGACTCCCACCTTTTTCCCAAATTCCCGTTTTTTTGCCCCAGACTGCGCCGGCGGGACCCCGGCAGCGCTCCGGGCCCATTTTCCCCCCGAATTTTCCCAATTTCCCCGTTTTTCGCCCCGAATTTTCCCAATTTCCCCAGTTCTCGCCCCGAATTTTCCCAATTTCCCCGTTTTTCGCCCCGAATTTTCCCAATTTCCCCGTTTTTCGCCCCGAATTTTCCCTAATTCCCCATTTTTTGCCCCGAATTTTCCCAAATTCCCGGTTTTTCGCCCCAGACTGCGCCGGCGGGACCCCGGCAGCGCTCCGGGCCCATTTTCTCCCTGTATTTTTCCCGAATTTTCCCAAATTCCCCGTTTTTCCCCCCAAACTCCCCATTTTTCCCAATTTCCCCGTTTTTCGCCCCGAATTTTCCCAATTTCCCTGTTTTTTACCCCAGACTGCGGCGGCGGGACCCCGGCAGCGCTCCGGGACCATTTTCCCCCCGAATTTTCCCAAATTCCTCGTTTTTCGCCCCAATTTTTCCCAAATTCCCCGTTTTTCGCCCCAATTTTTCCCAAATTCCCTGTTTTTTGCCCCGAATTTTCCCAATTTCCCCGTTTTTCGCCCCAGACTGCGGCGGCGGGACCCCGGCAGCGCTCCGGGCCCATTTTCCCCCCGAATTTTCCCAAATTCCCGGTTTTTCGCCCCAGACTGCGCCGGCGGGACCCCAGCAGCGCTCCGGGCCCATTTTCTCCCTGTATTTTTCCCTGTTTTTCCCCCCAAATTCCCCATTTTTCCCCCAATTTCCCCGTTTTTCGCCCCGAATTTTCCCAAATTCCCGGTTTTTTGCCCCAGACTGCGGCGGCGGGACCCCGGCAGCGCTCTGGGCACATTTTCCCTCAGAATTTTCCCAATTTCCCCCGTTTTTCCCCCCAAATTCCCGATTTTTTCCCCGTTTTTCCCCCCAAACTCCCCATTTTTCCCAATTTCCCGGTTTTTCCCCCTGAATTTTTCCCAAATTCCCGGTTTTTTACCCCAGACTGCGCCGGCGGGACCCCGGCAGCGCTCCGGGCCCATTTTCTCCCTGTATTTTTCCCAAATTTTCCCAAATTCCCGGTTTTTCACCCCAGACTGCGGCGGCGGGACCCCGGCAGCGCTCCGGGCCCATTTTCCCCCCAAACTCCCCCGAATTTTCCCAAATTCCCCGTTTTTCCCCCGAATTTTCCCAATTTCCCCGTTTTTCTCCCCAAATTTTCCCAATTTCCCCGTTTTTCGCCCCGAATTTTCCCAATTTCCGTGTTTTTCGCCCCGAATTTTCCCAAATTCCCGGTTTTTTGCCCCAGACTGCGCCGGCGGGACCCCGGCAGCGCTCCGGGCCCATTTTTACCCATGAATTTTCCCAAATTCCCCGTTTTTTACCCCAGGCTGCGCCGGCGGGACCATTTTTCCCCCCAAACTCCCCATTTTCCCCCCAAATCCCCGCCTTATTCCCGATTTCCTGGTTTTTCCCCCCAAATTCCCGAATTTTTCCCTGTTTTTCCCCCCAAATTCCCTAATTTTTCCCCGTTTTCCCCCCCAAATTCCCTATTTTTTCCCAAATTCCCCATTTTCCCCCTGAATTCCCCATTTCCCCCCCGAACTCCCTGAATTTTTCCCGCATTCCCTGTTTTTTTCTACCAAAATTCCCTATTTTCCCCATTTTCCCCGAATTTTTCCCTCTTTCCCTCCCGAACTCCCCATTTTTCCCGATTTCCGAGTTTTTCCCCCCCCGAATTCCCGAATTTTTCCCCTTTTCCTCCCCCAAATTTCCCCATTTTCCTCCCAAATTCCCCATTTTACCCCTGAACTCCCAAATTTTCCCAAATTCCCGGTTTTTCTCCCCAGACTGCGCCGGCGGGACCCCGGCAGCGCTCCGGGCCCATTTTTCCCAATTTCCCCGTTTTATTTTCCCAAATTCCCGGTTTTTCGCCCCAGACTGCGGCGGCGGGACCCCGGCAGCGCTCCGGGCCCATTTTTACCCATGAATTTTCCCAAATTCCCGGTTTTTCGCCCCAGACTGCGCTGGCGGGACCCCGGCAGCGCTCCGGGCCCATTTTTCCCAATTTCCCCGTTTTAATTTTCCCAAATTCCCGGTTTTTTGCCCCAGACTGCGGCGGCGGGACCCCGGCAGCGCTCCGGGACCATTTTCCCCCCAAATTCCCCATTTTTCCATGTTTTTCCCCCCCGAACTCCCGATTTTTTCCCTGTTTTTCCCCCCGAACTCCCCATTTTTCCCGAATTTCCCTGTATTTTTCCCAATTTTTCCCAATTTCCCCGTTTTTCACCCCAGACTGCGCCGGCGGGACCCCGGCAGCGCGCCGGGCCTCGGGGATCGCGTCCCGTACGTCATCGTCAGCGGCGCCCGCGGACAGCCCGCCTACGAGAGGTCAGAGGTCAGTCACGGGGTCACCGGGGTCACACGGGGTCACTCAGGGGTCACCGGGGTCACTCACAAAAATTTCACCAAGTTTCACCCCAAAAACCCCTGAATTTCACCCAAATATTCCCAAAAAAAACCCAAATTTCCCCTAAATTTCACCCAAAGTTTATCCCAAACCCTCCCAAATTTTATCCCAAGAAGCCACAAATTTCACCCAAGTTTTATCCCAAATTTTATCCCCAAAAAACCCCAAATTTCACCCAAATTCACCCAAATTTTATCCCTAAAAGCCCCAAATTTCACCCAAATTTTATCCCAAATTTTATCCCAAAAAGCCCAAGTTTTTACCCAAATTCTCCTGAATTTTATCCCAAAACCGCTGAATTTCCCTAAAATTTCACCCAAATTTTATCCCAAATTTTATCCCCAAATTTCACCCAAATTTTGTCCCAAATTTTATCCCAAAAACCCCCAAATTTCATCCAAATTTTATCCCCAAAACCCCCAAATTCCACACAAAGTTTATCCCAAACCCTCCCAAATTTTATCCCAAATAGCCCCAAATTTTATCCCAAAAAGCCCCAAATTTCACCCAAATTTTATCCCATAAAGCCCCAAATTTTATCCCAACAAAACCCCAAATTTCACCCAAATTTTATCCCAAACCCCCCCAAATTTTATCCCAAAAAGCCACAAATTTCACCCAAATTTTATCCCAAAAAGCCCCAAATTCTCCAGAATTTTATCCCAAAAACCCCCAAATTTCCCCCAAATTTCCCAAAATTTTATCTCAAAAACCCCAAATTTCCTCAAATTTTATTTGAAAAAACCCCAAATTTCACCCAAATTTTATCCCAAACCCCCCAAATTTTATCCTAAATTGCCCCAAATTTCACCCAAATATTCCCAATAAAATCCCAAATTTCCCCCAAATTTCCTCAAATTTTACCCCAAAACCCCCCCGAATCCCCCCCGAATTTTCCCCCAACCCCCCCTATCCATTCCCGAATCCGTAATTTTCCCAAATTCCCGTGAATTCACCCCAAACCCCCCGCAGGACCCGGTGTTTGCCCTGGAGCAGAACCTGCCCATCGACACCCGTTACTGCTGAATTTTATCCCCAAACCCCTGAATTTCCCCCAAATTTTATCCCCAAATTTTATCCCAAAAACGCCCAAAATTTCCCTCTAATTTCCCCAAATTTCCCCCAAATTTCCTCACATTTTATCTCAAAAAGCCCCAAATTTCACCCAAATTTTATCCCAAACAGCCCCAAAATTCACCCAAACATTCCCAAAGAAACCACAAATTTTATCCCAATTTTATCCCAAAACCCCCTGAAATTTCCCCCAAATTTCCTCAAGTTTTATCCCAAAACCCCAAATTTTACCCAAATTTCACCCAATTTTTATCCCAAAAAGCCCCAATTTTCCTCAAAATTTTATCCCAAAACCCCGAAAATTTCCCCCAAATTTCCTCAAATTTTATCGAAAAACCCCTGAATTTCCACAAAATTTCTCCAAAAAAACTCCCAAATTTCACCAAAATTTCCTCAAATTTCATCCAAAAAAACCCAAATTTCCTCAAATTTTCTCTGAAAAACCCCAAATTTTCTCAATTTTTATCCGAAAACCCCAAAAATTCCTCAAATTTTATCAGAAAAAACCACAAATTCCACCAAAATTTCCTCAAATTTTATCCAAAAAAACCCTTAATTTCCTTAAATTTTACCCCAAAAACCCCCCGAATTTTCCCCCAGCCCCCCCATCCATGCCCCCATCCCTTCCCCAATTTGTAATTTTCCCAAAATCCCGTGAATTCACCCCAAATCCCGTTGCAGGACCCGGTGTTTGCCCTGGAGCAGAACCTGCCCATCGACACCCGTTACTACCTGGAGCAGCAGCTGAGCCGCCCCCTGCTGCGCATCTTCGAGCCCATCCTGGGCGAGGGCCGCGCCCAGGCCGTGCTGCTGCGTGAGTCAAAATTCCCAAATTCCCGAAATTCCCAAAATTCCCGAAAATTCCCAAAAAACCGCATCCAAATCGGAGCAAAAACGGCGAAATTACAGCGAAAATTCACCCAAAATTCAGCCAAAATTCACCCAAATCAGCGTCTTCGAGCCCATCCTGGGCGAGGGCCGCGCCCAGGCCGTGCTGCTCCGTGAGTTAATTCCCAAAAATTCCCGAAATTCCCAAAATTCCCAAAAATTCCCAAAAAACCGCATCCAAATCGGAGCAAAAATGGCGAAATTAGAGCAAAAAACGAGTGAAATTTGACCAAATTAACCCAAATCAGCGTTTTTGGGCGAGGGCCGCGCCCAGGCCGTGCTGCTCCGTGAGTGGATTCCCGAAATTCCCGAAATTCCCAAAAATTCCCAAAAAACCGCGTCCAAATCGGAGCAAAAATGGCGAAATTAGAGCGAAAAACGAGTGAAATTTGACCAAATTAACCCCAAATCAGCATCTTCGAGCCCATCCTGGGCGAGGGCCGCGCCCAGGCCGTGCTGCTCCGTGCGTGAGAATTCCCAAATTCCCGAAATTCCCGAAATTCCCGAAAATTCCCAAAAAACCGCATCGAAATCGGAGCAAAAATGGCCAAAATAGACCCAAAAATGAGTGAAATTCGCCCAAAATCGAACAAATTTCACCCAAAAAAAGCAACTCCAAGGCCAGGCCGTGCTCCTGCATGAGTCAGAATTCTCAAATTCCCAAAATTCCCAAAAATTCCAAAAATTCCCAAAAAACCGCGTCCAAATCGGAGCAAAAACGGCGAAAATAGAGCAAAAATTCACCCAAATTCACTCAAAATTGAACGAAATCCACCCAAAAAAAGCAGCTCCAAGGCCAGACCGTGCTCCTGCATGAGTGGATTCCTGAAAATTCCCAAAATTTCCCGGAATTCCCAAAAATTCCCAAAAAAACCCCAAAAATTCCCAAAAAACCGCATCGAAATCGGAGCAAAAATGGCGAAATTACAGCGAAAAATGACCGAAATTCACCCAAAATGCGCATCTTCGAGGCCATGCTGTGCCCAGGCCGTGCTGCTACGTGAGTGAATTTCCAAAAATTCCCAAAATTCCCGAAATTTCCCAAAATTCCCGAAATTTCCCAAAAATTTCCAAAAAACCGCATCCAAATCGGAGCAAAAATGGCGAAATTACAGCGAAAAACGAGTGAAATTTGCCCAAAATTCACCCAAATCAGCGTCTTCGAGCCCATCCTGGGCGAGGGCCGCGCCCAGGCCGTGCTGCTGCGTGAGTGAGAATTCCCAAAAAATCCCGAAATTCCCAAAATTCCCAAAAAACCGCATCCAAATCGGAGCAAAAATGGCCAAAATAGAGCAAAAAATGACCGAAATTCACCCAAAAAAAGCAGCTCCGAGGCCATGATGCACCCAGGCTGTGCTGCTGCATGAGTGAATTCCCGAAAATTCCCGAAATTCCTGAAAATTCCCGAAAATTTCCAAAAAACCCCAAAAATTCCCAAAAAACCGCGTCCAAATCGGAGCAAAAACGGCGAAAATAGAGCGAAAATTCACCCAAAATTCAGCCAAAATTCACCCAAATCAGCATCTTCGAGCCCATCCTGGGCGAGGGCCGCGCCCAGGCCGTGCTGCTCCGTGAGTTAATTCCCAAAAATTCCCAAAATTCCCGAAATTCCCAAAAATTCCCAAAAAACCGCATCGAAATCGGAGCAAAAACGGCCAAAATAGAGCCAAAAATGAGTGAAATTCACTCAAAAAAAGCAGCTCCGAGGCCATGTGGAGCCCAGGCCGTGCTCCTCCGTGAGTGAATTCCCGAAAAATCCCGAAATTCCCAAAATTTCCCGAAAATTCCCAAAAAACCCCGTCCAAATCGGAGCAAAAATGGTGAAATTAGAGCGAAAATTCACCCAAATTCACCCAAAATTCACCCAAATCAGCGTCTTCGAGCCCATCCTGGGCGAGGGCCGCGCCCAGGCCGTGCTGCTCCGTGAGTGAATTCCCGAAAATTCCCGAAATTCCAAAAATTCCCAAAAATTCCCAAAAAATCACATCGAAATCGGAGCAAAAATGGCGAAATTAGAGCCAAAAATGAGTGAAATTTGACCAAATTAACCCCAAATCAGCATCTTCGAGCCCATCCTGGGCGAGGGCCGCGCCCAGGCCGTGCTGCTCCGTGAGTCAGAATTCCCAAATTCCCGAAATTCCCGAAATTCCCAAAAATTCCCAAAAAACCCCGTCCAAATCGGAGCAAAAACGGCGAAATTAGAGCAAAAAATGAGTGAAATTCACCCAAAATCGAACGAAATTCACCCAAAAAAAGCAGCTCCAAGGCCAGGCCGTGCTCCTCCGTGACTGAATTCCCGAAATTTCCCGAAATTCCCGAAATTTTTCAAAAAAACCCCAAAATTCCCAAAAAACCCCGTCCAAATCGGAGCAAAAACGGCGAAAATAGAGCCAAAAATGAGTGAAATTTGCCCAAAATCGAACTAAATTCACCCAAAGAAAGCAGCTCCGAGGCCAGGCCGTGCTCCTCTGTGAGTGAGAATTCCCAAATTCCCGGAATTCCCAAAAATTCCCAAAAATTCCGAAAAAACCCCAAAAATTCCCAAAAAACCCCATCGAAATCAGAGCAAAAACGGCGAAATTAGAGCAAAAAACGAGTGAAATTTGACCAAATTAACCCCAAATCAGTATCTTCGAGCCCATCCTGGGCGAGGGCCGCGCCCAGGCCGTGCTCCTCCGTGAGTCAGAATTCCCAAATTCCCGAAATTCCCAAAAATTCCCGAAATTCCCAAAAAACCCCGTCCAAATCGGAGCAAAAACGGCGAAAATAGAGCGAAAAATGAGTGAAATTCACTCAAAAAAAGCAGCTCCGAGGCCATGTGGAGCCCAGGCCATGCTCCTCCGTGAGTGAGAATTCCCAAATTCCCGAAATTCCCAAAAATTCCCAAAAATTCCGAAAAAAACCCAAAAATTCCCAAAAAACCGCATTGAAATCGGAGCAAAAATGGCGAAATTAGAGCGAAAATTCAGCCAAATTCACCCAAAATTCATCCAAATCAGCGTCTTTGGGCGAGGGCCGCGCCCAGGCCGTGCTCCTGCGTGAGTGAATTCCCGAAAATTCCCAAAATTCCCGCAAATTTCCAAAAATTCCCAAAATTCCCGAAAATTCCCAAAAAACCCCGTCCAAATCGGAGCAAAAACGGCGAAATTAGAGCCAAAAATGGGCTGAAATCACCCAAAATCGAACTAAATTCACCCAAAAGGAGCAGCTCCAAGGCCAGGCCGTGCTCCTGCATGAGTGAATTCCCGAAAATTCCTGAAATTCCCAAAATTCCCAAAAATTCCCAAAAAACCGCATCGAAATTGGAGCAAAAATGGCGAAATTAGAGCGAAAAATGGGTGAAATTCGCCCAAATTAACCCCAAATCAGCATCTTCGAGCCCATCCTAGGCGAGGGCCGCGCCCAGGCCGTGCTGCTCCGTGCGTGAGAATTCCCAAATTCCCGAAATTCCCGAAATTCCCAAAAATTCCCAAAAAACCGCATCCAAATCGGAGCAAAAATGGCCAAAATAGAGCAAAAAATGACCGAAATTCACCCAAAAAAAGCAGCTCCGAGGCCATGATGCACCCAGGCCGAGCTGCTGCATGAGTGAATTCCCGAAAATTCCCGAAATTCCTGAAAATTCCCGAAAATTTCCAAAAAACCCCAAAAATTCCCAAAAAAACGCGTCCAAATCGGAGCAAAAACGGCCAAAATAGAGCCAAAAACAAGTGAAATTCCACCCAAATTCACCCAAAATGAGCAGCTCCGAGGCCATGCCGCACTGCTGCATGAGTGAGAATTCCCAAAATCCCGAAATTCCCAAAAATTCCCAAAATTCCCGAAATTTCCCAAAAATTCCCAAAAAACCGCATCGAAATTGGAGCAAAAATGGCGAAATTAGAGCCAAAAATGAGTGAAATTCACCCAAAATTCACTCAAAATCAGCATCTTCGAGCCCATCCTGGTCGAGGGCCGCGCCCAGGCCGTGCTCCTGCGTGAGTGGATTCCCGAAAATTCCCAAAATTCCCAAAATTCCCAAAAATTCCCAAAAAACCCCGTCCAAATCGGAGCAAAAATGGCGAAATTAGAGCGAAAATTCACCAAAATTCACTCAAATTCACCCAAAAGGAGCAGCTCCGAGGACAGGCCGTGCTCCTGCATGAGTGAGAATTCCCAAATTCCCGAAATTCCCAAAAATTCCCAAAATTCCCAAAAAACCCCAAAAATTCCCAAAAAACCGCATCGAAATCGGAGCAAAAATGGCGAAAATAGAGCGAAAAATGAGTGAAATTCACCCAAAATGAGCATCTTCGAGCCCATCCTGGTCGAGGGCCGCGCCCAGGCCGTGCTCCTGTGTGAGTCAGAATTCCCAAATTCCCGAAATTCCTGAAATTCCCAAAAATTCCCAAAAAACCCCGTCCAAATCCGAGCAAAAACGGCGAAATTACAGCAAAAAATGAGTGAAATTCGCCCAAAATCGAACGAAATTCACCCAAATCAGCATCTTCGAGCCCATCCTGGGCGAGGGCCGCGCCCAGGCCGTGCTCCTCCGTGAGTGAATTCCCGAAAATTCCCAAAATTCCCGAAATTCCCGAAAATTCCCAAAAAACTCCGTCCAAATCAGAGCAAAAACGGCGAAAATAGAGCGAAAAATGAGTGAAATTTGCCCAAATTCCAACGAAATTCACCCAAAAAAAGCAGCTCCGAGCCCAGGCCGTGCTCCTGCGTGAGTGAATTCCCGAAAATTCCCGAAATTCCCCAAAAAATCCCAAAATTCCCAAAAAACCCAAAAATTCCCAAAAAACCCCATCCAAATCGGAGCAAAAATGGCAAAATTAGAGCCAAAAATGGGCTGAAATCACCCAAAATTCACCAAAAATTCGCCCAAAATTCACCCCAAATTTGCCCAAAATTCACCCAAAATTCGCCCAAAATTCACCCAAAATTCACCCAAAAATCACCGAAAATTCACCCAAAATTCGCCCAAAATTCACCCAAAATTCACTGCAAGACCCTCGAATTTGGGGGAATTTTGGGATGGATTTTGGGGAAATTTTGGGGGGATTTTGGGGGAATTTTGGGGTTTTTGGGTTCGCATCAACTCCAGGATTTTGGGGGTGTTTTTGGGAGTTTTTTTGGGGTAATTTTTGGGGATTTTGGGTCTCCCTAACCCCAAATTTCTCCCACAGAAGGGGAACACACGCGGTGTAAGACCCTCGAGTTTGGGATGGATTTTGGGTGTTCTGGGATGGATTTTGGGGGGAATTTTGGGGTTTTTTGGGTTTACATCAATTTCAGGATTTTTGGGGGATTTTTGGGGTAATTTTTGTGGATTTTGGGGCTCCCTAACCCCAAAATTCCCCCCCAGATTTGGAGCAGACACGGTGCAAGACCCTCGAGTTTGGGATGGATTTTGGGTGTTCTGGGATGGATTTTGGGGGGAATTTCGGGGTTTTTGGGGCTCCCTGAGACCCCGGGATTTTTGGGGCAATTTTTGGGGTAATTTTTGGGGATTTTGGGGCTCCCTAACCCCAAATTTCTCCCACAGAAGGGGAACACACGCGCTGCAAGACCCTCGAGTTTGGGATGGATTTTGGGCGTTCTGGGATGGATTTTGGGGGGAATTTTGGGGTTTTTGGGTTTGCATCAACTCCAGGAGTTTTGGTTTTTTTTGGGGGTTTTTTTGGGGTAATTTTTGTGGATTTTGGGTCTCCCTAACCCCAAATTTCTCTCACAGAAGGGGAACACACGCGCTGCAAAACCCTCGAATTTGGGATGGATTTTGGGTGTTCTGGGATGGATTTTGGGGGGAATTTCGGGGTTTTTGGGTTTGCATCAACTCCAGGATTTTTGGGGGATTTTTTGGGGGTTTTTTTGGGGTAATTTTTGGGGATTTTGGGGCTCCCTAACCCCAAATTTTTCCCACAGAGGGGGAACACACGCGCTGCAAAACCCTCGAATTTGGGATGGATTTTGGGTGTTCTGGGATGGATTTTTGGGGAAATTTTGGGGTTTTTTGGGTTTGCAGCAACTCCACGATTTTTGAGGTAATTTTTGGGGTAATTTTTGGGGATTTTGGGGCTCCCTGACCCCAAATTTCTCCCACAGAGGGGGAACACACGCGCTGCAAGACCCTCGAGTTTGGGATGGATTTTGGGTGTTCTGGGATGGATTTTGGGGCGAATTTTGGGGTTTTTGGGTCTGCATCAACTCCAGGATTTTTGGGGTTTTTTTGGGGGTTTTTTTGGGGTAATTTTTGGGGATTTTGGGGCTCCCTAACCCCAAATTTCTCTCACAGAGGGGGAACACACGCGCTGCAAGACCCTCGAGTTTGGGGAGATTTTGGGATGGATTTTTGGGGAATTTTGGGGGAATTTTGGGGTTTTTGGGGATTTCAGTGACCTCAGGATTTTTGGGGGATTTTTGGGGCGGTTTTTGGGGTAATTTTTGGGGATTTTGGGGCTCCCTGACCCCGAATTTCCCCCCCAGAGTTGGAGCAGACGCGCTGCAAGACCCTCGAGTTTGGGATGGATTTTGGGGGAATTTCTGCGGAATTTCGGGGTTTTTGGGGCTCCCTGAGACCCCGGGATTTTTGGGGTGATTTTTGGGGTAATTTTTGGGGATTTTGGGGCTTTCTGAACCCGATTTTTCCCCACAGAGGGGGAACACACACGGTGTAAGACCCTCGAGTTTGGGATGGATTTTGGGTGTTCTGGGATGGATTTTGGGGGGAATTTCGGGGGAATTTTGGGGTTTTTTGGGTTTACATCAATTTCAGGATTTTTGGGGATTTTTTTTGAGTTTTTTTGGGGTAATTTTTGGGGATTTTGGGGCTCCCTAACCCCAATTTTTCCCCACAGAGGGGGAACACACGCGCTGTAAGACCCTCGAGTTTGGGATGGATTTTGGGTGTTCTGGGATGGATTTTGGGGGGAATTTTGGGGTTTTTGGGGCTCCTGAGACCCCGAAATTTTTGGGGTAATTTTTGGGGTAATTTTTGGTTATTTTGGGTCTCTCTAACCCCAAATTTCTCTCACAGAAGGGGAACACACTCGGTGTAAAACTCTCCTGACCGCCCGTTCCGGGGCACTCTCGGCCTTCACCTCCAAACGCAGCAGCTGCATCGGCTGCAGGGCCCTGCTGCCCCACCACGGTGAGACCTTAATTAATTAACCCCCGCGCTAATTAGCCCCTAATTAATCACCTCTGGGTGGAATTTACCCGGTTTTAGCAAAAAAAACGGGTCCAAAACGGTCAAAATCCGCAAAATTTGACCTCAAAAATGGGATCCTCCTAATTGAAACACCCTCCCCAACTTAATCATCCCAATGCTTACCTTAATTAATGAGCCCTGCCCTAATTAACTCCTAATTAGTCACCTCTGCGTGGAATTGACTCGGTTTTACAAAAAAAACGGGTCCGAAACGGCCCAAAATCCCCAAAATTTGACATTAAAAATGGGATCCTCGTAATTAAAACCCCCTCCCCAACTTAATTACCCCAATGCTGGCCCTAATTAATGAGCCCTGCCCTAATTAATGAGCCCTGCCCTAATTAATCACCTCTGGGTGGAATTCACCCGGTTTTGCCAAAAAAAACGGGTCCGAAATGGCCAAAATACGCAAAATTTGACGTTAAAAATGGGATCCTCGTAATTAAAACACCCTCCCCAAATTAATCATCCCAATGCTTACCTTAATTAATGAGCCATGCCCTAATTAACCCCTAATTAATCACTTCTGGGTGGAATTTACCCGGTTTTGCCAAAAAAAACGGGTCCAGAAAGGCCAAAATACGCAAAATTTAAGGTTAAAAATGGGATCCTCGTAATTAAAACCTCCTCCGCAACTTAATAACCCCAATGCTTACCTTAATTAATGAGCCCTGCCCTAATTAACTCCCAATTAATCACCTATGTGTGGAATTGACACGGTTTTACCAAAAAAAACGGGTCCAAAACGGTCAAAATACGCAAAATTTGACGTTAAAAATGGGATCCTGGTAATTAAAACCCCCTCCCCAAATTAATAACCTGAATGCTGGCCTTAATTAATGAGCCATGCCCTAATTAAAGAGCCCTGCCCTAATTAACCGCTAATTAATCACCTCTGGGTGGAATTGACCCGGTTTTACCAAAAAAAAGGTTCAAAAATGGCCAAAATCCCCGAAATTTGACCTCAAAAATGGGATCCTCGTAATTAAAACCCCTCCGCAACTTAATCACCCCAATGCCTGCCCTAATTAATGAGCCATGCTCTAATTAAAGAGCCCTGCCCTAATTAACCCCTAATTAGTCACCTCTGGGTCGAATTCACCCGGTTTTACCAAAAAAAAACGGGTCCGAAAAGGCCAAAATCCCCAATATTTGACATTAAAAATGGGATCCTCGTAATTAAAACCCCCTCCCCAAATTAATCACCCCAATGCCGGCCCTAATTAATGAGCCATGCCCTAATTAATGAGCCCTGCCCTAATTAACTCCTAATTAATCACCTCTGGGTGGAATTCACCCGGTTTTACCAAAAAAAAAGGTTCAAAAATGGCCAAAATCCCCAAAATTTGACGTTAAAAATGGGATCCTCGTAATTAAAACCCCATCCGTAACTTAATCACCCCATTGCTTACCTTAATTAATGAGCCATGCCCTAATTAATGAGCCCTGCCCTAATTAATCACCTCTGGGTGGAATTCACCCAGTTTTGTCAAAAAAAAGGGTTCAAAAATGGCCAAAATCCCCAAAATTTGATGTTAAAAAAGGGATCCTCGTAATTAAAACCCCCTCCCCAAATTAATCACCCCAATGGCGGCCCTAATTAATGAGCCCTGCCCTAATTAACTCCTAATTAATCACCTCTGGGTGGAATTCACCCGGTTTTGCCAAAAAAAATGGGTCCGAAACGGCCAAAATCCGTAAAATTTGATGTTAAAAATGGGATCCTGGTAATTAAAGCCCCCTCCCCAAATTAATAACCTGAATGCCTGCCCTAATTAATGAGCCCTGCCCTAATTAAGGAGCCCTGCCCTAATTAATCACTTCTGGGTGGAATTCACCCGGTTTTACCAAAAAAAAACGGTTCAAAAATGGCCAAAATTCCCCAAAATTTGACGTTAAAAATGGGATCCTGGTAATTAAAGCCCCGTCCCCAAATTAACATAAAATTATAATTAAAACCGTCATTAATTAATTAATCCTCCCCCAATTGAACCCTCCCTGCCCAAAATTGGGGGTCCCGGAGCCCCAAATTGACCCAAATTTGCCCCAAAATCCGCAGGTGCAGTTTGCGATTTCTGCCGCCAGAGGGAGTCCGAGCTCTACCAGAAAGAGGTGGGGGCGGATTTGGGGTTAAAATTTGGGGTTTTGGGGTTAAAATTTGGGGGTTGGGGTCACAATTTTGGGTTTTGGGGTCACAAATTTGGGATTTTGGGGTCACAAATTTGGGATTTTGGGATTTGGGGTCCTGAATTTGGGGTTTGGGGCCAAAATTTGGGATTTTTGGTCACAAATTTGGGATTTGGGGATTTGGGTGAAAATTTGGGGTTTTGGGGCCAAAATTTGGGGGTTTGGGGCCAAAATTTGGGGGTTTTGGGGTCACAGATTTGGGATTTTAGATCACAAATTTGGGATTCCGAATTTGGGGGTTGGGGTCACAATTTTGGGGCTTTGGGGTCACAATTTTGGGATATTTTAGGATATTTTGGGGTTATTATGGGATGTTTCAGGTGAGCCAGGTGTGGCACCTGGAGCGCAGCTTCTCCCGCCTCTGGAGTCAGTGCCAGCGGTGCCAGAGCTCCCTGCTGCAGGACGTGCTCTGCTCCAGGTACGGCACACCTGGGCACACCTGGGCACACCTGGGGGCACCTGGGGGCACCCAAACACACCTGGGGGCACTAAAAACACACCTGGCACACCTGGGGGCACTAAAAACACACCTGGGCACACCTGTGTCACCTGTGTCACCTGTCTGTGTCACCTGTCTGTGTCACTTGTGTCACCTGTGTCACCTGTCTGTGTCACCTGGGCACAGCTGGGGGCACCTGGGCACACCTGGGCACAGCTGGGCACACTAAAAACACACCTGGGTGTGTCTGTGATACACCTGGGCACAGCTGTGTCACCTGTCTGTGTCACCTGGGCACAGCTGGGCACACCTGGGGGCACTAAAAACACACCTGGGCACACCTGGGATATACCTGGGCACAGCTGGGCACACCTGGGGGCACTAAAAACACACCTGGGGCACTAAAAACACACCTGGGCACACCTGGGCACACCTGTGTCACCTGTCTGTGTCACCTGGGCACACCTGGGGGCACCTGGGCACACCTGGGGGCACCTGTGTCACCTGTCTGTGTCACCTGGGCACACCTGGGCACAGCTGGGCAAACTAAAAACACACCTGGGCACACCTGGGGCACAGCTGTGTCACCTGTCTGTGTCACCTGGGCACAGCTGGGACACACCTGGGGGCACCTGGGCACACCTGGGGCACCTGTCTGTGTCACCTGGGCACAGCTGGGCACACCCAAACACACCTGGGGGCACCTGGGCACACTAAAAACACACCTGGGCACACCTGGGCACACCTGGGCACAGCTGGGCACAGCTGGGCACAGCCCCCAAAAAACTCCCAAACCCCCAAAAACCCCCCAAATCCCCCCAAATGCCCCCAAACCCCCCCAATCCCAAAAACCCCCCAAATACCCCCAATCCTAAAAAAACCAAAAAACCCAAAATGTCCCAAAACCCCCCAAAAACCCCCAAACACCCCCAAATCCCGAAATGCCCCATAAACCCTCAAAAAACCCCAAACTCCCCCAAATCCCCCAAATCCCAAAACCCCCAAAATCCCTCAAATCCTAAAAAACCAAAAAAACCCAAAATGTCCCAAAACCCCCAAAAACCCCAAAATCCCCCAAATTTCCCCCATTCCCAGCCGGGACTGCCCCATTTTCTACATGCGGCGGAAGGTGCAGAAGGACCTCGAGGCTCAACTGGAGCTGCTCCGGCGCTTCGGGACCCCCCAATGGTGACCCCAAAATCCCCAAAATTCACCCCAAAATCTGCCCCAAACCCGCCCCGAAAATTACCCCGAAAACGGCCCCAAAATGGCCCAAAAAACCCCAAAAAATTGGGATTTTCGGGGCTGTTACGGTGGTTTTGTATCGGATTTAATAAAAGGTTTTAGTGGTTCTTTTTGGGGTTTTTGGGGGGATTTGGGGGGATTTGGGTTTTTTTGGGGTTTTGGGGTTTTGGAGTTTTGGGGGATTTTGGGGTATTTCAGGACTGGGGGGGATTTTGGGGGATTTTGGGGTTTTTTGGGGGTTTGGGGGTTTATTTGGCATTTTTTGGGGGGGATTTTGGGACATTTGGGGATTTGGGGATTTGGGGATTTGGGTTTTTTGGGAGGTTTTGGGGTTTTTGGGGTTTTTTGGGGTGGTTTTTTAGGGGGAATTTTTGGGGATTCGGGGGATTTTGGGAGATTTGGGACATTGGGGTTTTTTGGGGGATTTTGGGAGATATTGGGGGATTTTGGGGATTTGGGGGTTTTTGGGGTTTTTGAGGGGGTTTGGGGTTTTTTGGGGTCTTTTGGGTTTTTTTCAGGGGGGGTTGGGGTTTTTTTTCGGGGGAGATTTTTGGGGATTTGGGGGATTTTGGGACATTTTGGAATTGGGGGATTTGGGGGATTTTGGGGGATATTGGGGGATTTTGGGGTTTTTAGGATTTTTTGGGGGGGATTTGGGGTTTTTGGGGTTTTTTGGGGGTTTTTGGGTTTTTGGGGGGTTTTGGGTTTTTTTCGGGGGAGGTTTGGGGGGATTTTTGGGCGGGCAATTTTTGGGGTTTTGGGGGATTTTGGGGTATTTGGGGGATTTTGAAACATTTGGGGGTTTTGGGGTTTTTTTGGGGGAGGTTTGGGGGATTTTTTGGGGGGGATTTTTGGGGTTTTGGGGATTTTGGGACATTTGGGGGATTTGGGGGATTTTGGGACATTTTGGGACATTTTGGAATTGGGGGATTTGGGGGATTTGGGGTTTTTTGGGGTTTTTTGGGGGTTTTGGGGTTTTTGGGGGGTTTGGGGGTTTTGCGGGTTTTTTTGGGGGAGGTTTTAGGGGGAATTTTTGGGGATTTGGGGGATTTTGGGACATTTGGGGGGTTTGGGTTTTTTGGGAGATTTTGGGACATTTGTGGATTTTGGGGATTTTGGGACATTTGGGGATTTTGGGGGTTTTGGGACATTTGGGGTTTTTGGGGGGGTTTTGGGGTTTTAGGGGGTTTTTGGAGTTTTGGGGTTTTTGGGGGGTTTTGGGGTTTTTTTTGGGGGGGATTTTTGGGGTTTTGGGGGATTTTGAAATATTTCAGGACTGGAGGGATTTGGGGGATTTTGGGACATTTTGGGACATTTGGGGATTTGGGGGGTTTTAGGGTTTGGGGGGTTTTGGGGATTTTTGGAAGATTTGGGGATTTTTTGGGGGTTTTTGGGGATTTTTTGGCGTTTTAAGGAGGAATTTGCCACGATCGCTCCGTCCGCTAGGCGGCGCTGCGCTGTGGGCGTGGCTTGCTGATTGACACCTCTCTCACCCAATCACCGCGCAGCACCGCCCCTCCGCACCGCCTCGTGGGCGTGGCTTCCCTTCCACCCCATGACTGACAACCCTCCCACCCAATCAGCGCTGCGGGGGGTGGGTTTAGCCTGATGGACGTGGGCTCTGTCCAATCATAACGCGTCGAGCGGGAAGCGGCGGCCAATGAGGAGCCGCGCGGGGGGCCGGCGGAGGCCCCGCCCCCGCTATAAAAGGCCGGGGCGGTGAGGGCCGCTGCTGGCGCTCACAAGATGGCGGAGGCGGCCAATTGCACCATGGAGGTGAGAGCGGCGGTAACGGCGCGGGAACCGCCGGTACCGGGCAGGAACCGCCGGGCCTGAGGGAAAAGTGGGCCCGGGGAGGCGGGAAACGGCCCCGGGAGCGGCGGGGGAGGCGCGGGGAGGGCGCTGAGGGGACCTCGTGGATTGGGGGGGGGGCTCTGAGGGATGGGGGGCGGCTCTGAGGGGCCCTCAGGGGCTCTGAGGGGGCTGAGGGGTTCCTAATGAGGGTTTGGGGTTTTTAATGAGGGTTTGAGGTTTTTTATGAAATTTTTGGGTTTTTAATGAAATTTTGGGGGTTTTTAATGAAATTTTGGGCTTCTGAGGGGCTCTGAGGGATGGGGGGGGCGCTGAGGGGCTCTGAGGGGCCCTCAGGGCTCTGAGGGGCTCTGAGGGATGAGAGGAGCTCTGAGGGGGCTGAGGGGTTTTTAATGAGGTTTTGAGTTTTTTAATGAAATTTTGGGGTTTTTAATGAAATTTTGGGGGTTTTTAGTTAAATTTTGGGGGTTTTTAATGAAATTTTCAGGCTCTGAGGGATGGGGGGCGGCTCTGAGGGGCCCTCAGGGATGGGGGGGGGCGCTGAGGGGCTCTGAGGGCGCTGAGGGGTTTTTAGTGAGGTTTTGAGGGTTTTTTATGAAATTTTGGGGTTTTTAATGAAATTCTGGGGTTTTTAATGAAATTTTGGGGCTCTGAGGGATGGGGGGCGGCTCTGAGGGGCCCTCAGGGCTCTGAGGGGCTCTGAGGGATGAGGGGGACTCTGAGGGGGCTGAGGGGTTTTTAATGAGGTTTTGGGGTTTTTTTATGAAATTTTTGGGTTTTTAATGAAATTTTGGGGCATTTTAATGAAATTTTGGGGGTTTTTAGTGAATATTTGGGGCTCTGAGGGGCCCTCAGGGCTCTGAGGGACTCTGAGGGATGAGAGGAGCTCTGAGGGGGCTGAGGGGTTCCTAATGAGGTTTTGGGGTTTTTAATGAGATTTTGAATTTTTTTATGAAATTTTGGGGTTTTTTAATGAAATTTTGGGGGTTTTTAATGAAATTTTGGGGTTCTGAGGGACCCTCAGGGATGGGGGGGGGGGCGCTGAGGGGCTCTGAGGGGCCCTGAGGGGCTCTGAGGGGGCTGAGGGATGAGGGGGACTCTGAGGGGCCTGAGGGGTTTTTAATGAGGTTTTGAGGTTTTTTATGAAATTTTGGGGTTTTTTATGAAATTTTGGGGGTTTTTAATGAGATTTTGGGGCTCTGAGGGATTTGGGGCGGCTCTGAGGGGCTCTGAGAGGCTTTGAGGGGCTCTGAGGGATGAGGGGGACTCTGAGGGGTTTTTAGTGAGGTTTTGAGGTTTTTATAAAATTTTGGGGGTTTTAGTTAAATTTTGGGGGTTTTTAATGAAATTTTGGGGCTCTGAGGGACCCTCAGGGATGGCGGGGGGGGCGCTGAGGGGCTCTGAGGGGGCTGAGGGGTTTTCAATGAGGTTTTGAGGTTTTTTATGAAATTTTGGGGTTTTTAATGAAATTTTGGGGGTTTTAATGAAATTTTGGGGTTTTTAATGAAATTTTGGGGGTTTTTAATGAAATTTTGGGGCTCTGAGGGATGGGGGGCGGCTCTGAGGGGCCCTCAGGGGCTCTGAGGGATGAGGGGGGCTCTGAGGGGGCTGAGGGGTTTTTAATGAGGTTTTGAGGTTTTTTATGAAATTTTGGGGTTTTTAATGAATTTTTGGGGGTTTTAAATGAAATTTTGGGGGTTTTAATGAAATTTTGGGGGTTTTTAATGAAAATTTGGGGGTTTTTAATGAAAATTTGGGGCTCTGAGGGATGAGGGGCGGCTCTGAGGGCCCCTGAGGGGCTCTGAGGGGGCTGAGGGGTTTTTAATGAGGTTTTGAGGGGTTTAATGAAATTTTGGGGTTTTTAATGAAATTTTGGGGCTCTGAGAGGTTTTTAATGAGGTTTTGAGGTTTTTTATGAATTTTGGGGTTTTTTAAATGAAATTTTGGGGCTCTGAGGGGCTCTGAGGGGTCTGAGGGGTTTTAATGAGGTTTTGAGGTTTTTTTATGAATTTTTGGGGTTTTTCATGAAATTTTGGGGCTCTGAGGGGGGCTCTGAGGGGGCTGAGGGTTTTTAATGAGGATTTGGGGGTTTTATGAAATTTTGGGGTTTTTAATGAGGTTTTAGGGTTTTTAATGAAATTTTAGGGGATTTTAGTGAGATTTTTGGGGGTTTTATTGAGATTTTGGTGTTTTAATGAAATTTTGGGGGGTTTTAATGAGGTTTGGGGGCTTTAATGAGGATTTGGGGTCTGTAGTGCGGGTTTGGGGATTTTTATGGAATTTTGGGGGACTTTAAAGACGTTTTGGGGTTTTTAATGAGGGTTTGGGTTTTTAGTGAGATTTTGGGGTTTTTTAGTGAAATTCTGGGGTTTTTAGTGAGGGTTTGGGGTTTTTAATGAAATTTTGGGGGTTTTAATGAGGGTTTGTGGGGTTTAATTAAATTTTGGGGTTTTTAGTGAAATTCTGTGGTTTTTTTGTGAGATTTGGGGGGTTTATTGAAATTTTGGGTGTTTTAGTGAGGGTTTGAGGGTTTTAATGAAATTTTGGTGTTTTTTAATGAAATTCTGGGGGTTTTGTGAGGGTTTGGGGGGTTTTGTGAGAGTTTGGGGTTTTTTAATGAAACTTTATGAAATTTTGGGGGTTTTAGTGAGGATTTGGGGTTTTTAGTGAAATTTTGGGGTTTGTCACGAAATTTTGGGGAATTTTAATGAAATTTTGGGGGATTTTAATGAGGATTTAGGGTTTTTATGAGATTTTGGGGTTTTAAGTGAGATTTTGTGGTTTTTAGTGAAATTTTGGGATTTTTTTTAATGGAATTTTGGGTCTGGGACCCACAAAATCATCAGGGACCCCAAAATTTTGGGTCTGGGACCCCCCCAGATCTTCAGGGACCCCAAAATTTTGGGTCAGAGACCTCAGATTTTTGGGTCTGGACCCCCCAAATCATCAGGGACCCCAAAATTTTGGGTCTGGATCCCCCAAATCTTCTCTGCCCCCCAAAATTTGGGTTTTCAGCCCCCCCAAATCCTCAAAGTCCCCCCAAATTTTGGTCCTGACCCCCCTAAACCGCCAAAATTTGGGGTCTGGACCCCCCTAAATCCCCTCTGCCCCCCAAAATTGGGGTCGTGACCCCCCCCACACACAATTTAGGGTCCCCCAACCCCAATTTTGAGGACCCCAACCCCATTTTAGGGACCCCCAGTCCCATTTTTGGGGTCCCCCACCCCATTTTTGGCCTCAAAACCCCAATTTTGGGCTCCCAAACCCAATTTTTGGCCTCAAAACCCCAATTTTGGGGTCCCCCATCCAATTTTTAGGGATCCCACCCCATTTTTAGGCTCCCCCAGCCCCAATTTTAGGGTCCCGAACCCCATTTTTGGCCTCAAAACCCCATTTTAGGATTCCCCCATCCAATTTTTGGGGTCCCCCACCCCATTTTTGGGGTCCCTCACCCCATTTTTCACCTCAAAACCCCAATTTTGGGGTCCCCCACCCCGTTTTTGGGGTCCCCCACCCCATTTTAGGCTCCCCCAGCCCCAATTTTGGGGTCCCCCACCCCATTTTAGGGATCCCACCCCATTTTTAGGCTCCCCCAGCCCCAATTTTGGGGTCACTCACCCCAATTTTAGGGTCCCAAACCCCATTTTTTGCCTCAAACCCCCAATTTTGGGGTCCCCCACCCCATTTTTGGGGTCCCAAACCCCATTTTTGGTCTCAAAACCCCAATTTTAGGCTCCCCCACCCCATTTTTGGGGTCCCAAACCCCATTTTTGGTCTCAAAACCCCAATTTTAGGGTCCCAAATCCCATTTTTGGCCACAAAACCCCAATTTTGGGGTCCCCCATCCCATTTTTGGGGTCCCAAACCCCATTTTTGGCCTCAAACCCCCTTTTTAGGATTCCCCCATCCAATTTTTGGGGTGCCCCACCCCATTTTATGGTTCCCCCACCACACTTTTGGTCTGAAAACCCCATTTTTGGGGTCCCAAACCCCATTTTTGGCCTCAAAACCCCAATTTTAGGGTCCCCCACCCCATTTTAGGGTCCCCCAGCCCCAATTTTGGGGTCCCAAACCCCATTTTTGGGGTCCCCCACCCCATTTTAGGGATCCCACCCCATTTTTAGGCTCCCCCAGCCCCAATTTTGGGGTCCCCCACCCCATTTTTGGTTTCAAAACCCCAATTTTGGGGTCCCAAACCCCATTTTTGGCCTCAAAACCCCAATTTTGGGGTCCCTCACCCCATTTTTGGGGTCCCAAACTCCATTTTAGGATTCCCCCATCCAATTTTTGGGGTCCCTCACCCCATTTTTCACCTCAAAACTCCAATTTTGGGGTCCCCCACCCCATTTCTGGGGTCCCAAACCCCATTTTTTGCCTCAAAACCCCAATTTTGGGGTCCCCCACCCCAGTTTCGGGATCCCCCACCCCCTTTTTGGCCTCAAAACCCCAATTTTGGGGTCCCAAACCCCATTTTTTGCCTCAAAATCCCGATTTTGGGGTGCCCCACCCCATTTTTGGCCTGAAAACCCCAAATTTGGGGTCCCCCATCCCGTTTTTGGGGTCCCTCACCCCGTTTTTGGGGTCCTCCACCCCATTTTTGGGGTCCCCCACCCCAATTTTGGGGTCCCAAACCCCATTTTTGGCCTGAAAACCCCAATTTTAGGGTCTCCTACACCATTTTTGGTGTCCCCCAGCCCCAATTTTGGGGTCCCTCACCCCATTTTTCACCTCAAAACCCCAATTTTTGGGGTCCCAAACCCCATTTTTGGCCTCAAACCCCAAATTTTGGGCTCCCCCACCCCATTTTAGGGGTCCCCCACCCCATTTTCTGCCTCAAAACCCCAATTTTAGGGTCCCCCACCCCATTTTTGGGGTCCCAAACCCCATTTTTGGCTTCAAAACCCCAATTTTGAGGTCCCAAATTCCAATTTTGGGGTCCCAAACCCCATTTTTGGGGTCCCAAACCCCATTTTCACCTCAAACCCCCATTTTTGGTGTCCCCCACCCCATTTTTGGGGTCCCAAACCCCATTTTAGGATTCCCCCATCCAATTTTGGGGTCCCAAACCCCATTTTTGGCCTCAAAACCCCAATTTTAGGGTCCCAAACCCCATTTTTGGCCACAAAACCCCAATTTTGGTGTCCCAAACCCCATTTTTCATCTCAAACCCCCAATTTTGGGGTCCCCACCCCATTTTCGGGGTCCCCCAGCCCGATTTTGGGGTGCCCAGCCCCATTTTAGGGATCCCACCCCATTTTTAGGCTCCCCCAGCCCCAATTTTTGGGTCCCAAACCCCATTTTAGGCTTCCCCGATCCAATTTTTGGGGTCCCTCACCCCATTTTTCACTTCAAAACTCCAATTTTGGGGTCCCCCATCCAATTTTTGGGGTCCCTCACCCCATTTTTGGTCTGAAAACCCCAATTTTGGGGTCCCCACCCCATTTTTGGCCTCAAAACCCCATTTTTGGGGTCCCAAACCCCATTTTTGGCCTCAAAACCCCAATTTTAGGGTCCCAAACCCCATTTTTCACCTCAAACCCCCAATTTTGGGGCCCCCACCCCGTTTTTGGTGTCCCCCACCCCGTTTTCGGGGTCCCCCAGCCCGATTTTGGGGTCCCCCGCCCCGTTTTCGGGGTCCCCCAGCCCGATTTTGGGGTGCCCAGCCGGTTTTTGGGGTGACGTGTCTCGTTCCTCTTTCCCCAGAATTTTGTAGCCACCCTGGCTAACGGGATGAGCCTGCGGCCGCCTCGGGAGGAAGTAAATATTCCTGAAAAACCCCAAATCCAGCCCCAAAACCCCCAAATCTGGGAAAAAATAAAAGTTCAGACCCAAAAACATCGAAATCTGGGAAAAAATAAAAATTCTGGGCAAAAAAACCCCAAATTCAGCCCCAAAAAAACCCAAAATCTGGGGAAAAATAAAAATTCAGCCCCAAAAACCTCTAAATCTGGGAAAAACCCAAAATTCTGGGTGAAAAAAAAAACCAAATCTGGGAAAAAATAAAAAATTCAGCCCCAAAAACCTCCAAATCTGGGAAAAAACCAAAATTCTGGGGGAAAAAAAACCCCAAATCTGGGAAAAAATACAAATTCAGCCCAAAAACCTCCAAATCTGGGAAAAAACCAAAATTCTGGGTGAAAAAAACCCAAATTCAGCCCCAAAAAAACCCAAATCCAGCCCCAAAAAACCCCAAATCCGGGAAAAAATACAAATTCAGCCCCAAAAACATTGAAATCTGGGAAAAACCCCAAACATTTGGGGGAAAACACACCCAAATCCAGCCCCAAAAAAACCCAAATCTGGAAAAAAATAAAACTTCAGCCGCAAAAACCCCCAAAATCTGGGAAAAAATAAAAATTCAGCCACAATAACCTCAAAATCTGGGAAAAAAACAAAATTCTGGGTGGAAAAACCCCAAATCCAGCCCCCAAAATCTGGGAAAAACCCAAAATTCTGGGCGAAAATATTCCCAAATACAGCCCAAAAAAACCCCAAATCTGGGAAAAAATAAAAATTCAGCCCCAAAAACCTCCAAATCTGGGAAAAAAACCAAAATCCAACCCCAAAAAAACCCCAAATCTGGGAAAAAATACAAATTCAGCCCCAAAAAAACCCCAAATCTGGGAAAAAAACGAAATTCTGGGGGAAAAAACCCCAAATTCAGCCCCAAAAAACCTCCAAAATCTGGGGAAAAAACCCAAATCCAGCCCCAAAAAACCCCAAATCTGGGAAAAAAACCCAAATCCAACCCCAAAAAACCCCAAATCTGGGAAAAAATAAAAATTCAGCCCCCAAAAAAGCCCCAAATCTGGGAAAAAATAAAAATTCAGCCCCAAAAACCTCCAAATCTGGGAAAAAACCAAAATTCTGGGCAAAAAAAAACCCCAAATCTGGGAAAAAATAAAACTTCAGCCCCAAAAATCTCAAAATCTGGGAAAAAAATTAAAAATTCAGCCCCAAAAACCCCAAATCTGGGAAAAATCAAAAATTCTGGGGGAAAAAATTCCCAAATCCAGCCCAAAAAAACCAAAATCTGGGAAAAAATTAAAATTCAGCCACAAAAATCCCTCAAAATCTGGGAAAAATCAAAAATTCTGGGCGAAAAAAACCCCAAATCCAGCCCTGAAAACCCCCAAAATCTGGGAAAAAAACCCAAATCCTGCCCCAAAAACCACCCAAATCTGTGAAAATTCAAAATTCAGGGGAAAACCCCAAATCCAGCCCCAAAAAATCCAAATCTGGGAAAATCCAAAATTCTGGGGGGAAACCCAAAAATTTGGGGGAAAAAACCCAAATCCAGCCCCAAAAACCTGAAAATCTGGGATTTTTGTGGGATTTTATGGGATATCAGTGGGATTTTAGTGGGATTTCAATGGGATTTTTATGCTTTTAATGAGATTTCAGTGGGATTTTGGTGCTTTTATGTGATTTTAATGGGATTTCTGTGGGATTTTGGTGTTTTAAATTGGATTTCCATGGGGTTTGGATGGGATTTCTGTGGGATTTTGGTGTTTTTTATGATATTTGGGTGGGATTTGTGTGTTTTTAATGGGATTTCAGTGCTTTTATGTGATTTTAATGGGATTTGGGTGGGATTTGGCTGTTTTTAATGGGATTTGGGTGGGATTTGGGTGAAATTTGTGTTTTTAATGGGATTTGGGTGTTTTAATGGGATTTCCACGGAATTTCAGTGGGATTTGGGTGTTTTTAATGGGATTTCTGTGGGATTTGGGTGCTTTTAATGGGATTTCTGTGGGATTTGGGTGTTTTTAATGGGAATTGTGTGGGATTTCAGTGTTTTTAACAGGATTTGCGTGGGATTTGTGTGTTTTTAATGGGATTTGTGTGGGATTTGGGTGGGATTTGTGTGTTTTAATTGAGATTTCAGTGGGATTTGGGTGGGATTTGGGTGAAATTTGTGTGTTTTTAATGGGATTTGTGTGGGATTTGGGTGTTTTTAATGGGATTTGGGTGTTTTTATTGGGATTTGGGTGGGATTTGGGTGTTTTTAATGGGATTTGGGTGTTTTTAATGGGATTTGTGTGGGATTTTGATGTTTTTACCAGGATTTGTGTGTTTTTAATGGGATTTCTGTGGGATTTGGGTGAAATTTTTGTGTTTTTAATGGGATTTCGGTGGGATTTGGGTGAAATTATTGTGTTTTTTAATGGGAATTGGGTGGGATTTGGGTATTTTTAACGGGATTTCAGTGGGATTTGTGTGTTTTTAACGGGATTTCAGTGGGATTTGTGTGTTTTTAATGGGATTTCAGTGGGATTTGGGTGTTTTTAATGGGATTTCAGTGGGATTTGTGTCAGATTTGGATGTTTTTAACGGGATTTCAGTGGGATTTGTGTGGGATTTGTGTATTTTTAACGGGATTTCAGTGGGATTTGTGTGTTTGTGACGCCCCCAGCCCCTCTGTGCCCCCCAGGTGTCGTGCCCGCCCCCCGAGGGCAGCGCCAAACCCTCGGCCGAGGACATGACCTCCAAAGATTATTACTTCGACTCCTACGCCCACTTCGGCATCCACGAGGTAAAAAACCCAAATCCGCCCCAAATCCACCCAAAAATCTGCCCCAAATCCACCCAAAATCTGCCCCAAATCCACCCAAAATCTGCCCCAAATCCACCCAAAATCTGCCCCAAATCCATCCTGGGGCGGTTTAAAGGGGATTTTGGGGGGGATTTTTGGGGGGATTTTGGCCGGGTTTGGGTCCTGTGCCCGCTTCGGCATCCATAAGGTACCAAAAATGCCCCAAATCCACCCAAAATCACATGAAATTCACCCAAAATCCAGCCAAAATTACCTGAAATTAACCCAAAATTACATCAAAATCCATCCTGAGGGGTTTTGGGGGGGTTAAAGGGGATTTTTGGGGGGATTTTGGCTGGATTTGGGTCCTGTGCCCACTTTGGCATCCTCGAGGTACCAAAAATGCTCCAAATCCACCCAAAATCACCTGAAATTCAGCCAAAATCAACCCAAAATCACATGAAATTAACGTAAAATTACATCAAAACTCATCCTGAGGGGTTTTGGGGGGATTTAAAGGGGATTTTTGGGGGGATTTTGGCTGGGTTTGGGTCCTGTGCCCGCTTCAGCATCCACGAGGTAAAAACCCCAAATCTGCCCCAAATCCACCCAAAAATCTGCCCCAAATCCATCCTGGGGCGGTTTAAAGGGGATTTTGGGGGGATTTTTGGGGGGATTTTGGCCGGGTTTGGGTCCTGTGCCGACTTTGGCATCCACAAGTGACCAAAATCACCTGAAATTAACCCAAAATCCACCCAAAATAATCTGAAATGAACCAAAAATTACCTGAAATTAACCCAAAATTGCATCAAAATCCATCCTGAGGGGTTTTGGGGGGGTTTAAAGGGGATTTTTGGGGGGATTTTGGCTGGGTTTGGGTCCTGTGCCCACTTCAGCATCCATAAAGTACCAAAAATGCACAAAATCCACCCAAAATCACCTGAAATTCACCCAAAATCCACCCAAAATCACCTGAAATTAACTCAAAATTACATAAAAATTCATCCTGAGGGGTTTTGGGGGGATTAAAGGGGATTTTTGGGGGGATTTTGGCCGGGTTTGGGTCCTGTGCCCACTTCAGCATCCATAAGGTACCAAAAATGCCCCAAATCCACCCAAAATCCATCCAAAATCACCTGAAATTCACCCAAAATCACCTAAAATCACCTGAAATGAACTCAAAGTTACATCAGAATCCATTCTGAGGGGTTTTGGGGGGATTTAAAGGGGATTTTGGGGGGATTTTGGCCGGGTTTGGGTCCTGTGCCCATTTCAGCATCCATAAGGTACCAAAAACTCCCAAAATCACCTGAAATTCACCCAAAATCACCTGAAATTAACTCAAAAATTACATCAAAATCCATCCTGAGGGATTTTGGGGGGATTAAAGGGGATTTTTTGGGGGATTTTGGCTGAGTTTGAATTCTATACCAAATTTGGTGTCCAGGAGGTACCAAAAACAGCCAAAATTGACCCAAAATCATCTGAAATTAACTCAAAATCAACCCCAAATAATCTGAAATTAACCTAAAATTACCTGAAATTAACCCAAAATTACATCAAAAACCATCCTGAGGGGTTTTGGGGGGATTAAAGGGAATTTTTGGGGGGATTTTGGCCGGGTTTGGGTCCTGTGCCCACTTCAGCATCCATAAGGTACCAAAAATGCCCCAAATCCACCTGAAATCACCTAAAATTCACCCAAAATCCACCCAAAATCACCTGAAATTCACCCAAAATCAACCCAAAATCACCTGAAATTAACCTAAAATTACAGCAAAATCCATCCTGAGGGATTAAAGGGGATTTTTGGGGGGATTTTGGCCGGGTTTGGGTCCTGTGCCCACTTCAGCATCCATAAGGTACCAAAAATGCCCCAAATCCGCCCAAAATCACCTGAAATTCACCCAAAATCAACCCAAAATCACCTGAAATTAACCTAAAATTACCTGAAATTAACCCAAAATTACATAAAAATCCGTCCTGAGGGGTTTTGGGGGGTTTAAAGGGGATTTTTGGGGGGATTTTGGCTGGGTTTGGGTCCTGTGCCCGCTTCAGCATCCACGAGGTAAAAACCCCAAATCCGCCCCAAATCCACCCAAAAATCTGCCCCAAATCCATCCTGGGGCGGTTTAAAGGGGATTTTGGGGGGATTTTTGGGGGGATTTTGGCTGGGTTTGGGTCCTGTGCCCGCTTCAGCATCCATAAGGTACCAAAAATGCCCCAAATCCACCCAAAATCACCTGAAATTAACCTAAAATTACCTGAAATTCACCCAAAATACACCCAAAATCACCTGAAATTAACCCAAAATTACAGCAAAATCCATCCTGAGGGATTAAAGGGGATTTTTGGGGGGATTTTGGCCGGGTTTGGGTCCTGTGCCCACTTCAGCATCCATAAAGTACCAAAAATGCACAAAATCCACCCAAAATCACCTGAAATTCACCCAAAATCCACCCAAAATCACCTGAAATTCACCCAAAATTACATCAAAACTAATCCTGAGGGGCTTTGGGGGGATTTAAAGGGGATTTTTGATTTTTTGGGGTATTTAGGGGGGATTTTGGCTGGGTTTGAATTCTATATCAAATTCGGTATCCAGGAGGTACCAAAAAGAGCCAAAATTGACCCAAAATCATCTGAAATGAGCCTAGAATTACCTGAAATTAACCCAAAATTACATCAAAATCCATCCTGAGGGGTTTTGGGGGGATTAAAGGGGATTTTTGGGGGGATTTTGGCTGGGTTTGGATCCTATACCAAATTTGGTGTCCAGGAGGTACCAAAAACAGCCAAAATTGACCCAAAATCATCTGAAATTAACTCAAAATCCACCCAAAATCATCTGAAATGAACCTAAAATTACCTGAAATTAACCCAAAATTACATCAAAATCCATCCTGAGGGGTTTCGAGGGGGTTTAAAGTGGATTTTTGGGGGGATTTTTGGTGGGTTTGGGTCCTGTGCCCACTTCAGCATCCATGAGGTACCAAAAATGCCCCAAATCCACCCAAAATCACCTGAAATTCACCCAAAATCTACCCAAAATCACCTGAAATTTGCCCGAAATCACCTGAAATTAACCCAAAACTACATCAAAATCCATCCTGAGGGGCTTTGGGGGGATTAAAGTGGATTTTTGGGGGGATTTGGGCTGGGTTTGGGTCCTGTGCCCACTTTGGCATCCACGAGGGACCAAAATCACCTGAAATTCAACCAAAATCACCTGAAATTAACCTAAAATCACCTGAAATTAACTCAAAATTACATCAAAACTAATCCTGAGGGGTTTTGGGGGGATTTAAAGGGGATTTTTGGGGGGATTTTGGCTGGGTTTGGGTCCTGTGCCCACTTCAGCATCCACAAGGTACCAAAAATGCCCCAAATCCACCCAAAATCACCCGAAATTAACTCAAAATCCACCCAAAATCACCTGAAATTAACTCAAAATTACATCAAAATCCATCCTGAGGAGCTTTGGGGGGATTAAAGGGGATTTTTGGGGGGATTTTGTCCGGGTTTGGATCCTGTGCCCGCTTTGGCATCCATAAGGTACCAAAAACTCCCAAAATCCACCCAAAATCCACCCAAAATAATCTGAAATTAATCAAAAATTACCTGAAATTAACCCAAAATTACATCAAAATCCATCCTGAGGGGTTTTGGGGGGATTTAAAGGGGATTTTTGGGGGGATTTTGGTGGGTTTGGATCCTGTGCCCACTTCAGCATCCTCGAGGTACCAAAAACTCCCAAAATCACCTGAAATTCACCCAAAATCCAGCCAAAATAATCTGAAATTAATCAAAAATTACCTGAAATTAACCCAAAATTGCCTCAAAATTCATCCTGGGGGGCTTTGGGGGGGGATTTTTGATTTTTTGGGGTTTTTAGGGGGGATTTTGGCTGAGTTTGAATTCTATACCAAATTTGGTGTCATGGGGGTACCAAAAACAGCCAAAATTGACCCAAAATCATCTCAAATTCACCCAAAATCCACCCGAAATCACATGAAATTAACCTGAAATTAACCCAAAATTACATCAAAATCCATCCTGAGGGGTTTTGGGGGGATTAAAGGGGATTTTTGGGGGAATTTTGGCCGGTTTTGGGTCCTGTACCCACTTCAGCATCCATGAGGTACCAAAAATGCCCCAAATCCGCCCAAAATCACCTGAAATTCACCAAAAATTACCTGAAATTCACCCAAAATCCACCCAAAATCACTGGAAATTCACCCAAAATCACCTGAAATTCACCCAAATTTTGGGGTTCCCCAGGAGGAATTTGGGATGGGATTTTAGGGACAATTTTGAGCAGAAATCACCGGAATTTCACCCAATTTCACCGGGATTTTTGCCTTTTTTTTAACCCCTCAAACCCCATCTGATTTTTGATGTTCCCCATCTGATTTTTGCCCTTTTTCCCCCAAAAAGGAGATGCTGAAGGACGAGGTGAGGACGCTGACCTACCGCAACTCCATGTTCCACAACCGACACCTCTTCAAGGACAAAGTGGTGCTGGACGTGGGCAGTGGCACCGGGATCCTCTGCATGTTCGCTGCCAAGGCCGGGGCCAGGAGAGTTATTGGGGTAAATTTGGGCGATTTTGGGATTTTGGGCAGTTTTTATGGGAATTTGGGTCATTTTGGGTCAGTTTGGGGCACTTTTGGGGCATTTCTGGGGCACTTTTGGGGCATTTTTGGGGTCCTGTCAGGGGCATCCTCTGCATGTTCGCTGCCAAGGCCGGCGCCAGGAGAGTTATTGGGGTAAAATTGGGCAATTTTGGGTCATTTTGGGTTAGTTTGTGTCATTTGGGGCAGTTTGGGGGGAATTTGGGTCAGTTTGGGGCAGTTTTGGGGCAGTTTTGGGGCACTTTTGGGGTCCTGTCAGGGGCATCCTCTGCATGTTCGCTGCCAAGGCCGGGGCCAGGAGAGTTATTGGGGTAAATTTGGGCGATTTTGGGATTTTGGGCAGTTTTTATGGGAATTTGGTACAATTTTGGGTCGTTTTGGGCCATTTTGGGGCAGGTTTGAGGCACTTTTGGGGCCCTTTTGGCGTCCTGTCAGGGGCATCCTCTGCATGTTCGCTGCCAAGGCCGGGGCCAGGAGAGTTATTGGGGTAAAATTGGGCGATTTTGGGTCAGTTTGTGTCATTTTGGGTCATTTTGGGTCAGTTTGGGGCAGTTTTGGGTCAGTTTGGGGCAGATTTGGGGCAGTTTTGGGGCAGTTTTGGGGCACTTTTGGGGTCCTGTCAGGGGCATCCTCTGCATGTTCGCTGCCAAAGCTGGGGCCAGGAGAGTTATTGGGGCAAATTTTGGAGATTTTGGGTCATTTTGGGTCATTTTGTGTCATTTTGGGGGGAATTCGGCTCAGTTTGGGGCAGTTTAGAGCAGTTTTGGGGCAGTTTGGGGCACTTTTGGGGTCCTGTCAGGGGCATCCTCTGCATGTTCGCTGCTAAAGCCGGGGCCAGGAGAGTTATTGGGGTAAAATAGGGCGATTTTGGGTCATTTTGGGCAGTTTTGGGGGGAATTTGGGTCATTTTGGGGCTGGTTTGGGTCCATTTAGGGCAGTTTTGGGGCAGTTTTGGGGTCCTGTCAGGGGCATCCTCTGCATGTTCGCTGCCAAGGCCGGCGCCAGGAGAGTTATTGGGGTAAATTTGGGCGATTTTGGGTCATTTGGGGTCATTTTGAATCATTTTGGAGGAATTTGGTACAATTTTGGGCCATTTTGGGGCAGTTTTGGGGCATTTTGGGGCTGGTTTGGGGCAGTTTTGGGTCACTTTTGGGGTCCTGTCAGGGGCATCCTCTGCATGTTCGCTGCTAAAGCCGGGGCCAGGAGAGTTATTGGGGTAAATTTGGGCGATTTTGGGTCATTTTGTGTCATTTTGGGTCATTTTGGGTCATTTTTGTGTCATTTCGGGTCAGTTTGGGGCTGGTTTGGGGCACTTTTGGGGCAATTTTGGGTCACTTTTGGGGTCCTGTCAGGGGCATCCTCTGCGTGTTCGCTGCCAAGGCCGGGGCCAGGAGAGTTATTGGGGTAAAATTGGGCGATTTTGGGATTTTGAGCAGTTTTGGGGGGAATTTGGTACAATTTTGGGTCATTTTGGGTCATTTTGTGTCATTTTAGGGCAGTTTTGGGGCAGGTTTGGGTCATTTTGGGGCAGTTTTGGGGCAGTTTTGGGGTCCTGTCAGGGGCATCCTCTGCATGTTCGCTGCCAAGGCCGGGGCCAGGAGAGTTATTGGGGTAAATTTGGGCGATTTTGGGTCACTTTGTATCATTTTGTGTCATTTTGGGTCGGTTTGGGGCAGTTTTGGGGCAGATTTGGGGCACTTTTGGGGCAGTTTTGGGGTCCTGTCAGGGGCATCCTCTGCATGTTCGCTGCCAAGGCCGGGGCCAGGAGAGTTATTGGGGTAAATTTGGGCGATTTTGGGATTTTGGGCAGTTTTTATGGGAATTTGGTACAATTTTGGGTCGTTTTGGGGCAGTTTTGGGTCATTTTGGGTCCGTTTTGTGTCATTTCGGGTCAGTTTGGGGCTGGTTTGTGTCATTTTGTGTCCTTTTGGGGCACTTTTGGGGTCCTGTCAGGGGCATCCTCTGCATGTTCGCTGCCAAGGCCGGAGCCAGGAGAGTTATTGGGGTAAATTTGGGCGATTTTGGGATTTTGGGCAGTTTTTATGGGAATTTGGTACAATTTTGGGTCGTTTTGGGGTAGTTTAGGGCTGGTATGGGGCACTTTTGGGGCAGTTTTGGGTCACTTTTGGGGTCCTGTCAGGGGCATCCTCTGCATGTTTGCTGCTAAAGCCGGGGCCAGGAGAGTTATTGGGGTAAAATTGGGCGATTTTGGGTCATTTTGGGTCACTTTGGTTCAGTTTGGGTCATTTTGGGTCAGTTTGGGGCAGTTTTGGGGCAGTTTTGGGGCACTTTTGGGTCACTTTTGGGGTCCTGTCAGGGGCATCCTCTGCATGTTTGCTGCTAAAGCCGGGGCCAGGAGAGTTATTGGGGTAAAATTGGGCGATTTTGGGATTTTGGGTAGTTTTGGGGGGAATTTGGGGCAAATTTTGGGGGTCCTAGGATAGATTTTGGGGTCCCAGTGGGGTTTTGGGATGGATTTTGGGGTTTCTGGAGGGGATTTTGGGGTCCCAGGGGTGTCTAGGATGGATCTTGGAGTTTTGGGGTGGATTTTGGGATTTTTGGGTTGGATTTTGGTATTTTGGGGTGGATTTTTGGTGATTTTGGTGTCCCAGGGGGTGCCTAGGATGGATTTTGGGGTTTTGGGGTGGATTTTGTGGATTTTAGGGTGGATTTTGTGGTTTTGGGGGCAATTTTTTGTGATTTTGGTGTCCCATGGAGTGTCTGGGATGGATTTTGTGGGTTTTGGGGTGGATTTTGGGGTGGATTTTGGTGATTTTGGGGTCCCAGGGGTGCCTAGGATGGACTTTGGGTTTTTGGGGTGGATTTTGGGGTGAATTTTGGGGATTTTGGGGTTTTTGGGGTGGATTTTTGGGGATTTTGGGGTGAATTTTTGGTGACTTTGGGGTCCAAGGGCATGTCTGGGATGGATTTTGGGGTTTTTGGGGTCGATTTTGGGGTGGATTTTGGGGCTTTTGGGGTGGATTTTTAGTGATTTTGGTGTCCCGGGGGTGGCTAGGATGGACTTTGGGTTTTTGGGGTGGATTTTGGGGATTTTGGGTTGGATTTTGGTGTTTTTGGGGTGAATTTTTGGTGATTTTGGGGCCCCAGGGCGTGTCTGGGATGGATTTTGGTGTTTTGGGGTGGATTTTGGGGATTTTGGGGTCCCAGGGGGTGCCTAGGATGGATTTTGGGGTTTTTGGGGTTTTGGGGTTGGATTTTGGTGTTTTTGGGTGGTTTTTTGGTGATTTTGGGGTCCCAGGGGGTGCCTAGGATGGATTTTGGGGTGGATTTTGGGGATTTTGAGTTGGATTTTGGGGTTTTTTGGGTGGTTTTTTGGTGATTTTGGGGTCCCAGGGGGTGCCTAGGATGGATTTTGGGGTGGATTTTGGGGATTTTGAGTTGGATTTTGGGGTTTTTTGGGTGGTTTTTTGGTGATTTTGGTGTCCCAGGTGGTGCCTGGGATGGATTTTAGGGTTTTGGGGTGGATTTTATAGGTTTTGGGTTGTACTTTGGGATTTTTGGGGTGGATTTTGGCATTTTTAGGGTGGATTTTTGGTGATTTTGGGGTCCCAGGGCATGTCTGGGATGGATTTTGGTATTTTGGGGTGGATTTTGGGGGGGATTTTGGGGTCCCAGGGGGTGTGTGGGATGGATTTTGGGATTTTGGGGTGGATATTGGCATTTTTAGGGTGGATTTTTGGTGATTTTGGGGTCCCAGGGGGTGCCTGGGTTGGATTTTGGGTTTTTGGGGTGGATTTTGGGGGGGATTTTGGGGTGGATTTTTGGTGACTTTGGGTTGGATTTTGGCATTTTTGGGGCGAATTTTGGTGATTTTGGGGTCCCAGGGGGTGTCTAGGATGGATTTTGGGGTTTTGGGGTGGATTTTGGGGGGGATTTTGGGGTCACTGACACCCCTCCCCCAGATCGAGTGCTCCAGCATCTCCGACTACGCCGTCAAGATCGTCAAGGCCAACAAACTGGACCACGGTGAGAGCCCCAAAATGCCCCAAAATCACCCCAAAATAACCCCCAGGAAATCCCTAAAAAATCTCCCAAAAATCCAAAAAAAACCCCCAAAAAAACCTCAAAAACATACCCAAAGAAAAACCCAAAAACCTCTAAAAAATCCCTAAAAAAACCAAAACACATCCCCCAAAACAACCCCAAAAACCTCTGAAAAATACCCCCCAAAAAAACCAAAAAACATCACAAAAACATCCCCGAAAAGTCCACCAAATATCTCTGAAAAATTTTTTAAAATATCAAAAAGAATTTCAAGAAAAATTAAAAAAAAAAAATCCCCTAAAAAAACTCTAAAGAAACCTCAAAAAATCCCCAAAGAAACCTCAAAAAAAATCCAAAAAAAACCCCAAAAAATCCCCCAAATGAACCCTATAAACCTTTAAAAAATTCCCAAAAAATACCTAAAAAACCAGCAAAAATCCCTAAAAAATCCCTAAAAAACATCTAAAAACCCCATAAAACACACACTAAAAAACCCCCAGAAAACCTCTAAAAACCCCTCAAAAAAACCTCTAAAAAAACCCAAAAAAACCTCTAAAAACCCCAAAGAAAACCCAAAAAAAAACCCCTTAAAAAATCCCCCAAACGAACCCCATAAACTTCTAAAAAAATCCCAAAAGAAACCCAAAAAAAACACCAAAAATCTCTAAAAAATCCCCAAAAACCCTCTAAAAAAATCCCAAGAAACCACTAAAAAAAAAAAAACCCTTTAAAAATACCGTACAACACACCAAAAAAAACCTCAGAAAACCTCTAAAACCCCTCAAAAAAACCTCTAAAAATCCCATAAAACACACACCAAAAAAAAAACTTGGAAAACCTCTAAAAATCTCCCAAAAAAACTCAAAAAATCCGCAAAAAAAACCCAAAAAAATCCCCCAAATAAACCCCATAAACCTCTAAAAAATCTAAAAAAAACTTCAAAAACCACCAAAAATCCCTAAAGAACCCCCCAAAAAACCTCTAAAAATCCTAAGAAAAAACTCTAAAAAAATCCCAAAAAAAACCCTAAAAATCCCCAACAAACCTCTAAAAAAAATCCCAAAAAAACCCCTAAAAATTCCCCAAATGAACCCCATAAACCTCTAAAAAAATCAAAAAAAAACCCTAAAAAAACACCAAAAATCCCTAAAAAATACCCAAAAAACCTCTAAAAATCCAAAAAAAACTCTAGAAATAAAAAAAAACCTTTAAAAAATCTAAAAATCCACCAAGTTAACCCCATAAACCTTTAAAAAATCCAAAAAAAACCCTAAAAAACCCCAAAAATCCCTAAAAAATCCCCAAAAAACCTCAAAAAATCCCAAAAAAACCTCTAAAAACCCCGAAGAACCTCTAAAAACCCCCAAAAACCTCTAAAAAAATCCCCCAAATGAACCCCATAAACCTCTAAAAAAATCCCAAAAAAATCCCCCAAATGAACCCCATAAACCTCTAAAAAAATCCCCAAAAAAAACCTAAAAAAACCACCAAAAATCCCTAAAAAAACTATAAAAATCCCCAAAAAAACCCTCGAAAAATTCTCAAAAACCCTCTAAAACCCCCCAAAAAACCTGGAAAAATCCCCAAAAACCTCTAAAAAATCCCCCAAATGAACCCCATAAACCTCTAAAAAAATCAAAAAAAAATCCCCCAAATGAACCCCATAAACCTCTAAAAAAATCCTCAAAAAAACCCTAAAAACCACCAAAAATCCCTAAAAAAACTATAAAAATCCCCAAAAAAAACCCTCGAAAAATCCCCAAAAACCCTCTAAAAACCCCCCAAAAAACCCCAAAAATTCTCCAACCCCCCTAACGCCGGAATTCCGGAATTTTCCCGTTTTCCCAGTGGTTTCCATCATCAAGGGGAAGGTGGAGGAGGTGGAGCTGCCGGTGGAGAAGGTCGACATCATCATCAGCGAGTGGATGGGCTACTGCCTCTTCTACGAGTCCATGCTCAACACCGTCATCTACGCCCGCGACAAGTGGCTGGTGAGCCCCAAAATCCCGGGGATTCACCCCAAAAATCCCGGGAATTCACCCCAAAAATCCCGGGAATATTCCCCGAAATCCTCAGGAACCGGAGCGCAAAAATGTCCCGGAGCGGAGCCGTGAAAGGGTTAAAAAATCTGAATTATGGACAAAAATCATAATGAAAATGGACCCAGAGAGCCCCAAAATCCCGGGAATTCACCCCAAAAATCCCGGGAATATTCCCCGAAATCCCCAGGAACCGGAGCTCAAAAATGTCCCACAGCGGTGCCTTGAAAGGGTTAAAAAATCTGAATTATGGACAAAAATCATAATGAAAATGGACCCAGAGAGCCCCAAAATCCCGGGAATTCACCCCAAAAATCCCGGGAATTCACCCCAAAAATCCTGGGAATATTCCCCGAAATCCTCAGGAACCGGAGCTCAAACATGTCCCCGGGCGGTGCCTTGAAAGGGTTAAAAAATCTGAATTATGAGTAAAAATCACAATTAAAATGAGCCCAGAGAGCCCCAAAATACACCCAGAGAGCCCCAAAATCCCGGGAATTCACCCCAAAAATCCCGGGGATTCACCCCAAAAATCCCGGGGATTCACCCCAAAAATCCCGGGAATATTCCCCGAAATCCTCAGGAACCGGAGGTCAAAAATGTCCCACAGCGGTGCCTTGAAAGGGTTAAAAAATCTGAATTATGAGTGAAAATCACAATGAAACTGAACCCAGAGAGCCCCAAAATCCCGGGGATTCACCCCAAAAATCCCGGGAATATTCCCCGAAATCCCCGGGAACCGGAGCTCAAAAATGTCTCCGGGCGGTGCCTTGAAAGGGTTAAAAAATCTGAATTATGGACAAAAATTGGGGTTTAAATTCACCCAGAGAGCCCCAAAATGAACCCAGAGAGCCCCAAAATCCCGGGAATTCACCCCAAAAATCCCGGGGATTCACCCCAAAAATCCCGGGAATATTCCCCGAAATCCCCGGGAACCGGAGCTCAAAAATGTCCCCAGGCGGTGCCGTGAAAGGGTTAAAAAATCTGAATTATGGACAAAAATCGCAATTAAAATGAGCCCAAAGCAGCTCAAAATTCCATAAATTCACCCCAAAAATCCCGGCGATTCACCCCAAAAATCCCGGGAATATTCCCCCAAATCCTCAGGAACCGGAGCTCAAAAATGTCCCGGAGCGGAGCCTTGAAAGGGTTAAAAAATCTGAATTATGTGGGTCTTAAATTCACCCAGAGAGCCCCAAAATCCCGGGGATTCACCCCAAAAATCCTGGGAATTCACCCCAAAAATCACGGGAATATTCCCTGAAATCCTCAGGAACCGGAGCGCAAAAATGTCCCACGGCGGTGCCATGAAAGGGTTAAAAAATCTGAATTATGGACAAAAATTGGGGCTTAAATTCATCCAGTGAGCCCCAAAATCCCGGGAATTCACCCCAAAAATCCCGGGAATTCATCCCAAAAATCCCGGGAATATTCCCCGAAATCCTCAGGAACCGGAGCGCAAAAATGTCCCGGAGTGATGCCATGAAAGGGTTAAAAAATCTGAATTATTGACAAAAATTGGGGCTTAAATTCACCCAGAGAGCCCCAAAATCCCGGGAATTCACCCCAAAAATCCCGGGGATTCACCCCAAAAATCCCGGGAATATTCCCCGAAATCCTCAGGAACCGGAGCGCAAAAATGTCCCGGAGCGGTGCCTTGAAAGGGTTAAAAAATCTGATTTATGGACAAAAATCGCAATGAAAACCCAGAGAGTCCCAAAATCCTGGAAATTCATCCCAAAAATCTCAGAGATTCATCCCAAAAATCCCGGGTATTCATCCCAAAAATCCCGGGGATTCACCCCAAAAATCCCAGGAATTCACCCCAAAAATCCCGGGAATATTCCCCGAAATCCTGAGGAACCGGAGCGCAAAAATGTCCCCGAGCGGTGCCGTGAAAGGGTTAAAAAATCTGAATTATGAGTGAAAATCACAATGAAACTGAACCCAGAGAGCCCCAAAATCCCGGGGATTCACCCCAAAAATCCCGGGAATATTCCCCGAAATCCTCAGGAACCGGCGCTCAAAAATGTCCCGGAGCGGTGCCTTGAAAGGGTTAAAAAATCTGAATTATGGACAAAACTCGCATTGAAAATGCATCCTAAAATCCCGGGAATTCACCCCAAAAATCACGGGAATATTCCCCGAAATCCTCAGGAACCGGAGCTCAAAAATGTCCCCGGGCGGTGCCGTGAAAGGGTTAAAAAATCTGAATTATGGACAAAAATTGGGGTTTAAATTCAACAAGAGAGCCCCAAAATCCCGGGAATTCACCCCAAAAATCCCAGGAATTCACCTCAAAAATCCCGGGAATTCACCCCAAAAATCCCGGGAATTCACCCCAAAAATCCCGGGAATATTCCCAGAAATCCCGGGAATTCACCCCAAAAATCCCAGGAATTCACCCCAAAAATCCTGGAAATTCATCCCAAAAATCCCGGGGATTCACCCCAAAAATCCCGGTAATTCACCCCAAAATTCCCGGGGATTCACCCCAAAAATCCCGGGAATTCACCCCAAAAATCCCGGGGATTCACCCCAAAAATACCGGGAATTCATCCCAAAAATCCCGGGGATTTACCCCAAAAATCCTGGGAATTCACCCCAAAAATCCCACGAATTCACCCCAAAAATCCCGGGAATTCACCCCAAAAATCCTGGGTATTCACCCCAAAAATCCCCGGGATTCACCCCAAAAATCCTGGGAATTCATCCCAAAAATCCCGGGGATTCTCCCCAAAAATCCCAGGGATTCACCCCAAAAATCCCTGGGATTCATCCCAAAAATCCCGGGAATTCACCCCAAAAATCCCGGGGATTCATCCCAAAAATCCCAGGAATTCACCCCAAAAATCCCGGGGATTCATCCCAAAAATCCCGGGGATTCACCCCAAAAATCCCAGGGATTCACCCCAAAAATCACAGGAATTCACCCCAAAAATCCCGGAATTCACCCCAAAAATCCCGGGAATTCACCCCAAAAATCCCGGGAATTCACCCCAAAAATCCCGGGAATTTATCCCAAAAATCCCGGGAATTCACCCCAAAAATCCCGGGGATTCATCCCAAAAATCCTGGAAATTCACCCCAAAAATCCCAGGGATTCACCCCAAAAATCCCGGGAATATTCCCTGTAAAACTGGAGATTTTTCCCAATAAAATTTGGGGTATTTCCCCCAAAATTCCCAATAAAACCTGGGATAATTCCCATTTCATTTTGGTATTTTTCCCATTAAATTTTGGGATTTTTCCCATTTAATTTTGGGATTTTTCCCGTTAAATTTTGGGATTTTCCCCAGTAAAAACCTGGATTTTTCCCAATAAAACCTGGGATTTTTCCCAATAAAATTCGGGATTTTTCCCAATAAAATTCAGAATAATTGCCACTAAAACCCAGGATTTTTCCCATTAAATTTTGGGACTATTCCCACAAAAACCTGGAATTTTCCCCGCTAAAATTGGGGAATTTTCCCAGTAAAAACCTGGGATTTTTCCCAATAAAAACCTGGAATTTTCCCCAATAAAATTCAGAATAAATCAGAATAAAATCTGGTATTTTCTCCTATAAAATCTGTAATAATTCCCATTAAATTTGGGGATTTTTCCCATTAAAATTTAGGGATTTTTCCCACTAAAATTTGGGATTTTCCCGTTTTCCAGAGCCCGTCGGGGCTGATTTTCCCGGACCGCGCCATTTCATGTCGGGGTTTTTCCCATCAAATTTTGGGAATATTTCCATTAATTTTGGGATTTTTCCCCAGTAAAAACCTGGGATTTTTCCCAATAAAAGCTGGGATAATTCCCATTAATTTTGGGATTTTTTTTCCCAATAAAAGCTGGGTTTTTTCCCATTTAATTTTGGGATTTTTCCCATTTAATTTTGGGATTTTTTCCCACTAAAATCCTGGGATTTTTCCCAATAAAATTCAGAATAAATCAGAATAAAATCTCGTATTTTCCCTATAAAATCTGTCATAATTCCCAGTAAAACCCGGGATTTTTCCCACTAAATTTTGGGAATATTCCCATTAAATTTCGGGGATTTTTCCCACTAAATTTTGGGATTTTTCCCACTAAAATTTGGGATTTTTCCCGTTTTCCAGAGCCCGTCGGGGCTGATTTTCCCGGACCGCGCCGTTCCATGTCGGGGTTTTTCCCATTAAATTTTGGGAATATTCCCAGTAAAAACCTGGAATTTTTCCCAGTAAAAGCTGGGATAATTCCCATTAATTTTGGGATTTTTTTCCCCAGTAAAAAGTTGGGTTTTTCCCAATAATTTTGGGATTTTCCCCACCAAAACTAGGGAATTTTACCAATAAAACCTGGGATTTTTCCCATTAAAATCTGGGATTTTTTCCCAATAAAATCTGTAATAATTCCCGGTAAAACCCGGGATATTTCCCATTAAATTTCGGGGATTTTTCCCACTAAATTTGGGGATTTTTCCCATTAAAATTTGGGATATTTCCCACTAAAAAATTGGATTTTTCCCGTTTTTCCAGAGCCCGCAGGGGCTGATTTTCCCGGACCGCGCCACTCTCTACGTCACGGCCATCGAGGACCGGCAGTACAAGGACTACAAAATCCACTGTGAGTTTTGGGCTCAATTCGGGGATTTTTGGGAAAATTGGGGTTTTTTTTATTTTTGAGGATTTTTGGGGTTTTTTTGGAGGGTTTTGAGGGGGTTTGAGGCGATTTTTGGGGAATTTTTTCAGATTTTTTTTTATTTTTTGAGGATTTTTAGGGTATTTTTTGGAGGTTTTGGGGATTTTTAAAAATTTTTCAGGATTTTTTTTTTAAGATTTTTGGGGTCGTTTTTTGAGGTTTTTTTGGGGGGTTTTAAAGGGGTTTGGGGGGATTTTTTTTTGGGATTTTTTTTCAAAATTTTCAGGAATTTTTTTTGGAGGATTTTTGGGGTGTTTTTTGGGGGGGATTTTTTAGAAGATTTTTTTGGGGATTTTTTCAAATTTTTCAGGAATTTTTTTTGAGGATTTTTGGGGTAGTTTTTGAAGGTTTTGGGGGATTTTTTTCAGATTTTTTGGGATTTTTTTTGGAGGATTTTTGGGGTATTTTTGGAGGATTTTTTGGGGGGGTTTGAGGGGGTTTGGGGGCATTTTTGGGGATTTTTTTCAGATTTTTTCGGGATTTTTTGAAGAATTTTTGGGGTATTTTTTGGAGGTTTTGGGGGGATATTTTTGGGGATTTTTAAAAATTTTTCAGGATTTTTTTTTTTAAGATTTTTGGGGTTTTTTTGGAGGGTTTTTTGGGGGGGTTTGGGGGGATTTTTTAGGAGATTTTTTGGGGGGATTTTTTCAAATTTTTCAGGAATTTTTTTTGAGGATTTTTGGGGTAGTTTTTGAAGGTTTTGGGGGATTTTTTTTCAGATTTTTTGGGATTTTTTTTGGAGGATTTTTGAGGTATTTTCTGGAGGTTTTTTGGGGGGGTTTTAGGGGGTTTGAGGGGATTTTTTTGGGGATTTTTTTCAAATTTTTTGGGATATTTTTTGAGGACTTTTGGAGGTTTTTTGGGGGTTTTTGGGGGGGTTTGGGGGGATTTTTTTGGGGATTTTTTCAAATTTTTCAGGAATTTTTTTTGAGGATTTTTGGGGTAGTTTTTGGAGGCTTTTGGGGATTTTGGGAGGATTTTTTTGGGGATTTTTATAAATTTTTCTTTCTCATTTTTTTGGTGGGAACTTTCCCATTTTTTGGTGTTTGTTTAGTGGGAATTTTCCCATTTTTGGTGGATTTTTTGGTGGAAATTTCCCTTTTTTGGGGGGATTTTTTTCAATGGGAACTTTCCCATTTTTTTGGGTGGGAACTTTCCCATTTTTTGGTGGGAATTTCCCCATTTTTGGGGAATTTTTCAGTGGGAACTTTCCCATTTTTTTGGGTGGGAACTTTCCCATTTTTGATGGGAATTTTCCCATTTTTTGGTGTTTGTTTAGTGGGAATTTTCCCATTTTTGGGGAATTTTTTGTGGGAATGTTCCCATTTTTGGTGGATTTTTTGGTGGGAATTTCCCATTTTTTGGG